ATGTTTATTAAAATATAATCCAGGCGATAATGCTACCTCATCAAACAAAAGTATGTAAAGTCTTTTTTCAATAGGTAGGTTGCTTACTATTTTTTTTAAATGACTCATAATTTTTGTGTTCAGCCCTGGCTTTATTTTTATTACCTTTAAAAGTCTTTGCAATGTTCTTTTAGATGGCAGTACTATTATTTTGCGTAAGAAATTGTATGCCTTATTGCTTTGTTTTAAAATGGAGGCAGCCATTACTTTTTCTTCTATCGAAAATTTCATACCTCTAGATTTTTTGTTGCCTTTTAGTTGCATATTCATGAAAACCTTAACAGTTTCAGGCATTGCTTCAACAATTTTTAAAAATGATTTTTTTTCTGATAATTTTTTTATCATTTTCATTTTAGTCTGCTGACTTTTACATTTCTTTGTTAATTTTAAAATTTTCTGAGATAACCTATGGATTATATTTTTTTGTTTTTTTCTTGTTTGTTCTGTAAACAAATAATTATTACACTTATTAGAGCTATGACAAAACAAAATTATAGCTTAAACATTTTTTACTACCTTCTCGAATTCATCCATAACACATTCACTGGATTGTCAAAAAGACTAGCTTCTTACTAAGTGTTATTAATATAACTTTAGGGATGAAAATATTCTTAATGAAAAATGTATAGCATTGCAAATGCAAAATTGATCAAATATAATATTTAGGGAATTAGAGATGATTTACAAAGGTTTTATGTACATTTCCAACAATTATTAATAAATAGATTCTCACCTAAGCTTTTCAATTCAGTTTTGGATGAAAAAGTCAATGGTTCTGTTGGCGATTCTGTTATATTATGACTGCTTGTTGCAGATGAGGTTGACGGCCCTTCTTCAACTCTAGGATTAGTAGTATCTTCTGAAATAGTAAAATAATCATAATGTAAAAATTCATAGGCATAAACTACCTGATATATGGTCTGCACATTTCACAGAAAATACACAGTATTCTTTAATGGAAGACACACTCATGATAAAGAGCCAAAGTAATACATACTGCCACAGGTAAAAAAGGTAAAATCTAAAGGAATAGTCTTTATTTGTATACACAAATAGTAAATATATGAATGAACAAAAATATTAGAAATGTGTTTTTTCATTTTTATGTATGTTTTGTGTCTCGGTGTATTTTATCATCAAATTGGATTAGAAAGAGTTGCCCTTGCAATTATTTCAAAAATTTTGTTAATTCTTCAAAAATAGACAAACATGAGTAGGTTAGAAATGGGGGCTGCAATTTTCAACACTTAGATGCTTTTATTGGTCCTTTGTACATGACAAATAAATATTAATTCATATTAATAACAACTTAAAATAAAAAATTCTCAAATATTTAAATACAAAAATTAGATAAATGTGATCAAGCTAAAAACTTAGTAATTTTCTAGACTGTAAAAACTCCTCATTCTTTACATGTTTCATTTGATAATTAGCTATATTTTTAATTAAAGTGGTCAAGGGTGTGTGAGAATTCCAACATTAATTAAGGTACTTACCCAAACTTTTCAATGTTTCCATTGATGATTCCACTGTCAATTTAAATTCTGTAGGAGTGGTAGTATCTGAAATAGCCAAATAAACATGTTTTCAAGCGGAAGCATTTAATAAAATCATACACATAAAAATAATACATATATTATTCTTATATTTTTAAATTCAAATGTAACAACTACACTGAACTTATATCTATTTAATCAAAACCTATTTGTATTATTATAAAGTATGGTTTATTTTTACATCAGGCTTACATATATGTGAGTTGAATATATGTATTTATTAATATAATAATAAGTATAGTGTTTTAATGCAAAATGCAGTGTTTATATTGTACATTTTCACTATTATGTGATTATTATTAACTTTATAGAAAAACATCATGGTTTAGTACCTCACAGCTTGTCTAGTGGTATATATGGTAGTGGTAGTGGTAAGTCTTTGTCTTTAAGACATCAAAAAAGTACTTGAATAAATGTTTACCTTTTCTAAGATGAAGTGTTGGTATTGCATTTCTTGTTAGTCGACCATATTGTGTTTTATAATAATTCTCGAAATGTCTGTGACACAGTCGTATTTGGTTAAATATATAAATATCTCCTTTTTCTCGAGTCCTTTCGTCAAGTACTGACTTCCAGATATTAAATCTTTCATTGTTTTTCTCCAATGGTTTGGGGAAACAATGAAGTGGTTCTGAAATAAATATATTCAATGAATATTATGACAAAAATTATATATTTCTAGGAACATTAAAATTTCTTTCGTATATCGACAATATTATTTTTAGTGAATTCTATTTATATTGAAGTTAAAACTTAAAAAATCATAACTTTTAGATACTTACTTTGTTCGGCTTCTCCACACCCTAAATAACAACTTGACCGAGGATTCTTGAGCATGTTTCAGTTCAATAAGCAAAGTCCAGTGAGTGTAGCGAAGTCTTCAAAATAGGCAGAGGTCGGGTCCAATAAGCAGAGCTGGGGTAATCGTGCAATGAATCCGTGTCGGTGTCCTTGTTCAATGGTCAAAATTAAGTTCGAAAAAGCAACAGAAGTCCGTAAAACACGCCAAGTCAATAAGGGAGCAAACAAACCAAAAATATTGTAAACGCGCAGAAGACAACAAAGTTCACAAAACACTTTTAAAGAAACGGAAAATGTCCGAAGTTTGTTTTCTTAACAGTGTTGCCAATAGTTAAAATATTTTCAGAAAAATCTGCAAACATTTTTTAATATTCTATTTTCCAACAAAAAGCACTAAATTTAATTCTTGTAGGAAATCACAATACAATTTTGATTAGTAATTTTTAATTTGTATTATATATTTTGACAACTCTAAAACTTCGTTTATAGCGACATCTAGGCTAGCCCGATGCAAATACAGTAAAAATTGCAACGCCATGGCCAAGAGATGGCACCACTTTCCATACAAAAATAAAAATTTTAATTTTATACTACAGTGTCACCCGGCTGGTGGTAAGTGTAAGTTTTACGCTAGTGAATTTGTATGGAGATTTGTAGTTCCCGCTAGGGGCACTGTATTCCATACAGCGGATTCCATACTAAAATCTTAACGTGCTCACGATCGACAACCACTTCAATTCTTCGTCAGAAACTATTGGATATCATAGCATAGCGAGAAGGATGTCATGATTTACCGTGTTGAATGCATTGGAAAAATCGATGAGTACAAGAAGTGTTATTTTACCGCTCTCCATTCCCACTCTGATATCACCAGTTGACTTAAGGAGTACCGACCGACATTGTGCTATATCCTGGTCTAAAGCCAGTTTACATGCATTATATTCACTTATAAACTGTAACTGTTCATTGGTAACTGGTTGATTAGATTACTCCTGTATTACCCATATATATTCTATAACGATTTCACACTTAGAGCCCTCGATTTCATGCGAAGGTGCCTTTTATGTGGTACTAGCTTTCCGCCAGCGGCTTCGCCCGCGTGGTCTTGTATTATACATGAAAACCTTCCTTTTTAATCACTTTATCTATGAAAAAAAACCGCATCAAAATCCGTTGCGTAGTTTTAAAGATTTAAGCATACATAGAGATATAGGAACAGAGACAGCGACTTTGTTTTATACTATGTAGTGATTTAATTACTTGTACTTTTGTACCTCCTGGGATTTTTCTCATACTCCGTGAGCCTGTTTTGGTCAAAACTACAATGTTTATATTTTTTTAATCTATACGGCTGTGGAATGCACTACCTCTAGACGTACGAAATGCTCCGAATAGATTAGTTTTCAAGAGAAAAGCGCGTGAACACTATCTAAAAGATAACAACTTTTCTTGACTTCTCAATCTGACATGTCGATGTTTGTTTTACTGTATATGTATATATTTATTTATGTATATATGTATTTATGTGTTTGTATGTAGGGTATTGTCTTAATATATATATGTAAGTATATGTGTCTAAATATGTGTATGATTGTTAATTATATTCAGAATTCTCTATCATTGTCACTGCCTTACAAATTTTCTGCTTATCCTCTCCGGTTGACTAATAATAACATACACAGTAAAAAAAAAACAGTATGCGTGATGGATGATACAGGAAGTTCCTTGTAGTTAGATAAATTTTAGCAATATTAAATAATTTTTTGATAAATTTAACAATAATATTATATCATATCATAGATAAACTGAACTTAACCTTCTTGTTATTTATCACATAAAGTATGATTTTTTTTTGACATAACACTTGATAAATGACCATAGGCTTGGTCTATCAAGGTTAGTATAGATTAGTTATTCGCTAAATGTACGTAAACAAAGATTTTCTACTTGCTGTATTGTGTCGTTTAGTGAAATGCATGCTCATTAATATCTCCTGTTTATAAGTGGGGAACTGTTAAGAACAGGGATGACGACTGTGTAAAAAAAAGAACGTCTATTTAGTCCGTCAGTCAGATAATAGAAAAATATTAGATGCGTATTTTTTGTTACTTAATTTTAACAAGAAATAGCTTAGATAACAGGCATTGAAGTTCAGGAGTGAGCGCTTGCTGTCACAGTTTTGTAGAAAATGTACAAAAACGTGACGTCATGTGGACATTTTAGCTTAATGTGTCGCCGTAATTTAACGATTACGCCGTAATTATTAAAAATAAAAAATACGTCTTTAAAAGTTTTTCAACAATACCTGACGAACAAACAAACAAATATTTGTCGTATATTCACTAATTACTAGAGAAGTCAGCAAATGAAACTCATTGCTACGTGATCATTAATTAGTTGCTTAATTTTAGATAATATGTTGATTATAATATAACTTGTTGAAAGTATGTCTACCGAATCGAAAATTAAATAAGTGTTCGTACACAGCTCTTATATATATTTTGGTAGATGATTTCTATACTAATTTTATTCATTAGATTTTTACTATTAATTTGAATGATAATAATTTCGATAGAATAGTAAAGCAGTGACACCACTTTTTAGAAAAAGCTTCATCAAACCCTTCGGCCACATTGCCAAAGCCAGAGCCGAAGAAGCCAGAACGCGGTGTAAAACAGGTGTCGCACTCTTCGTTCTCTAAGTTTGAGGAGAAACGTCTGCGACAGAGCGAAACCTCGAAGAAGGCCAACCTCCTTAAGTTTAGTGTGTTCAAGAAAAGTAGCACAGGTTGGTATATTAACACATAATTAAACTAAAATTTTGAAGTTTGACAGTCAGTAATATTTATTTGTACCGAATCTTACTGATTAATATAATAAGAAAATATTTGTTATAATTATTTCATTAAAAAAATGTATATATCTGAAGGTTTAAAAATATTGTATGTAACAGTGTGCCATTTATCTCTATTAAATTATATTACTCAGATCCCAAGTTAAACAGCTAGAGCTGTTATATACATGATAGGTATAATCATGGAAATCCGAAGCAAAGAAGGTACCACAATACCCGCACTCGAATCAATATTAAAAGTTTTTTATCTATACCCCACCAAGAACTCGAGCCGTCAGAGATGGTGACGCTTTTCAACGAGTCACCCTGTGATTAAAGCGGCCAATGAGTGTTTATTTATTTAGACGTATACTGGACCAAATACGCGTAGCTCTTTAGCGTTTAATATTCCGCAGAGGAGCATGAGCATTCAGAGAAGCGTGCGCACGAGTTCAAGATTCCCGCTATGGTGAACGAGGGTATGAAGCGTGATTTCCGCACGCGGTTCCCCGCCCTGCCCGCGCACGTGGACCGCGACTCGCGCGCATTCGTACACTCCTTCATAATGGACGTGATCAAGTGCGCCAACGTGATGACCGTTGATGAACTCTCCGAGAGAGTGCAGAGACAGTACCAGGTGACTACTGGCTCCGATACGACTCTTTGTACTATACTAAGACTAATTAAACTCTCCTATCACATAGTAGACCACTACACATACACATAAAGTTTTATGTTGATTTTGACGTTTGACGCACAATAAACGGCAAATAAAATTTTAAATCGGCATTCTGTATCCTGTAACTATCAGAAGTTCACTCGTCAAGCGAATTAAGTTTTTGGCACATAGAATCTTACGCCATTCAATCTTGCAATCTTACGTTTTTTCAACATATTTAACTGTCTCCTCTCCCCCCTGGTAACACATGTTGCGGTTTAAGACTAGGTTCCTTGATTTGGGTGGGTGGGTAATCACGTGTATTTTTTAGTACCCTCAAAAATCTTAAATTGTGACGTCGCTTTTCGGGTTAGTAATCGTGCGTTTGAGGAAAAAATAAATACACTGATATTACTAGACACCCCTCGTACCTTGTGATATTTCTTGATTTTTGATTAAACCCTCCCACCCTTTTGAACCTCACGTGATTAATGGACTGCCCCAAGGGCTCCAATTACATTGAACGCTATTAATAACATTGAATTTAATAAAAGTTGTATGAAGTTCCATAAATTACGACAAACTGACTGGAACGTCAATCGCAGTATTATTTGTGATTTGTGTTCGTAGGTCTCTTATGCACTTATATGAGCTAGGCTTCGAAAACATATTATTCGTGGATTAAAAACTCTTCTCTAGTCGAGTGACTAGCTCGTTCATTTCTGAGGTATTTCTCTTACTTATTTTACAGAGACGAATTATTCAATAAAATTATGGTCATAAATACATAATAAAGTGCATTAAACAAATACCTAAAGTATTGTCACAATATAAGCGAGTAATAAAATTTAATCAAATTACTTTTGAAGTTTATCAGTTAACATCTACTTAATAGTACATTGAATTATGGCGCGTGGATTCAGCTGCCCTCTCTGTAACCACTTACTGTTTGATTATGGTATCAGATTAAATATAGGTTACGTGGACGACATAATATGCCATTGTCACTTATCTACGTATCGTATGTGATGTGAATCCTTTGTTAATGTAACATAGCTGCCATGTATCATAACATCGGTCAATAACAACACTTCCTTCTTACATAAAAATTAAACAGGATACGCCTTAAATAGTCTACGTTGCCTGGAAGAAATCGCTGATTGTGCAGTCTTTTTGTTTTGTAACGACTTTTCTTTGTTTCTGTGAACCATAAAGCGTTTTTATCTTATCTTTATTAGACATTACGGTTGATTATTTTAAATAAATATTTTATTCCGATCTTCACAATTACGAATATTAATAGGCACGAGTACCGTTATCAGCCAATCAGAACCGAGACCGGGAAATAGATGAAAGTTAGTTTATAGAAAACTAGCTATTACGCCCGCAGCTGCACCAGTGTGGAATTCCGTTCATTCGCTACAAAAACTATGCTATGTCCTTCCCTAAGGTCCTCTATATCTGTGTTCAGAATTTCATTAAACTTGGTTTGGTATATAGTTTAGGCGTTAAAACTTAACAGACACACAGACGGCAATCTTCTCATTTATGATATTTATTTTATTATGGATGTAACATCAAAATATATTTTTATTTATTAAAATCCCCGGATTATCTATTTATCAAGCCGGAGCACACACAGGCCTTTCATATGCATGAACGAATCAAATAGGGTCACCATAACTCAGCACATGCGCATTGTAGATGTTTACAACTGCGAGTACAGCGGAGACCAACGGCTTAAGGTGCCTCCCGTAGTACAGATGAACTCGTCACATGACTCGCCCTTGCGAAAGTTTTTTAAATCTTCGTATCACAGACCGAATCCACTAACCGAGAATTTGTCGGGTATTTTGTTCAAAACAAATACATTACATTCAAAAGTTTGAATAATTTTTCGTTAAATTAACACAGCTTTTGAATGTGTAATTATAATAGTTTATGTAATTATATATATTTATTTGTTTATATACATATATGTATATATATATATATATATATATATATTTATTTATTTATGTATGTATGGTATGTATGTGTATGTAAATTTATGCATAGATATTGGTAGTTGTAATTTAATTTTTCACATTGAAACTGTTTGGCTCTCTGTTTCATAGTTGCACCGCCTTTTTTTTTTCTCTGCTCTCTGCTAAAACTCTCCGGTTGACTGGTAGAGAATGCCCCCATGGCATTAAGTCCGCCATTTGTACATTTTAATTTGTGCAATAAAGCTTAAATAATAATAATGTGATTGAAGCTTATCGTATGACTAATGTTACATAACCATTTCTCATTAAAGATATTTATCAGTATAGTATTATGAATGCATAATCAAACAAATATATACAATAATAATTATCGTAAGCGGTGGTAGGCCGTTGAAGCGTTCTTCTATATAGTATTCCGTATAGAGTTGAACGTTTAAACGAAAAGCACTTTATTAAGCATTCTTTTCTAAATAAGTGCAAAAGTGCTTTTTCACTTAGAAGAAAAGTATGCTAATGCTTATTGTACGTCCCGCCATCTATCTATAGCTTCAATAAATTTGTCTGTTTCGGCATTTTTCTATTAGAGGGCAGCACTTTACATAAATACTACAACGCGTGATATCCAACTAGACTTTTTGCAACAAATTTTTTCGTTGGTTTTTAACTGGAATTGTATGCGTAAATTAATTGCTACTTAAGTGACTTTTGAATTTTGAATGACTTTTGTTTATTCCTAAATAAACAATGTAAATGAGTCATTTTATGAGGTGATGGTGTGTATATAAAACATTCTATATATTATTGAACTGCATTAGCTTTAAGTTTGTGGAAATAAAATGTCAAGAAACAGTAATAGTATTGTGGTCTTGTATTATACATAAAAAACTTCCTTTTAAATCATCCTATCTATGAAAAAAAACCGTGATAACACAATCTTGCACGCTTATTATAACGATTTCTTAGCGTCAGTTGAAAAAAAAGCGTTTAAAAAATAAGCAGTTTTTAAAAATGCTTATTAAAAAACGTACAACGTAACAACGCTTAAAAATTTAATCTCTAATTCCATATTCATATGGGGTAGATCTGTGTCCCAGGGGTGGGTTATTAATATGTTGATTGTCTGACGTTGGCGTATTGTTCCACAGCGGTTCATGAAGCATATGGATACGTCGCAACACTTCGTCGGAGTAGACTCTGACACCAAGGAGCTGCTCATGGATTTCGTGGAGAAGCACGCCATGACATACCTGCACGAGTGAGTTCTGTTAAAACATAACTGTAGAAATAAATAGTGTATGTACCAGGAATTGCCTATTGTAAACAATAGCCTACTAGAAAGTATACTCGTTTACAACAACGTAAGTGTGCTCGAAAGTAAACATTTTTACATAAGAATAAATATTATTGACGAAAATAATTAATAATAAAAATTGACTTGGCCTACTTTTTTGATGTTCAGTATCGGTAATGTGTGGTATAAATTATACATCACCATATTCATTGTTGAAGAATTTGTGAACAGTAAATGGCATGGCAGGTTTCTACAAAAGGCAACCACTAAAGGCAATAAGCATTAATCTTTTGATATTTCTTCTTGGACAGTTAATTTTTGTTAAGTATTATTCTTTACTTGAAAAAAAATATTATTATTCTATAGTAGCTCGGTGGCGTAGTGGATAAGCGCCGTGGCCCGCGATCGTAGTCGTTAAGCAACTTTCGCAAGGGTCGGTCACGGGATGGGTGACCAAAAAATTATTATCTCCAGCTACTCCATGCTTCGGAGGGCAAGTTAAGCCGTTGTTCCCGGCTACATTTGCAGTCGTTAATACCCTCCAGTCCGCATTGGGCCAGCGTCGAGGGTCATGGCCCATCCTCCTTAACCATCCATAAGGAAGGCCTGAGGAAAAGGGCTGGTGATGATGATGATGATGATTATTCTATAAGATATACCCGATATCGACCTTAGATTGCCGTCGGTGGTGTTCTCCCCGAACGGTACAGACGACGAGCGCGCCGACCGCGCCATGTCCGAGCGCATCCAGCAGCTGAGCTGGGTCGGCGAGCGGCACCTCGAGTGCAAGCTGGACCGGAACCAGCACGCCTGCCGACAGCTGGTCTACAAGGCCATCAGCGGTCAGTACATCGATATATTCCGATTCCTTGCATGGGTCCTCCTTAGTTCCTGAAGAATTGACTCTTGGATTCTTAAGTATGTGTATATGTACTCTCGAATTTCTTTATCGGCGTCGTCGTCGAGGAAGCAGTAGACTTCTTAAGGCGCGATAGACTACCTAATTTATAGTTTATTTCGTTTCGTTGTTGAGTTTGTGATAATGTCGCCAATAGGGTATTTGAGACTATTAAAAATAAGTTGCGTATTATGGTCATTTTGTTAGATAATAATCTAATAAAGTTTATTTCTTAGAATCTGCAGATAAAATATGTTCAGCTTTAGAAAAATAACAAAGAAAATGTAACATTTTTAGGAATTTTAATGAACAACGAAAACGCCCTGTAATTGGTTATCGTCGCAACCAATTACAGGTTTTGTTTACCGGCATGTGACGTCATACATAAACCGGAATCTGTCATGTCAAAATTTGTATTTATACATACAATGTACATACAATTTGAAACTTAGTTTTATAAACAAAACCAGAGTAGATACAAATATAAACATAAAATTTAACTTCAATGTCTCTTCTGTAATACTATTTCTTTACTTCGTAGATAAATAGTTAATAAATAGGTTATGTCGCCTTGATATATTTACCGGCATGTGACGTCACAAATATCACGTAGAGCAGCGTTTTTTGCGGGATATTGCATTTTTAAATTTTAACAATTATTTTCATAAAAAATAGAACAGATTCTCATGAAATATATTGACAGTGTATTTATAACGTATCAAACAACCGTTTAAAATAGTTTTCAGAAAAGCGTCAAATACCCTATATGTAATTATGCTTTGTATGTTTGCGGGGTTGTGTACAACAGTAGACGCGTAATGTAATGAGTAGTGTACACTCGCAGAGTTGCTGGGCATGGACAGCGCGGCGTCGCCGGGCGGCAAGTTGGCGCGCGTGCGGCGCTGCTGCCGGCACGTGCTGGCGCTGTGCGGCGCGCCCGCCTCCGCCGACGACCTGCTGCCCGCGCTCATATTCACCGTGAGTACCTCGCGCTATATGCTATACCTATACTCCAGTCATTGTAACATTGGAAACAAAGAGTATCACAGAAGCAGCAGTGCACAACATTTTATCCTCGAGATAAATTTAAAAATTGATATGTAATAGTTTTGTTGAAACTTTGAACGTTAGGTAGTCTGAACGTGTTGGGCAATTTTCCATTTTCTTGGGGCTGAGCTTTTTTAAATTCATTTTTTACTACCAAGCCAACATGGAACTATATCTATCTGTTGTTTTGATAAATTCTGATTGTAAGTGTATATAATTGGAATAGAATTTAGTTATATATATGCCCAGGAAATAAAGGTAAACAAAATTAAATTTTTATTATTACTTTTATAACATTTAATCAGATATTAGACTATTGATTAAGACATAAGAAACTTCTTGAAATGACAAAGGTAATTGTTGGAGGCCACTCGGCCCTGCACCGGAATCATCCATATTTAGCAAAAATTTGCAACAAAAACAAAACTATAATAAAACAATAACAATTCAATCACGGAAAACGGCAAAACAACAAGAAACGCAGTAGCATTCACAATGAATGTCAATCCTAGATTACGTACGTATTTTGACTATTATGAATACATCATAATCTGACAAAATTAAAAAGCTATACTGCCGAAACGTTTGAAGGCATTAGGCGACGTTTTAATTTGGTAGAATTATAGTGACATGAGAATCGTGCCGAAACTATCCAACCCTGCTTCTTTAGGTTCTTTAAAATGAACACTTTTTATTGTAATAGTATTTAAATCTTTTAAGTATGTCAAATACTTATCAATTTGTTTAATAGATAGCTTAAAAGACAACGGTTAAGTAAAGGAGCTGGTATTAAAGTGGTTATGTAGCAAATTAGCCGTTACTCTTAAGAGTAACATGATTGTTGATATTCTGTCACAAAGTAAACCATAAAAAGAACCTTATTTTAGTTCTGTCTAATGCTATAATGAATGGAGTATACCTACCTACTACCCGCCCGCCTTGGCGATACACTACCGAGGTGTCCTGATTTTCATTATTCTTCCAAAATAATGTTTTTTTTTTTTTAATTGGTCGCTTGATTTCTTGTGTATAAGTGATTTGCATTCCGAGTACGATATTCGCGCCTTCTCACTCATGGAAATCATGGAAACAAATTAACACTTACCACTTTTTTCTTTTTGATACGCATTTAATAATGTATATTTCATTCTAAAGTAATGTGTGTTAAATTCAAATATTCTGACAATAATAATAATAGTATACGTATTTATTGAGCGCATTAAACTTAACAGCTGATCGCGCGCTATGTGCGGCTAAACCATACAGTTGCCAATATCGACGTCCGCTTTGACGTGTGGGGTCATCCATAAATTACGTCACAATTTAGGAGAGGGGGGAATTTTCTTAGATAAATAGGTGACAGGAAGGAGGGGGGTTAAAAATTTCTTGATTCGAGTCTGCGACATCCCATAAAATCTGTTTTTATAAATCAAGTTTTAAAACGTTATTTTTAATGTAAATTATTGTTATTAAAATGTCTTAAGCTACAGTTTTTACAGGCGATAGATGTTTCTTTACATATTTTTCTATAAGTGTCAGGGGTACTATACAAAATTTTTCAAATACAAATTTTTTTGTTCAGGTTTTAAAAGCTAATCCGCCTCGTCTAGTGAGCAACATCAATTTTGTGACGCGCTTCTGTAACGCCCAGCGCCTGATGACCGGCGAGGGAGGCTACTACTTTACAAACTTGGTGAGTGAGTCTAGTTTGTCCCCTTTCACCTTCGATGAATAATGCAACCAGATGTCCGGTAAGAATCTTAAAAATGTAACGGCCTCACTTCAAAGTTAGGTCTTATTTGCTTTTATTTTCTTATAAAAATGCAAAAATAACTATCGAAATTAAAATATATATGTCGAAATATCATGTTTTCAGGTTGTAAATGTAATTTTACAATCTTTATAATTAATAAACAAAGTATTTTTATAAAATAACAGAGTTTTGTTTGTGAGCGAACCCACGCGCCAACATGGCAAACATTTGACCAAATATTTGATGAATGAAACAACTTTTAAACTGTTTCATCACGTTTGTATTTAGTTTTATTAACGTTTCGGACCCTTTACAGGTCCCATGTTCACATAAGACTAAGGGGTTTCATTCATGGATAGTACGCGTGAAAATATAAGAAATCAACAAATATTCGATGTTCTTAGACAGCACATACATGGAGTAGTGTACTATGACATTTTTTTCTTTACCAAAAATTTGAATTCTAGTTGAAAACCATCTTGGAGTAGTGGTTCGTATTCTTAATTACAAAGCCATGTGTATATTGAATATCTATTTACAGCAAAACTATTTTAAACAAAAGATGCGTTTCCTGAAAATGACGAATTAAACCATAAAACTGACATATTTAAATCGGTGATTGAATATTAATAGTTTTTAAAAGAAATGAAGGTTAGAATATACCATGGTTCCGGTAATTAGTCAATTAAGACCTCAACCCAGATCACACAATGCAAAACCCAAACTTACAGTTCTGTAAACATTAAAATTATAAGGAGTAATCACTTTCTTGTCAGAGTTTGTTTCGTTGTTTTTATCAGACAAGACTCCCAAATTTTGGACTACTGTTAGTTTATGGTAGTGGCAAGGGCAAATAAACAAACAATTAATAATTCAAATATTCTATAATAGTGTAATAGTTAATTTAATATTAATAATCTTTGTATTAATATTTAATTAACTATTACACTATTATAGAATATTTGAATACTCAATTAAATATTAATACAAACATTATTAATATTAAATTAATTATTTTACTGTTGTTTATATTCAAAATCTCCCACCTCCCTAAAGAGGGGATCGGATAACTTTCTAAAAGCTGTTTTAAATTAATTAGTCAGTATGTGTACTTATTCCCACAAAAAATATTATTTGATGTCAATATAACCATAATGATATACCAAAAAAATGTTTAACTGCGTAAACGTTGTAACAGGATGACCATAATACGAACTTAATTTTCATACTGTCAAATTCCCTTATTACTGGGCTGCGAGGGTTTGTAGTCGCGCAACCGGAAGCGATGTATACGCGGTCGAATAATCCTCTTCAAACACGAGTTCAAATACCTTTAATTTACTTTATTTACTCACTAAGTATTTTATATCTGTTATGTGTATGAATAATTTTTTTTTTTGCAGTGTTGTGCAGTATCTTTTATCGAAAATTTGACCGCCGAGTCGTTGAATATGGACAAAAAAGAATTTGACTGCTACATGTCTATGCCCGCTTCTATCGGTGGCAGCGCTTGGGTGAGTGTTATCTGAGTTTACTTTAAAAAAAATATTATAAGTTCATTATCTGTCTGGGTGTTGTGGTACTTTCGTTGTCTCAGATTCTCCATAATACGGGGACTTTAGTTACTTATGTAATAGTTATTTAATGTTTATTTATTATCAATTATCTTTGGTCTATTAATGTCTTCATTGCTGGGATACAAGCCTTCCCTATAGATGGAGTATTCTAAACATCAGGCAAAACATAACCGTCTTGATTGCGCGCGGCAAATGCCTCGAAGCGCCTTAAAATCACTCAACTCATCAGTTTCAAACTCTTGATTGACATATTTTGAAAATCGAGATAGTTTGTAAAACGAATGATAGAATAACGATTATATGGTGACAGGCTGCAGCGTTGTCTCTGTGCGGGGCGACTCGTGAGGCAGAGGAGCAGCGTGAGGCCGCGCTACGTGTGCTGCAAGACGCGCGGGAGGTACAGGCGCGCGCACAAGCGCTGCACACCGACGCGCTGGCATTCCAGGTACTGGTATACCGCAGCGGGACAGTGCGCTGCAAGACGCGCGGGTCCGTCCGTCCCTATTAGTCCGTCAATGGCCATAGTAAAGCGTTATCGAATGTATAATGTATATTTTACATATTTTACATTTATAATATTGTTCTCCTATGGGACCAATTTGAGAATTTTACATATTAAAAGTGATCAGTACTTTCGGCATAAATATTTAAAAAATCATACAGGAGATTTTTGACAAAAAAAATTCTTTTCACAGGAGCAAATTGCGAAGAAAGTCGAGGATGTTTTAGCGAAGACCCCATTAGAAATCAAACCCAGAAGAGAAATACCGAGGCTGCGTAGATCCAAAACGGCGGACGCGAGCCCGCTCATTGACCTTGAACCGATCCCAACTCACAACCCGCCCAGATCGCTCGCCACAGACACCTCTGAGCCACCACCTCCTCTCCTGAACTTTGATGTTGTGTCTGCAGACAACCCGCAAATTAGCCGAACTATTGTCGAAAACCAAGTGCCGACCGAAGAAAAAGATTCCATTGAAGACCAAATACATGAAACAGACAGTGGGGAGATATGTTCAAAAACGTGCGAACCTCCGGTCGCCGCGCAGCCGACTGAACCGAAATTGAATATTCTAGGCTTCGAGGTCATAGAAAAACCATCTACTTCGGTGCCGCCAAGGAATCTCGAGCAAACGTTTGAATTGAAACAGGCGAGCTCATTGGAACTGCTCACGCCGTCTCCGCTCGGTTTTACCCCGTTCGATTCGAGATCGATCGATGAACTGATGACGCCGGATGAATTCGGCTCCGACAGCTTAGCGCCGGGCTTGAGCAACATAAACTATGACATAGATTTGTCCGATTTGAGCGGTGACAATAGTGTCGCCGAGGATGCGCCTAAGGAAGCCAAGGATCCTTTCAGTCCCGATGGTCTGAAGACAACGTTCGATCCGTTCGCGCCGCAAACTAGCGCGGTCGCATACAAGGAAGTGTTAGATAAATTCGACGAGTTTACTCTGACGGATACCAAACCGAATCAGTCATTTGATCCTTTCGATGTGATTCATAGAAGTGACCCGTTCAGTCCAGTTCTTACGGTGAACATGGAACACAAGCCAAATGATCCATTCAGTCCAGAACAGAGAGAAGCTTCCTCGATTCTTGATGATAGTGATTCACCCACAAGCGCATGTCTGTTGCCGTCGCCCTTGCAACCTCAGACTAGCAATAAACCCTAGTAATAAATACAATATTTTGCCAAACATTTGCCTATTTATTCTGAAAAGAATCGTTAAAAATATTTGTTTTATATAATTATGTTATTAGTTTAATAGATCTAATAAGTTAATAGATATTTATTATTACTGTTGTGGTTAAGTATGATGTAAGTTATATAAGTAAATTTATATTCCATAGGCGTGTAAAATAAATCAAAATGAATCTTTTACATGGTTTTTATTCATATCAACAAATGCTGAATCGAATAGCACTTTATAATGCTCATTTATGAAGGTACCTAGGAGGGAAGGTGACGGTGATGACTCAAATATCTAATGTACATAACACTAGTACGCATGTAGACAGTAAAAATAAATACATATTTGTATCATGTCCGCTTAGTTGACCACAAACTGAATACATAAAATCAAAATAGAAAGCTACGTTTTCTTTTTTTTTCTGGTAGTGTTATCATACTATAGTATGTTAATATAAAAATAATAAAGAAAACTAAGCATAAAAGTGAGTGAAAAAAATAAGCATAAAATATAATAACTTTTTTAATTAAGTATGAAAAACAAATATTTCGTACTCGTTGTCACGTGACCGCAAATAGCGCATGACGTTACGTCCCTCTTACTCAAATCGGACTTCAAAATCAACCTTATGCATACATAGAACGATATTACCTAGTCTGGCCATAAATTCTGTTATTGACTGTTTACATACGAGTACATTTAAAAAAGCATTAATATGAATTTCGAACATTAGCTTCTACAATAAAAAAATAGTTATTTCCCGCCGTTATTGTATATTTGTTTTAAAAAAGGGAGTGGGGCACTAAAGAGAATAGGGTTGCAGTAATTGCACTGTACAAAATAGGTAAGGAGCCAGCCGACATTTTTGATACATTGAAAAATCTCTATTCGAACAAGGCCATCAATGCAGTCAAAGCTATGGGATTTAGAATTCTTCGAAATCCCATAAGGAAACAGAAAATCCTTTCCAGAGAAATGAGAATCCCACCGAGAACACTGGCTTACCGGGGATACACAGGACATACCTTAAATCAGGCACTAAAACAAAAGTGAGTCGATAGATCAAAATAGCTGTTACTTCGATACGCGGACGAAAAACACAGAAAAAATATCTTTACCGATGTAAAAATGTTTTACAATCGAGGAGCACTGATCGAGTGTATGCAGACAGCTCTAAAGAAGCTTCCGAGGTAGTAGCCAAAGTTCAGCGTGGCCATCATCCAGCATACGTAATGGTTTGGTGAGGTGTCTCTTATAAAACTCCATTGTTGCGAAAAAGGAGTAAAAACTTCAGTCAAAGTGCATCATTATATATATTCGGCTAGTCTGGGCTTAAACCCTTACTATAAATTATGATCTGTGCTAGAGGACATGTCATCACTCCGCTCCCAGCTTTCGTTGCGCGCACCCGTGCGCGTACACAACTCTCTTCTACCCAAACTGTAAGTACATCGCGTGCCTTCTGCACACCCCCCGAGCACAGGCCCTGCTGCTTTTGTTTTTCTCAAAACATTAAAACAGTAGGACTTAACTCACTTTCATCTTCTTGAGTTGGTGGATACCTGACGGTGGCAACTAAGCCAACTGAGCGATCCCGGTGCGCTCTCTGAGGCCCTTTAGGCTCTAGCAACACCGAAGACCCGATCCCAGTGCACTTGGGCCTTGTCCCAAGGGTGAAGGTTTGCCGCTACATCCAATAGGGATACATTTTTATGGATGTGCAGAGGACAAAAATAACCTACACCCATGCCAAAAACATGGGTATAGCTATCAGGGTGGAAACACCCACTAGCGAGGACTTTAGAGCCCTCACTAGACTTCTCACCCACCACAAGGTGGGTTATCACACTTACGCCCTCCCGGAGAAGCGTTAAGTTCGTGCGGTTCTCCGAAACGTTCCAAACGAACTCGCGACCGATCAGATCCATAAGGATCTAAATGAACAAGGCTTCCCCGTGAAGTCTGTTCATAAAATGCACAGTAGGGCTGCGAAACCCTTCCCCCTGGCCCTACTCATCCTCCCCAATGTCCCAAACGCGCGCGACATTTTTAAGGCCTTAGGGTCTGCGGCCTTTTCGGGGTTAAAGCTGAACCCCCACACCGACGTGGTACCCCTGGGCAGTGCCACCGCTACCAATTTTATGGTCATGCGGCGGCCAACTGCTCTGCGACTCCGAGGTACGTCAAGTGCCTCGAATCGCACTCCACAAAGGAGTGTACTCGCACACAAGACACTCCGACCCCCCCCCCCTGCTTGCGTGCTGTGTGGCCAAGTTGGTCACACAGCAAATCACAAAGGTAGCCCGAGAGCGCTGAAGCCCAAACCCTCTTCTAGAAAGAAGGGTATGGGTCCAGCAGTCCACCTCCGCCTACCATGTGCAAATTTCTCCGCCCCTCTTAGGGCGAAAACCATTCCCCCCCCCCCCCCGAAACCCCTGCAGGCAAAACCCCCTCCAAGGGCTTTCCCCTCTGCTCCCGCACCCAACCCCGCCCCTTCCTCTTTGGCTGAAGATGTGAAGATAAGTATCCATTCTTGCGGCTAAGTTTGAATAACACGTTAGGTTCCCCGAATACGGTGGTGGCGACCTCCTCCGGGGGTGTTAGGCCGGTAGGTGTATCGCTTATTTCATCAATGCCAACTTACTACGAGCGAAAGTACCTGAACTCAGGCAACTCGCGCACGATAGGGGACACCGACATTCTCTTGATACAAGAGACCAAACTTAAGCCCGCCATCCGAGGCGGACTCGCGTACCAATCTTACGCTCTTTTGCGTAACGATAAGCCCTTCCTTCCTGGTGGGACCGCTTCCGGCGGTACCGCTATTTACTATAAGAGGGCACTCCATTGCTCTCCGCTCCCCACCCCCCCTCTCGTCAATATGCAAGCCACTCTACGTAGACTGTCTATGACGGGTCATCGTACCCTCATCATAGCCTCAGTCTACATAGAGGCCGGCTCGCTACTCATCCAAAGTGACTTCTAAGCACTCCTAGCTCTAGGACATTCAGTAGTTTCTTAGGCGACTTCAACTCTAAGCACACCGATTGGTCGTGCTTCAAAACTAACCGGGGCGACAGAGTATTAAAAAATATACTCGAAGCCCTCGAGTTAGACATTATCACCCCATACTCCCCAACTCGCTATCCTTATGTCCTCGACCACGACCCCGACATATTAGACTTTGTGTTACTGAAAGGCGTCTCTCTTCGACTTAAATCAATAGACTCACTCGATGATTTAGGCTCCAATCATCGCCCGGTCTTCCTCTAGGGAACCCTATACCCCCCCCCCCCCCGCCCCCCCCGCCCCACAACCAAGATGGTTACTGATTGGGACGGTTATAGATCGTCTCTTTCAGCGGCTATGGCCAATCCAAATTCACCGCACGCTACTGGACACGACTATTTCAATAGTACGGCGAAAATAGATAGTGCGGTGGACAATCTCACCCACACGATCCAAAAGACTCTAGCGGATAACGCGAGGGAGGTACCTGTGAAACATCACAGTGACATCCCTCCGGATCTGCGGAACCTTAGAAGGGCCAAAAACGCAGCTCTCCGGAGAGCAGCCTAATACCCCACTCCGGAATACAGAGCCGTAGCCAATCGCCTCCAACGTAGGTACAATGAACTTAATGAACTTAAAGAGTTCAGAGAAAATCAAAATCAAAATCATTTATTCAGTCTAGGCTGTTACAAGCACTTGTGAAAGTCGAGAGCTACGCCAACGGTTCGTAAATCTACGGCGGGAGACCTTGTACCGAGAAGAACCGGCAAGAAACTCGGCAAGGGCTGCTTTTTTCTCCCTGTTTTATTTCATACAGAGCGTCAAGATTGAAAAATGACTTCATTAAAATTTGAAGTCACTTTCCATTACAATATAACACAATATTAAGAGTAAAACAGTATTTTCGTCAATCCAATCACATTTGTAGCCAAAGAAGCTCACCGATTAACAATTTAATATATATGAAAAATGAGCCATATTTAACTCCAAGTAGTTTTGTCGTTTAAATATTCATTAATAGTATAATATCCTTTACTGAGTAGACAATTCTTAACATGGGTTTTAAACTTAGGTAATGGTAAATTTAAAATTTCCATAGGAATTTTGTTATAGTAGTGTACACCTTGACCCATAAATGACGATAGAACCTTCTTTAGCCTGCATGACGGCAAAACAAGTTTATCTTTGTTTCTAGTATTAAAATTGTGTACATGACTATGTTTAATATAATTGTTTATATTGTTTCTAACATAAAGTATACAATAATATATGAATTGGGAGGCCACTGTTAATATCCCAATTTCTTTGAATTTATCTCTAAGTGACGTTCTTGAACCCAATTGATAAATGGCCCTTACTGCTCTTTTTTGTAAAATAAATATAGACTCTATATCTGCAGCCATACCCCACATCAGAATGCCATATGACATAACGCTATGGAAATAACTAAAGTATACTGTCCTAGCGGTATCTACATCTGTAAGTTGCCTAATTTTTTTTATTGCAAAGGCAGCTGAACTTAGTTTTCCTGCCAATAATGAAATGTGAGGATGCCATTGCAATTTAGAATCCAGCGTTACACCTAAGAAGATTGTTGAATCAACCAACTCGAGCTTTTCATTATTAAGTTTAATTTCTGTAAGTTCAGCTTTTACATTAGGTAACATAAACTTTATACATTTCGTTTTTTTAGCATTTAACTGGAGATTATTTACAGTAAACCAGGTCATAATCTGTGATAGAGCATTGTGACCAGGTCATAATCTGTGATAGAGCATCTGTGAGACAATAGCTTCGCCAATGTGATGGCAGATATGAAATGAAATGATATGAAAATATTTTATTCAAGTAAGCTTATTACAAGCACTTTTTAATCGTCCAAAAATATTTTTTCCCCTACCACTTGTTCAGGACGTCTTTTAATATTACCCCCTCTCACTTGGCATACTACAGGGTCGCCACAGCGTTGCGTGCCGACGCGGTCACTCAGACCCCGCCGCTGCTTCGTCCCGATGACACCACAGCCTTCGAGGATGACGAAAAAGCGGAGTGCTTCGCTGACAGCGTGGCCACGCAATGCTCAATCAGTAACCACGAGTGTGACCAAGCTCACATACGGGCGGTAGAGGAGGAGTTATCAGCAATGAACGCCCCTTACTACATCCGCAATGCGGATCTACATAGACCTCGATCTTCCCACTATTCAACAGTGGTGTATCAAAGCCTCTGAACGCTTCTTCAAAGCGGCAGAGGGTCACCCCAATCCCCTCATCCAATCTGCCGCGGACTATGTGCCACCCTCCTCCTCCTCCCCTCTCGCCCGTAGGCCCAAATTGGTTTTCACCGATCCTCCGTCCAAACTTTCCGCCGACCTGGACCTCCTCCTGGAGGCCCAGCAGGCGGATTCCACCCCTACCCCCTCTGACCCTTCAGGTCTACACCCGTCTCCGTCCAATTCGACAGCTACCGCCTCAAGGTAACAGCCACACATTCTAAAGGGCATCACGTAGCACCCTTCTAATGGTACGTGATAGCTCCCCTCCCTGCTCTTCGTACCCGACGCAGGTCAACCCCCGTCCGCTGATCGTTCCCCTTCAGAGAGTCAGCTGTATTTCAATCCGATGAGCCGAGCCCCCCGGGGTTAACGGCTAACATCTCGATGTCACAATTCATGTAGGTGAATAGTGACGTCTGCGCTCCCCCCACCTCCCTTGCGGGGGGGCGGTCGCTCCGGTCGAAGGTTCGTGTCCCTTTCAGGGCACGCAACCAATTGTCCAAGGCGGTGTTTAGTCAGAAGGAGTCTTACATAACCACACAGCCGGCTGTGTGGTCTCCAATGAAGGATTCACCGCCTCCTTCCTTTGCTAAGGTTGAGAGCCGAAAAAAAAATGAGGACATGGCCTGCTCTAAGTGTCACCCTAATATCGAGTCGCTCAAAAAATGTTTGGGGGCAGCAGTGACCAAGTTTCCAATGGAAACCGTTCGTAAATCCATCGACGAATGGCCAAACCGTGTAAAGCGTGCGTTAAAGCTAAGCTTAAAGTACGTTAACAACATAATCACATATAAAACTTTGAAATAAATTTTTTTTTTAGAAATTATCAGATATTTTCTTTGTAACAGAACTTATGGCTAGACTCGGTATGTATATCTATAAAATTAAAAAAGTTGTCTACGCCCCTTTTTTATAATGGAGTTTATGAGGATATCAATAAATTGTATCAACACTAATCTACCGACACTATATCTACACTATCTTACCCATCCCAATATTATTATTAGTCGTGAGTAGTAGTAGTAGTACCACAATACCTAGGCCCGTAAACGAAATATTAGCACTCAGGGTGGGAGAATCAAAGGTCCTGCCAGAGGAGGTGAGTAAAAAGTAGAATAAAAAGTGGTAATGTCGTACAAATCTCGCCTTAAGTGCTCGATCCTCTTCGGCTTGCATTGCTGGGTCATGACTCTGTGGGCCCGAGGGTAAATAAGTCCTTGGTAACGGTCAAAAAGTTCATTATTTATAAACATTAACTATTTTTAAAGCTGTATTTTAGAGTACTCTTTGTTTTAGGTAACTATTATTTATAGGACTATCACAGTAGAATTCTAATTCGGGTCCGGATTTTTACGGAAACGATCAGCAGCCCTGCGAATCTGTAGGTAAAAATCCGAATTAAACTTCCCTCAGGTGTCCGAATTGACTTCAAAAGCGGTATCCGCTCAACCTTGGATTGGTAATGTTTTTTGTGATATAAGTGAAATGAGTTTCGAATACATTTTCGAATAGGATTCTTGAGACACGTATAAATCAATCAATCATTTTTATACAAAAATGGAACCAGTAGAATTTTTACACATAAATGGCATGAGTTCGGACACATGAGTGAATTCGAATTTCGGGTTCGGATTTTTACAGAATCGCTCTGTTGTGTTGATTCCATGATCGTATCTTCCCTTTTTATTTTACCCAAAGCTTATGTATTATCTATGCCCAAAGCTTTGATTAAAAGGCCGTTAAACATTTCACTCTGACGATAAAAATTGTATTAGAATGAGAACTTTGATTGTGTTCCGTTTTACATGATTACATGTTAGAATGTTGAAAATGATTTAAACTTTACCTGACATGACAGCACTTGACAATTAATTACGTAAAACAGAACGATAGTGATACGAGTCCGGATATCGAAATCTTTTTGATGTATTTTATTTTCGGCTATTTCTTAGATAAAACAAGTTAAATATGCCGGCAACACGAATTATTGGACGGTTATATAGTACTCCTATTATAAACTTCACTTCTTGTTGCCATAAAAATGTGTCAAAACTGCAAGTTCGACATAGTGTTACTGTTACAAGAAAATCGAATTTATTTATTCCAATCACTGTGAAAGCTCGAAAACTAGGCTTGGGGCCCACATCGAAAGATTTTGAGGATCCTGCACAATTCACAGGACCATTAACAAAAGCACACGCGACAGAACTTGTTCTTCATATGAACGACGAAGAAAGAAAATTATTGTTCACAGCACTACAGGAATTTGAATCAAACAGAATCAAAGAGGAATTTGAAGGTAAAGAAGAAGGTTATGCACTGGTATAAATGCGACCGTGATGCAATGATGCTCAGATTTAAGTATATACTTGATTGCAGATAAACTAGCTGGCCTAAGATGGAGAAGTAAGTTTGGGAGGCCTAGTAAGGTTCCAACACTGGGTGACGTAGACCCTACGGGTAGTTACTGTCCGGTTCCCGAGGATTGGTTGAAGAAAAAATATGGTATGTCTAGACAATTGAAAAATGTTTTCATATATCCAATTTTTTCTGGTTTGAACTGGTTAATGGGTGTTGATCTTATATTTGATTTATGCTAAATACATTCTTTTGTTTTTATTGAAATAATATGTAGATTCAATAAAGAAAGTCATAATTCTGTTTATGCAAATTAAACAGGATTTCTTTTAAAAGTGAGAAGTTTAAAAATTAAATAATAAGTATGTATTTTTCTTCAATTGCTATGCTTTAACTATTAAAAGATAACATTTAATATTAATATTTTTTTATTTGTATTATATGTTTCAGCTTCCACAGTGCCAAAGCCAACAACTAAAGAGTTACTGCACTGTAAGTTGCTATTGAATATCTAGAATCAATCTTAACTTAAAAATTCTATATTTGACTTCTATTTTACTTTTGTAATGTAACATAGATGTATATTAGTTATCTTTGTTCCTAACAGTATTGAGAAAGCAGTTTATAAGATAAAAACCAAGTGTAGTATGTGAGAACATAATCACCAACTGTTGTAATAATGTCTTTTGTAGAAAAACTGATTCTTTAAATTCTTAATACAACAAAAACAGATATGTAGTTTTTTTTCCACATGCTTTTAATTTGACTTTGTTTACAAAATAAGAGAATGCTGAGATATCACAAAAAGTTTCATAACAACTTTACATACATTTTTTTTCTTTACAGTGGCATTATCAAATTCAATACCTTTCATAGGTTTTGGATTTCTGGACAACTTCATAATGATAATAGCTGTAAGTATGTCTCAATTTAACGCTAAAGTATTATATTTGATAATTATTAATAATATATCTGCCTAGTTAGAATATTTCTAAAAAAGGCATAAAGTTGCTTCTTCTACCTCCACCTAACTACACTAAAACTTTGAAAATTTAACAGTGTATATGTGGAAGTAAGAATATGATATAACAATATGAATGGAAGTATGTATCTATATTTTTTATTTTTTCGTCGATATTATGCAGTGCATGATTGTCATACTTTTGTCAATGCATCTTTTAAACATGATTCCTTTCGGTTTTGTTGTTGAGTTTGCCCCGACTGTGAGTCATTCTGTTCTGCATTAAAATTTATGATTTGTTTTATGTGTGTATTGATTATAAAACTATTTCAATTGTGTAGTTATTTAGTATTATTTAACAGAATTCTAAACTACTGGGCTTGTTTCTTTCTTTTTAGATTTTATTTAAGTTAATTTGTTCATTTATTTTTTTAATCAATCACAAAATGTTCGAAAAATAACAATGATTTGAACTTTTGTGTATTAAATAGTAGAAAGTGTTACTGATATAGTAGAAGTCGGTATTATATTTGTTATTATAATAGATTATTATTTTAATGTATGTAGCATTGATATTTGGGGAAAAACGGTCTAAGTTCGAGGTCGAAGCATGTTTTAAATTTCAAGTTCTATATATCTACTTAAAATCTATATTAAGTTTCAGTATTTTAATGAAAGCATTTTAAAATTCTCATTTAAGACTTATAATTTTTTAGATGTAAATGAAATCCATCTCTTTTATGAATTATATTTTTTGTATGTTAAATATAGAAGCGTGGGTGTGAAACAGCCTCTTCAGTAATTGAAATATAAATATAATCTTAGAAAATTTACTCCTCTATATTAAAATGATATTGAATGATTAAGACGGGTGTGGTGCGCGCGCCCCCTCGCGCCGGCGTCTCGGTGTGCAAGAAAGTATATTGTAGTTCGGAGGATGAGCCTCCGGTTGGTTGAAGTGGCGAGGCAAACTGGTTTTCTCCCCCCGCGCCCCCTCGGCCCGCGCTGAGAGACGGGAACGGCGCGAACTCCGCCCTTCCTGTATCCCATCGCCTTCTCTCCAAATCTAAGGGTACATCGGAAAGTCAAAACACCCCCCGCCGCCTGTCAAGCGCCCGTAATGTTGCGAAGCGAAAAGAGATTGTAGACAGAAGACAGCTTATGTATGTGTATCGCTGCAGGGCGACAGTATCGAGAGCAGCATGAGCGCGTACATCACGCTGTCGACGATGGCGGCGGCGGCGCTGGGCAACACGTTCAGCGACGTGATCGGCATCGGCTCCTCGCACTACGTGGAGCGCGCCGCCGCCCTCATCGGCCTCGGCGCGCCCAAGCTCGCGCCGGTGCAGCTCGACATGCCCGTCACCAGGAGGTTCACCAACATGGTAACATTACATATACCTGCCATTCTACACTGAATGGATTGAACGAATTTGAATGAATATATTTAAATTGTGTAATGGTCTCCTACATGAAGTTAGCAGTATTGTGGTGACGCAAAGTTAAGAAGAAGTAGTTATAACAGATGAGGGGTATTTAACGCAATACAAAAACTCACGTTGCAAACGTTGTTGTGGATCACCCTTATCACCCTTAGGGATATAAAAAAATAGATAACCTATTCTCGAACCACCTGAATATACTTATAAAGAATCATTGACATCAGTTAAGCCGCTTCTGAAGAGTATAGTAACTAAAACTGTGGTATGAGAATTTATATATGTAATAGATATTTATCTTTTCCGTCATTTTCTTATGTAGACATATCTTAACGACGGCATAAATAGACAAAAGTTTAAATCATGATTTAATTTTAAGGCAAAAAACGTGTACGTATATTTTTCCAAAATATTTGTTTTGTGGCTAATTTAAATAAAAATATATATGTACGTATTTAAATAAAAATATATAAGTACTTTTTCAATCGGTATATAATGCCCTATTAATATATTCATTGATTCCCTTTTTTGTAGGGACGAGTAATTGGCATCACAATAGGTTGCTTCCTCGGCATGACGCCGCTACTGTTCAAGGATGACGAAAAGGAATCGAGTAAACCGGATAGTCCTGATAAAAAAGCGAAGTAGCTAAGTATTTAATGCTTCATTAGACGAGGAATAATCTAATAGTTTTACACTGTCCATAACTCAATTTATTCTTATATTTGTAAATATTTGAGATTTATTAGTACTAAAGCCACTATATATGTGGCATGCACATACTCGAATGTAGATCCACATAAATATTATGTATACGTACAAATTCGTAAATTGTAAGACAAATAATATGCACATAGCAATCTTATACCTAATTATATTTATAAATTATTCGAGGCCATCGTGCCAAATCATTGGTTTCCTTTATATAGCTGTAATATAGTGTCTGTGGTTTTATGTGACAACATGTCGAGTATTCGAATCTCCTATGGTAGACTTTTTTTAACTATCGCGAAGTAGATCAGACGCGGGAGTGCTTGTAACAAAAAATGTTTTTAACTCGCTAATGAACTTAAGGTGCCGAGTGTTTTTTTCAAACTACATAACGTAGTCAAATGAGTGAAAATTTTAAATAAATGATTTTAAGCTTTTACCTTCCTAAAAAGTAATAATACTATGCTATTTGGCGTTATTAAAATTTTTTTGAAAACTTATGCATCATATAAACCATATTAACACATGCTCAGTTGTGTCGTACATATGTATGTGTGAGCAAACCTGTTCAGTCATAATTTTTTGCAACTCAAATGCGTAATAAAACCTTACATATTCATTAGTGTTTATATGAAATAATAATAATGGCAACACTGACATCACAGATTCAAGTTAAAGTGGAACGTCATGGTTCAATCCTTTTCGGCATTAGTGTTTCTTTTTTGTTATTGATGAAAATGTTCAAATTATTTTATCTTATACAAATCGAATACATGTTTACCTAAAGTAAAAAATTGGGTATTATGAAAAGCACATTAAATGAAGGGAGTTGGAGGGAGCACTACAGAATTTTCCCACTCCGGGATATGCAAATAAGGGTGTACTTTGAGAAACTTTATAAACTTGAATTTAAACCAACTAATACAAGCAGTAATCGCAATTTGGATTTCCATTCTTTACGGTCATAAATTTTTAATAAATAGTGGTCGGAATTAGGTAGAGTTATTCATGTTCTTACACTGATTTCATACAGCGAAAGAATAAAGTGGATATGCCTCAAATCCCGAGATTAATTTTAAAGAGCAGAAAAAATCCCGTGATTTTTAAATAAAAAGTTATTTACTTTTACACAATTTAAACTAGTGCACGCATGACGTTGCCAAACTTACATCAATGAAAGAAAGAAATAAAGAAATAAATAAATCCCCGGGAAGGTTCACATTAATATCAACATTTCGATGCAAGTACATAAATAACTCTACCTAATTCCTACCTCTGTTAATAAAGCAAACGCAATATTAGGACGTTTTAACAAACGTCAAATCGTATAATACAAAAAACCAATATGTTGACTCTGACGTTCCACTATGTATTCCGACAAACATTAACTGCTGAGTAATATCATATAAACCATAACAGATCTTTTTAATTAAGTCAATAAAAAGTAAAGATCTTTTTAAATAGTAGTGCATCATGTAGGAAAACATTAAAATTCGGTTTATTAAAAATATTGTTATAAAAATGTAATGATTTGAATCGATTTATTGACACATCATTTATTAAGTATTTATGTAACTTTATTTATGGATTTTTAGATTGAATTTTTTTTTTGTAGGTCAATCAGTCTTAATTTTTTAATAATTGTATATAAGAGGAAAGTATCATTCTGTCTGTATTTTATTATAATATGTATTACCGATAGAAACTTATTTACACATGTTAAAGGTCCAGAACTCTTTAAAATTAATCCATAGTGAGTAGATGACCAAAGCTAATGCATGAGTGTGTTCGACTTCAAGTGTTGCCATGTTACTGCCATTGCTCACATGGCAACACTTACCTCTATTAAATTTATTAACATTTATATGAAGTCCATAGGCAAGACCATGTGGAAACGGGTAGCTTTCTTTTTATTGTTTTATCGAATTTTAGTTAGAAATAAAAATGATGAATTAATTGGGTTTCTAGATTTGAGGTTAACAGTTATTTGACAATCAAAATCTTAAAAAAAACAGCATATGTTATAAAAATTGCATCTAAAATTGTACCTTCATAAAATAAACCGTTTTTTTTACTTATTACATTTTTCTTCTGTTTACTATGTAAGATCAGTTATATACGCCTGATTAATAGTTTTTTTGTTATTATTCGTTTTATTACTGCGTCGTGAAGTAGATATTGATCTTGATTTATGTATGAACATATTGGAGTGCGACTTATTCATTTCGATAGACTAGCATTATAGAAGTAGGGAGGTGGCATCTAGTCAATAGTAAGTCTCAGTACAAACTTGATTGCAAGGCCCGAAGAAAATATAGTTCCTATATTAAGCTTCGTTCACAAGATTTGTTAAGTTGCTTGAATAATGTATTTTATATGTATGCTGTCTATAAAATTACTATTAATAATGCTGTTATTTATATTTTGGAAATATATAAAAAATTTGTGAATTCACATCGTAACAAAAAAAGATAGATGCCCTTAGTATCTGAACTATGTACATTAATTTTCTATTAATTTGACATTTTTCTATAAACATGTCAAATAAATTATTAAATAAAACAATTGTTAACAAAATTGGGATGCGATTTATTAGAAAATTAACAAAGCTGCATCTTTATGTCGCTTAGGTTCTTATTAAAAATTTGTTACAAATAATATCTTTATGGAGTAGTAATAAATGAGTATGTTATAGTGAAATTAATGTTTGTTTTTTCAGTATCACACTGGGGGATTTTATTTACTATTGTTGAATGTTTGCGTTTTTATACTTTCATGACAACAGATTGAATAAAAATATTAAATTTAAAAAAAAAACATGTTTTGTCATATTTATACCTTTACCAGTTGAAATTTTAAATAAATAAAACAAGTTTCTCATCATAAATTATAATAGTTTATTGCATGTTGTTTACAGTAAACACAATTGCGGAGCTGCCTTGTTTATTTATCTCATATAATTCTACATGAATTTTCCTTACACATTTATTAAGTATATATTTATTTATTTAATGGGGTGTACTGCTCTATACAAATGATCTAATCAAAATAAATTGTATCAAATAAAAAGAAATGTAACATAAATCGATGACTAGAATATTTTTATACAAATGTTCATTAATCTAAAACTAAGTTTAAAAGAAGCTATTAACAGTTTATCTTTATCAACAGTCGTGACTGATTTATTGATACAAAAGATGATTAGGATAAATAACAGATATTATTCTAATTCTTATTATGGTTAAACTTAATTTTCTCTTTATATGCTAAATACTAAAGGAATGGAATGCGCTGCCTGCTCTTATGTTCCCTGGCCATATAAACTGGCTCCCTCCGAGACCAGTAGTTATTCATTAATACATTGATATATAAAATTATGAACTGTACCATTTTTAAGTTGTTAGTTAATAAAGACTAGATTAACATATAACTTGTACCTTATACGTGCAGTGTGACGCATAATTAAAACTGGTGTACCTCACTGAGCGTTAGCATGAGCAGAGCCACGTTATATACATCATACTTTACAAATGTTAGAAACGTCATACAAAATATTGCAAAAAAAAAATGCTTTGAGAAAAGTTGTATATAAAAAAATATATTGCATTGGTGATATTATTGTGCACGTAAATTATTTTTTTTTAAATAGTAATAACGTCTCACCAGCCCACCACAAAGATCGTCTCCGTCAGAAAATGGACCCGTTCTGTTAATGCACCTGTCATTTCAAAATAGATTTGAAACCAAATTAGAATCACCCATTTGTCTCATATGCATTGTCCATCTGTAAGATATTCTAATTGTGATTCATATTACGTGACGCATAAGTAACATTTTCAACAGATTCTAACCGGTTACTTCGAGTTGGCCGTCGACAATATTTACTAAATATAAGGTACATCAACTGGTACCGTCGACAAAGAAATAATTAATTTTATTTTACTCGCTTTAACATTGATTTGGGGACGTATAGATTATCAAAAATAAACCTACTATAAAACTAAACAAACATTAATGAACAGAACAAGCGATAACATCCGACAGACATATGTCGTTGCTGACGGTACTCTCGATGGTCAGCTTGAACGAGCGGTACGGTTAAGTGGAAGGGGTGGGTGCATCCAACTCGAAGTATGCGGCTATTAGATGTTTTGTGTAATATGATGGCGTTGGTGTCGACAGAGGTGGTGTTATGTTAATACACATAATATAAGTAAGTATATAAGATATCACACAAAATTCAGTACAAGGACGTTAGGTAATGACAGTTAATTAACAATCTATAAAAGATCTGACATTACTTGTGTTCTATATAACATAACCTAACTTTTAACAGCAGACAATGCCAACAGCAAATTATTTTTATGTCAAAGGAACACAATTTAGCCATAGCACATAAAAATTTATTATGTACAGTTTTTTTAAAATAAACATATGTTTGTGCCCGACAAAATCGACATGAAATCGGAAACACTCAATAAGCAATTTGACTGCAATCATTTCAATTATAACATTCATTTCAGTACAAAAAATTTCGGGTGTATATAATAAAAAAAAAAATTTAAATACAAAATAGTACTTATTGTGCATTACAAAAAGTCAACGAGTGACAAAAACGTGATCACGTAACAGCAGGCCAATTCTGCTAATGTCTACGTAATAATAGCATCTCGATAGAATCTTAACTCGGTACTTGCATTTTACTATCTACATTAGGTCACAATATTACAATATAATAAGTTACAGATATATTACCTATGATATTGGACTTCAGGCAGATAGTACAAGGGAAAAATGCGAGTAATTGAGATTCTATTGAGATGCAATTACGTTAACATTAGCAGAATTGGCCTGCTGTTTGAAACCGAGAAAGTATATCCTTCTGAATTATAATATATAGTATAAAATACATTGTATTTTAAGAATGTCCACATTTTATTTAGCGGTTGTGCGAGATTGCTGGCGTTTTACAAATACCATGGACAATTTGCATAATATATAAGCTATAATTAAGTTGTATATCGCATTTATAAATCTCATAACCATGCTGTATTCTGTCATCTCTAAATAACAATGTCCACATGCGCTGTGACGTGAATGGCCGATTTAAACATTAATAATTTACATTAAATTACATATTTCGTAAGGTGCGTTATCTACTTACTATGACTGTTTGTAGCATGCTATTGTTGCAGTGAAGTTGAAGCCGTTAAAATTGTCTTACACAAAACTGTAAAATATGTACAAAATTTGTATAGGTATGTTACATTCAGTACCGTTAATACTTATAAGTTTTAAGTCACAATGAGATCTTTCAATATTACGTTTATTATCATGTTACTGACCGTGCGACCACAGTAAATGGTCATAGTTAAATTACAAAATGAACCCTTTCTGATTACACGATTATATTGGGAAGATTCAGTAAAGTTATCAGAACCATTAAACACAAACCTATATTTTCTATTGATAATATTGTTTCTTTATTACCAAATATAATATTAAGTCTTGTCTCGCCCTGTTTAATAGTCTTGACATAAACAATTAACCTATAATGATGACATTAAGAAAATGAAATGTGTATAACAAGAATAAAATAGAAAATAAATATACCGAACCCGCTTCGGTTTTACAAAATAATATTAACATATGGGCGGTCGCACGTGACGCATCAACTATCACTAAAACTTAATTATATCACATTGTACTTCACCACCTGGCGCCCGCTTCCAAACCAACCGAGTCCGCATGTCCAGTGGCTTTACATATTACGTCATCCCTCCGTGTATGGCACTGATATTTGTAGATACTATCCTTACGATTAGCGATATAAACACTAAACTTTTTCAGATTGTAGTTTATTTGTCAAACTTCTCGACGTAAGACATATCATATTTATTATTAGTAAAGTCTTACGCCGTCTGTACGCTGTGATCTTTTCACAGCGATTCTGTTTGCGGGTCATCAATATACACATTGATTCAAGATGATGGTTTATATGTATAATACAGGAAATTGCAAGACACGAGGGCAAATCAGCTGGCAGAAAGCTAGTAAAAATTATGTATAACTCAATATTATGGATTTAGTAAAAAAACTCTATTTTATGTTCCAAAAGATCTTTGTGTTTATCTAAAATTCTACTCCCTTACATAAACTAGTGCTATTAACATGCACGGAAGCTACTCATTATAGGTATAAGAGCACAAACTGGACGTCCGCGAGCGCATCGACGGCGACTACCGAGCAACGAATTAACAATTAATAAATAAGTAATTTAAAAAAACATTTAACGAACTTATATTACATTGTAAATAAACACGAGTTACGCATTCAATATGTGTATATTTTGTAAATTGTTCTAATAAAAATAAAAAAATATTGAAATGAGCGATCTGACCGCTGGCGCCTGCGGACGTCCAGTATCAGGTCTAAGGCTCTTTCGTACTATTTCGTATCCAACACGCGTATGTAAAGAACGCAGTGATTCCTAGAGGTATCTTAAAACCTCGATTTCCAGTCGAATCGATGTAGAAAACAAACTTTATATATTACTTGTGTTACTGTATATATTTCTGATTAACTATAATGCACGTAACGTGATCATAATACGTTATTAGCATTGCGACTGAAGGTATAATAGGAAGCGGGCGTGAATCTATAAACTATAAGACTCGATAATACAATTTTCAATGGTGATATACGATCCACAACCGTGTAGTCGTATCGCTAACGGTTAATTCATCTATCACTTATGAAAAATTCTAACCAGAGTGTTTAAATTTTACATTAATTAAGATGAACCTATACCTCTATAGTACTGTATATCGAGATCAAACATAAATATGTATATAGGATTACAAACATTTTACATGATTCATATTTCAATATCGAAAATTCTAATGAGTTTTCAAATGTATGCGTCAACAGCCATTATACAAACGTCCATTAAAATTGACATTAGTTTAAAGCGACATTACCCATACAAGTTTGGCAATCATTAGAGCTTAAAGATGTCATTAAACCCTAATGGATATTTGTGCAACTGGCCGTTAGCCGCGCGGTTATCGTTATGTATAACTATATGAATACTAACTAAGCTGCGAATGCGTATTATACACATAGCAACACATTAGCTTATTACAAAAAGTCGAATCTATTTTGAACTTAATTATTAACGTATTAAGGTTTAAAATAAATTGAAAAAAAATAAGTTCTGTATATGCCGGTGCGCTGTTGACTGTACTAAGTATAATAAATTAATTACCCTGGTTGGAATTTTCATAAGAGCAACAAACAGATTAACCGACTGCTACTATCACATAACACATATCTAAACAATAGTATCGATTAAACTAATAAAAAATAATATTTTACACTAATTATGTTCTACACATCACTATAACAACGAAATTATCTATACTTTATAATATAGATTACCTTTTTTCATCCCGATATGGCGACACTTCACTCGCAATTTTAAAACAAAATTGAATCAAACCTTAACAAGTATCCATTCTTAAAATTAAATAATTTACAAAATATTATCACTGTTTGTGTAGATAACCTTCAGTAGCAATGAATTATCCAAACTTTTAATTATAAAATTGACTATTAAGTTTAATAGGAAGTATATACAAATATTAGAAAATCACGCACGCAATATGCAGCATCAAATTGACTTTATATATACCTAAACGAAACTATAGAGTAGGTATATGTATCGCGTGCTGACATGTCACCGGTCAGTTAAGCGTTAAGCTTTATACACACATATCGGTGATGTATCTGTGCCGGCGAACCTCCGGCACAGCCGTGATGTTCTGTTATAAAACAGCATCGAACATGAAAAAAGGTTTATTATGCAAATTTTTACTAAGATAGTTTCCAGTATAGCATCCTGAATGCGAAATTTATCAAATATAATAATAAAAAGGTATTTTTATCAGATTGAACCTCTATGCTGACAACGCCGCGCTCAACGACGAGTTCAAAGCTGCTTTTTTAACAAACTGGCTGGTCCATATCAATGTTTTGGTGACGTAAGCGTGCTCAGCGTAAAACACAAATGTCAGTGTTTTTCACGCAAAAATAAACATACGACAAGATAATATGATTGTTCCGATCGCTTGGAGGATAATTCACGACATTAAACAAAGAATTAAAATTGAAAATCCAACATAGTTCCTTTCGCCTCCTAAACATCGTCCTTCTAAAAAAAAATCCATCGTCACAGACCACGTCAATTATTGTCGCTGTCGGCACTGCCACTAAGGACATTAATACACTGACACTAATGAGTATACTGTAATACGTTCATAGAGAATATATGAAAGAGTAATTATCACTGATACGGACGTGTGCCGGTACTTCGCCGGCACTGATACGTGTGAATATAGTTTTATACAAAAAATATACAAAATGCAGTCCAAACAAAAATGTGTGAAAGAGTTCTTTCAATACCACAGAGTAGAATAGTTTTAATTGCATTATGATAACTGAAACATTTAAATCTACTAATTGAATATTCCTTCGGGCAGTGACTGGTCCGGTACTATGTATATGATATTTATATTTATGTTACAATACTGTTAATTTTAAGTGAATTAATACTACACGTAGACTTCATTAACAATATTAGTTACGCGGTATTGCACTATCCTGTCCCTATATATTTTGGAAATGGTTAGAGGCGCTTTACGTTGCACACTAGCGCTTAACATTCAATATTTTCTTAATATTACAATTTAAATTAAATTATAAGCCGTCTATAAACAGCGGATTGTTTACATTGTTCTGACAATGTTAAAATTAAGTAGTTTAAATCTTTGATGTAAGATAACATAACTAAGTAATTTTAAGATTTACTGAGGATATAAATAACTGCTTTAGAAACATGCTGTTTATAATATTAAAGGACACATACCATTCAGCCTCAGAATTTAATGAGGAAGTATTTTAAGAAAAAAAAAGATAGCACTAAAAAAGCACCACACTAGATGGCGACTCTGTCAAAAGTTAATTTTTGCAGGAAACGAATGGACAAAAGATGGTCATTTCCGTTCCTTTTAACTAACATAATAAAAAACTGAAATTTGTAAAGTTCGAAACTTAGATATCAGTACGAAATAGTATAAATAAAATAGGAGTTGTTTATTGAGTTTCGAAAATTAATTTACTTTTATACACGAAAGAAAACCGGAAGGGTTGTCATGCAGAAATCAAGAAAGTACCGTAGCGACATCTAGTTTGATTTTGGGAACTACTGTTTTTTTTATTCAATACTACCTCATTTTGAATTGAAAAGAAAGCAAAACGTTTCAGTTTTAGTGCCAGTGTGCATTATAATTTGGATTTTTAAAACTTGTTCAGTGTATTATATATCAGAGAGATCATATGGAAATCGAAATTATGCAAATAGGGAGTACCTGTGAATATGTAATATTATATCATCTTTTACTCGTATTCTGTGCGTGCACTCACGCCTCAACAGACTCGTGTACAACATCTAGCAGTCGAAATGTACAATACAATGTTCTCGACCGCTCTATACCACCTTGCGTTGCGGTTACGCGGGTAGATTCCGATAGAACATTCGAAAAGTGCCAGTGCAATTTCAATATCAACTCAGGGCCGTTCAGATACAATTAAAAATAATATGTTTGAAAACAGAATAATAATATAGAGTCAAGCTCTATTTCGAATGATATATTCGATATCCCTAAAAGAAGCGCTCGATCAGTTTTTCGCTCGGCCTGAGCACCGAAAAACCACCGATTTCCAATTCTCGTTTAGGTTAATGCCGCCAGGACATCGTCGCAAACGCATGCAAGTGCGAAACATTTTCCTACGATCGAGCAATGCTCCGAAACAGTTCTCTGTCTCAACTGAATTTACTCAAATGAAATAAAGGAGAGAAATGAAGGAATATATCTAGGCCTCTAGGTCAGTTCACGCTGGGCGGGGCGGCGTGGCGAGGTCCTGGTCGGTGGCGTTGCGGCGCAGCGTGACGAGGTGCGCGCGCGCCGCCGCCGCCGTGACGCGGCGCCACTGCGCGCGCGCCCCGCGCCACGCGTACTGCGACTCCTCGAACCCGGAGCGGAGCCCCAGGATGATGCTGAGCGCCGACGCGTCCTGCCCGTGACACCCCGAGTACCGATACTGCGGCTTCTTGTCGAACCGACACCCGCCCGACTGCGCGCCTGCCGCCGTGTTTACGTAGTTAGTTACACGCCGACCGATTACGGTGGACGCGATGCGTGACAATTGAAATTTCAATCGGAAGAGGAACATCAATAATCGGTAAAAAATTGTGTACCCGTGCCGTAGTTATTATAAATATGTTTTACGCTCAGTTCCCTTACGATAAAAAAGAAAACTAGATTTCTGAAGACATCTTTGGAGCCCGAAGACATATTTTTTTTTCAACGTAGTCAACGTAAAATCAATCAACGTAGGTACATACCTACTTTGACTGATTTTCGTGAAGAAAATTTCGATTCTCGCACGCCGTATCCACTCCTCGCCATTGATATAAAATGACTAATTAATAGAAAGAAAGATCAATCGAAACACGACAATTCTAAAGTAAGAAAAAGCATCAGCTTCCCTCACCCGTTTTGCACGAGACTCGAGGGATAGATTTGTATAAATAATCAGAATATGTAAAGGTATTGACTCACCTATGGGCATGATGCAGTCTAGCGTGAGCGCGCACTGAATCCAGGGTCGCATGACGTCAGCGACGGCGGGCACGTTGGCCACGACCAGGCGGGACGCGTCCACCATCTGCACGAAGAGGAAGTCGTCGATGTCCGCGTGCAAGTAGTGGAACATGCGCGGGTGCGTGAGCGAGGTGACGGCGGCGCGGCGCGGCCACGCGACCACGCCCCCGCGCGACGTGCGCGCGCGCTCCCACACCGCGCCCAGCGCCTCCGCCCCACCCCCCCACACTTGCCCGCTCTCGCAGAACACCACGCCGCCGGTCCGCGCCAGCGCGTGCTGCACACATGTCGCACGTTATGTGACACTCGTGCACGTAACACACTTACACCAGCACAGTACAATACTTATAGTGAAAGAGCTCTAGCTGATCAATCACCAGCCATTAAGGAGAAGTTTTGCCAAGGTCATTCCATAGTAATTTGCGTCAATTATAAAGAGTGCGAAGGTCGATTTCGTTATTATTAAGTCATACGAGTGAAAATTAAAATGATTCTAAAATAAATCTTATAGATAAGATCCCTCTTAAATGTCATGTACAAACTGTTACGGAGCGCAGCGGCGTGAGCGGGCTACCCGTTACTTTTACCCGTTACCCGTTTCTTTTTTACCCGTTACGTTACCGACCGAGGTTGGCCTAATTCCAGATGTGGATAGGGATATTCCGATACCATTAAGGTATCGATACCTACTCATATCATTAGTACCTACTCAAATAGTCTTTCGATACTACTCATATAAATAATACTAATAAATCGATACTTTTATATTATGTTTTTAAATGAAATGACGGACAATAATTTTATGAGGGCAAAAAATGAAATAAGGAATTTATTTTTTATTTAATTTAATTAAGAACAGCTGGACACTGGCTGAACACAAATTTACAAGACATAAAATGGCGGCACGTCACACACACACAGATACATGCCATGCATTGAATGGCGCGCGAGCTTTTACCGACAACCGAGCAAGCGCGAGAAATAAGCTGTCGTTCTCTCGTCCTAACTAATGCGTTCACTTTAAACAAAATATCGCACACACAGAACAATACTGTATTATGTCGATACTGTATTAATCGGATAATAGTGCAGTGTTGATCTGGGTGTGCGATATGGTCAGATCTGATTCGATACCAAGTACTTTTGTTTCGATACCAAATATGTATCGCAAGATTAATACGATGCTATTAATACTTGGTATCGAATAAAAAGTATCGAGTACATACTCGTATTTACTAGTATCGTATTTATAGATCCCTAGATGTGGAATCGGCCTCTTTATATACGCGGTGGACTACCTGTCCCGGCATTCTTTCAGTGACAAATGAATAGAGTGGTAAGAGTAAGTTTTTACCCGTTCACTAGATTTGTACTTCTTGATAGTTACCGCTAGGGGCGCTGTACCGGATTCCATACTAAAATCTAACGCGCTCACAATCGACAGTGAACGTAAACGTCTAAAAAATCTTGCACTAAGCGCTCTGAAAACGAGAGCAAATACAAGCATCCGAAGCGAAAACTAATCGAAGTGTATATTTTGTTAAGAAATTATTTTTGTAATTTTATTTTGTTAAGTAAATAAAGTCGGTATGTGAATTGAATTGGCGTAATTTTTTTTTATCTCGAACCCGAACTCATAACATGGTCATATCCCAAAATAAGTTTAATTATCGAAACAATGTACTTATACTAGCCCTAAAAAAAATAAAAAAACGATATTTCTATAAAACAATATATTCTTTTTAACAGTATCAATGATGCGCGTATTGTGAACAGCTGACTCGTTTTGTATTTCCTACATTTTAAGGCTATGCCAGTTGTTAGTTTATAAAAAAAAACCAAGATCACAAACACCTCATTGAGACAATTGCCGGATATAATTAAGTACCCGTGCATGACCGTGACAACAGAAACGAATCGTCACACATCACCACCATACGTATAAAAAGATATAGTATATATATTAGTGCTAAAACCTATAATTTTAGTATATATTCTTAAATAAATTTTGCATTAAAACAAGATTAATATTACAGAAAATGCTTTCAAAAATTCACCAATCGCAGATACCCGAGATAGGATTCGAACCTATAACCTTTCGCGATCCATACGACTATTCGTGTTCCATGTCACCCGCGTATGATGTAACTCCCGTAGATAAAAGATTTGTTTTAAATCCGTCCGGTATTCAATGCAACCAAACAAACAAACCGTTTTTCTTTATAATATCAGTGCTGATTACTTTTTAAAGTCGTTAAAGCAACAGATGTGTATGTTTATCAATAACAAAGTTAAATAAATAAGTATTTTAGATAACTTTAACGATCCCGTTAAATAAAACTACATACATATATAAAAAGAGAGCAATACTCCGATAATTATAAATTATCGTAACTCTTTTTTAATGGATAAACAGTTTTCAAAGTCAATTTCTTCAAAAATATTTGTTATATATAAGAAATATGTACTTATTTCTATTTTACTGATACCTATTCCTATAATTATACACATTTTACGTTCATAAAAAGTACTTGTATCCAAGTCAAGGTTATATTGATCAGTGAAACGCGGGAGATATTAAGTATTCAATTAACCTTCTTCCAAAGCACGACATCCACCAACCCAATAAAAATTAGCGACCTAAAATAAAATTTCTTCTAGAATAGTCAACGGTCGTAAACAGTCTGGTGTATCTTATCAAGATTATATAGATAAAGGCGACTGAAGATAATACATCGCACAGGCGTGGCCGGTTGTGTACCTTAACTATGTATGTTATTTGAAATGCCATTACAAGGATGTAATTATTAAGAGCCCTTTTACAAAACAAATTCGCTACGCGGCCATACAAATTGTACTCGGTCGGCCATTTTGCAGTTACCGTTTTTACAGAAATAGTATAGTAAATTTATTTTTAAAAATTATGAAATCTTTTTTCCTCGTAAAGTAATAATTATTCTGTAGCATAATACATTACAAAATTTAGAAGTCACTAAAATTCGACTATATAAGAGATAAAATTCTATTTTTTATTTCATTTGTTTAGAACAGAAGCTCGATCACAAAAACTAAATCTCTACAATTTTGGGTTTAATTAAAGAGTAAAGCACAATTAATTTATTTTATTTACCACCTCTTATCTGTTTTCAGCGATTAAATTATTTAAAAAATGTAACACTGTTCAAGTGCGGGGCTGATTCATGGTCAGTTGCACAACGCCCATTAAAAGTGATATTAGTTTAAAGCGACATTACCTATACAATTCTGACATACATTAGAGGCAAAAGGCGTCATTAAACTTTAATGTCGTCTCGCTTGGACATTTTAAGTGTCCCGAGCAGTATGGGACATCTGGAATTGCTACTTAACTAGCCTTTTTGTTTTGATTGAAGTATCTAACGTATATTATGCATAACATATATCTTTATAAATAACGTTTACCTGTATGATGAGGGGGCGAAATGCGTGTATGCTTTCGTCGCTGACGTGAGACGGAAACGCCTCCAAGTCGAAGTCTATAATTGCACACTTAGACGAGTTACAATAATTTGACACCTGAAACAAAAATGAAAATTTAACTGATCATGTTACATTAAGGGGAAAATTTGAAACTCGCTAATGTAAAATGCTGTATTATTAAAGTTATACCTAATATAATTGTTTCTAACCTAAATAGTATGCTGATAAATAAACTGGGTAATTTCAAGTAATCGGAGTACTTGTATAATAAATACTCATAGAGACAATATTATGGATGAGATTCAACTGAAAATTGTTAATTTTGGTAGTAATATTGTTATCTACTTCCCATACAAAAATGAAAGCAAAGTAGTAACATTATTTAAATTTATTTACCATACTACCAGTAAATTAATTCTTTCTTTATTAATTAAATCGAAAAGGAGAAGGTTATATGTTCGATGGCGATGTATCTTTTTTATATACATCCCGCGAATTGTTGACCGATTTTCCAAATTTTTTTTTATAACTGTACCCAAATTCAATAGTAGTTTCTTGAATGATTAAGTCGCTTTTAGTTACACATTTTATACATTCCCTACCAATACCCGGAAAAACATCATAATAATAAATCAGCCCTGCGATTCTGTAAAAAGGCAAACCCGAATTCGAATTCACTCAGGCGTCCCGAATTCACTTCAAAAAACAGCATCCGCTCAACCTTGAACTGGTAATAACCTTTCGTGGCATAAGTGAAGTGAGTTTCAAAATGACATAGCAATAGAATATCTTAGATCTTCAATCAATTTTGTTTTGTATTTTTATACAAAAAATGGAATCAATAGAATTTCTTTACCAAATGACGTGAATCCTGATACATGAGTAAATTCGAATTCTTGATTCTTAATAAATGATTTTTATAGAATCGCAGAGCAGTTCTGGAGGAATATCCATATAATGCATACATTTCAATTCAATTATCCCAATTTCGTGTGCCTACTCCGATCACTGTTCATAACAAATGGTAAAATAAATAAATATCGGAAGAACCTTATAACTATAATATAATAAATCCTTTAACTAAAGCAGATAGTTAACGCCCATGTATTATGGAAATATGAAACGGTGAAAGTACCTCATCACTCACCCAGATCCAAGATTATACAGAAAATATTTCTATATATTCATTCGACCAGGCATCGAAACCGGGATCTATCCGAGATGTCTCTCGTTTCATGATGTTGCACACCGTTTCATGGCCAGAGATGGCAACACCATGAAACTGGTGTGCCTTCGGCCACAATTGTCGTTAAAAATAACACCGATAGTACTTTTGATTTATGAATCTGGTGATACTTAGTATTCATAACATCTTTCAAAGTTCGAAGACCTTTACGTACGTTACGTTGAATCGCGCAGCGGTTACCAGCATAAACGTAGAGATTTTGTATTTGAGACAAAATTGAATGTTATGGCTTAGAAAACACAATTTAAATTTAATATGAAAGAAAATAAATACACGCTAGCAACGCTTAGCGGCTAACAAGGTCTAGAATTGAGGTGAGGATGGATACAACAACATAAGCTCCCTTTACCAGCTATACTATCATACTTTTTGTCTTTACATGCAAGGCCAGATAAGCTGTTACATCATACTCATTACAAATGGTATATTATTATGACATATTTACCATTGCCAAAGAATATGGTTTTAATCCTAAGTTGTACAGAAGCACCGTGTACGGCAGGCGGGCTGCAGCGCGCACAAACGTGACGGCGAGCGCGTGCTCGTCCCCGCGCGCATGCGTCACTAGGACGGGCTGCGTGGTGTTGTGCCAGGGCTCCAAGTGCCCGTCCAACCCCAGCAGGCGGAAGTAACGTTCCTCTTGTACCAGATGATTCTCTTCCACATCACGCAGGTTCTCCTGTGGCGACACAGACACCTGTTTTGTGGGTATTCATATGCCATCAGAATAACTAGTATCCACTGAATAATCATTTTATCCTTTTTTAATCTTGGTCTTACCACCTGATAATTGCCCGCAGAATGTGGTTTAAGGTGTTGTACGCAACATACTTTATAGCCATATTTAACCCAAAATCTTTAAGCAGATATCATACAAGAAAAACAAAAATCAATAGTAGGGTTGATCACAAATTTTTCATTGTCTGTCTGTCAAGAAAACATGTATTTTTTATGAGATCAATAAATTACAACAATACATTCCAATTGAAATGTTGCATGATGTCATACCTTTGTACCTTTTCTACATACACATTAACTTTAATGCGTATTATTGAAGCCAGGTTTTGTTCAATTGAAGCAAAAAAAAATATGTATCTATTTTTCTATCATCTGATTGATGAACTAAAGTTTTTTTTTTTAATTCAGGCATCATCTCCATTATCAGGCTCCAGGTCTCCCTTGGACATAATGGATAAACTTTCATATGAATGGTAACTATTAGTACTTAGCATATGCTATGCAGGATGGATTAAAAAAGCCTTTTGCAAATTATAATTAATTATTCATACTTGTCTATCTTTTTATTCAACCATATTTTATTGAAATTAGTACTTTTGATATTAATAAGTACCTTGTAGAGTTGATTGTAAATTAAGTAAAACACTATCATTGTGAAACATAATTAATGCCATAAACAATTACAAATAGGTAACATATTAGTGATGCTGATTATGATTTAATCCTCAAACTTGATCTAAATATGGTATCTTAATTGTAATTAATCTATTTTCATTGTTTAATTGCCTGTGGATTAAATGCATTATTGATATTTTATAATAGTATGTAAACAATAGGTTATCTTTCTCCAGTCTTAAACTCTGCCTTCAAGAAATTTCATCACAATCATCCCAGTTTTGTTTATAGGACTGCATAATATTACTTGTGCATTTAAAATAATAAGTATTGATAATATAATCTATAACCAACAATCTAATAAATGAAAAAATATTTAAACTGTTATTGTATTAAAATAAAAAGCAATCAATACATCTATGAAATTCATACAATATATTACATAGCATAATATAATAATGCTATGTAACATATACAGGAATAACATATTAAGATTAAATTCCTTCCTGAAATGATGAATAACATATTTTACTTAATACTTCTTGACCGCAGGCATACTTTTTTATTTTTATTACAATGGGTGATATGGTGATGACCAATATTTAATCTAGTGCAATCTTATGAGTAAAGTGAAGTTTATGATAATTGTTAAAATAAAGGGCTATTTACCTGGAAATCTTTAATATGCTGATGCGTTTGTGTTACAATGTTTTGGATAGACGGAGGCGGTTGAGAATGGAATACTATCAAATATATACTTATTGCAAAAACCGACGTTGAAAAGAGAAGAAAACTTTTAGTTTTCATTTTTAAAGCACATTACACACTTCGGCAAATTATCATTGTGTGGTTACCTTACATTATAATATAAATAGGATGACTAATATCAATGCATAACGTTTCCATACATTCCTTTTAAGAAATAAAAGTAATCAATAATCCTGACAGCCCACACACCGCGAGACTGGCCTTTTATTTAACAGTTTTGAGCAAACGAGTAATTAAACAACTCCAATTTTATTGCTCTTCCTTGTGACATGATAAATGCAATATTTATAAAATAAGAAAGCTCTGTTTCTATCAAACAATCACACAAAGTAAATTGGTGAAGTGTTTTAAGCAAGTTTCAAGACTTTTGACTTTTCTACAAATTGTTTTTATTGACATTGACATTGACATTTAAATTAGAGATGACTATAATCCTATGAACGAATGACTAACATCAAACAATTTACAATACCACCAATCGACAAAGTCAAAGAGTAGTGCTGATAATAATATATCAATATTAAAATAGTATGGATATATCAAGAATTATAAATTTAATATTGGATATTGCATCCCGAATAAGAGAGTGAGGTCAAAAAATTAGACCTCTAAATGACGCTGGCTCGATTGCACCCTCAGGCTAAAACGTCCCTTTCTACAGGGTGATAATGTTTCTCTTTTTTAGAGGTAGTAGGAATAATAGGTATACACACTGTTTATATATTGAATGTGAAAGTAAATTAATCAATTACGACTAAATTTTCTAAAAAACAATTTAATCCTTTGAGTCACTTTTAGCATTTCTAAAATTAGTTTGCTGTCGTTTTATTTGTTTTAGCGCATAATTGGTTTAGCTACAGCCCTAAACGCTTAGAAAAGTATCGAAATCTTTTTGAAGTAATGCACAATAACCAATCATCAAAAAATACAAATTTTAAGTGGAATGCGGTGGCTGGCACGTTACGAAGCTATCAGCACGTAAAACAAAGGAAAGAGCTAAAATTACTGTTTTCACTTGCTAAGTCACAGGACAAATGTTCATTTATTATAAAACGTTTCCTTCATGATAAAACGTTTACCGTTTAAAGTTGTTATGCGTTATTGTTACTTTTAAGAGATGAATCGAAAAAAGTTATTCAACTGAATGTTATTTTCCAAAGTGATGAGGTAGAAGCTATAAAATTATTCGAAGACTTATTTTTAAGTAATTAAACTAATAAAGCTAATTAAATAGAAACTGAGGACTATTTTATTCACCCTGATATAACAGAAAAGTGTTTTAAACAATACCATTTAACATTACCAACAATACCATGGCACAACCAAGCAGGTCAGGGCTTTGTTTAGAGCTTTTGATTACACCATTTAGGGTTATTTTAGTTTGATTTTAGGGTTTTATTTTGTTGGGAGTTGGTAACACTGGCTTTTTTTGTTCTTACGATAATATTGTCAATAATAGATTGACTTCCTACACAACCTACTCTAGAAGTTAGTTTTATTAAAATTTATTAATTATTAAGTACCTAGAGTAGTCACGCTCTCTTAAAAATCTCTGCGGTGGTGTCGTGAGCGTCAGGTTGTTCCGTTCCCTTAAATATAGTTGAGCGAAGTGATGGCTGACTCATGGTCATGCGTCAAGCTAGTCAACGGGTGATGTCAGTGTGGTCCACTGCACTAGTTTATCTCGTCCATTTTTTTTATTATGTATATCGTACATATTGATTAGTAAATGAATGTGTACGATTTTCGTATATTTTTGTTTCGTTTCGAAATGAAGACATTTTTATTGAATGAGAAAACAACAGCATATATGATATTGTCAATAAAATTTGAAAATTATTATTTATTTATCTTTTAATGAAATGAGGTTTGATTCACAACAGTAATGGAAAGTGACTTCTTAGTCTAATAAAGTCACATTCCAATAAAACTTCTCTGATGAAATAAAACAAGGACAAAAAAGCATCCCATGTTGTTTCTTGCCGGTTCTTCTCAGTACAAGGCCTCCCGAAAAACAAGCTAAATCCTGCGCTCCGTTTTTTATTCTTGATTACAAACATGAAATCGGATTAATCAAGTTAATTGAAGTTACTAGCAACCAATAAGTTGGCTAATCATATATAAACCAAACATCGTTTCTTTACACGTAACATAAATAATAACTTAAATTTACGATTCAAATAAATTAAAATTCATTTGAAAGTTAGATATAATATTTAATAATTTTCGATACCATAGACAATTATCCGAAAATCGCCAGTGATATCTAGTTTGATTTCAATAACTAATTTTTATTTTTTAAATACTTCCTCATTTTGACATTGACAATGTCAATTTGTTGTTACTTGTGATTCTTCTGTCTCTTTCAAACGTAGCGTATAATATAAATTCTGTCTCTGTCTCTTTCCTCTTTGATTTTGATACTGACTGGATTTTTGACCAACTTTCTTGTGTTGGTTATTTGGTTGGTCAGATTTATTTAAAAATAAAGTTGTATAAATATCGTGAACAGAATCATTATTTCATTGAAAAAAAAAACAATTATTTTCCGTAAAATGTCGAACATATCTAAGAGAAAAGAAGGATCGAAGGCCAAGATCAAGGTATGTTCAGAAGGAGGTCATCTCCTGACTTCGTTCACGATATCGTTAGCACGTCACAAAGTTTTTTAGTAGAAAGATTGATGTTATTAATCCAAAAACATTGAGGCTTATATGTTGTTATTTCCAAATATTAGCCAACATATCGTAATCCGTATAGTGTGTGATTTTGCCATTCATATTGCTATCCGTATCTTCACTTGCGTGGGCTTTTTTCGCGGTTTATTGTAGTCTAGATAGACTAAAAAGTAAATTAGTTTATATATAAGTGTATATGTAGATATGTCAGTCTCAACTAACTATATATTAAAGTTATACCAGACAAAACAACACAATTCCATTTATAAATTATTGCTGGTTTACACTCATTTAGCTTTACCAACCCCACTATATTGTATTATGTACTTTATTTCGAGTCTACATGCAAACACTTAATTTTAACATTGCAATGTAATAAATAAATTCTTTGTTTTAAAATTTATGAATGTGCTTATGAGAACACTTGACTATTTTGATAGTGTTTGTTTTTGTCCTAATATACTGTTTCTTTGGTATATGTGCTACATAAGCACTGGTATCAATTGTTATAGGCTGGCAATTGCAATTTCACAAGTGTGAAATAGGGGTGCACACTTATTAATGATAGTTCAAAATATATGTTCAAATACTTTAAAGACAGGGATGGTACATTCGCTGTCTTGTTCTTGTTATTAGTCAACTTCGCACTTGACAAGAGACCATTTATTCATTGCCAAATTAAATTCTGCACTTACACTTAAAAAAGAGTAAACAAACTATTAAGTATGATAATATGCAGCTAAAACAACCCAGGAAATAATATACTAAAAAATGTCTAAGTAATGACTATAAATTAAATGAATATAGCTTATATTTTCCTTGTCTTAGAGCATGGGGAATCATCAAGAATTCTTGAAGCGCATTACAAAGACCCTGTATTATGGGGAGCTGCCGACACTGCCTTGCTTGAGTCTACCAGTCACTGGTGTGTTTGAATTACTACTACTTATACTAAATATATATGCTAAGCAAAGAGGATTTTTTTATGATCAAAGACATACTATTTTTGTAATTAATGTGTGTACTAAAACACACATAAGACAGTCTCATTTATATGCATAGAACAGGTTAAAATATGTGCTTGTACTGTTCAAATATAATTTCCGATTAGTTCTCATTAATTACATAATACTTCAAATAAAAATCAACAAAAAATTGCTATACAAAATTAGGGTTGTCATCTATATGAATCTACCTTTTCTCATTCCTGCAATCCTGTAAAAAACTTAAAACATTAAGTTAGAATGACAATGACATTTGCTTGTTTACATTTTTAAACGCTTAAATTTGCTGTTTAAACTTCTCTTATTTTTGATCTTGGATCGCTTCTCGCCACCAGGCTTAAAGAGTGTATATGAAATTTGCATTTCAATCGAGTTATTGATAAGCGTGTATACATGCAGAGATCTCGTGCGAGGTGTGGTCAGTGTCGCAGCGTGGTCGGTCGCTGCGTCGGCTGCACGCGGACGCGGCGGCGGGGCTCGCGCGCAGCGCGTGCGTGTCGCCGTGCGCGCTCGTGCTCGCTCTACTATACCTAGAGCGACTCAATGCCTGCAACCCCGATTACATAGCCGCAACGGCACCGGCTGATCTCTTTCTAGTTTCATTGGTAAACTTACTTTTTTATAAAATAAACCCTGTCTGTACAAATAAAAGTGTAAATTCAATGCGATCAATGTTCTCTATGCCTTTTAGATGGTGGGAAATAAATTCTTGCAAGATGACGGCGAAGACGACGAAGTTATATGCTCGGAATGGGCGGCATCTGGCGGTATCGAACTCGCCCAGTTGAAGAAATTGGAATTGGAGTTTCTCAATGCTATAGTACGTTCGCCTTTTCTCATATAAATATTTCGCCGTACACAATACATAAGGTTTAAAATCAACTGAAGAAATTTGACAGTTTCGTATAGCTGTGGAGCTATAAATAAATATAATCACGTATATTATCGACAGTCATCCGCTTGCATTCCATTAAAATTCGTTTTCTGTCGTACTACAGGGAGAGGTTACGCCTATTAACCACTAACTTAAATTAAGAATTTCATTATTTATTTAATGCTTCATGCTCAACTGGACGAGGGCTGACTTAATGCCTTCTACCAGCCGACCTTTAGATGACGTAAAAGTTCTTCATTTAACAGGATTGGAACGTGTTCGTAAGCGAGAAATCATTTGAAGCGGGTCTGCGACGTCTGGAGCGGCGCGTGGCTCTGAAGCAGGCGCGGCTGCGGGGGTTCTTCACGTACACGGACCTGGCGGCGGCGGGCGCGCCCCCGCTGCTCGACCTGTGTGCCGCGCTCGCGCTCGCGCTCACCGCCCTCGCCTCCACCCTGGCGCTGCTCGCCTCCGCGCCGCTGCTCACGCGCCTCGCCGCCTCCTCCCTCGCCTCCCTCTCCCGCCCGCCCGCCTCGCCCCTCTCCGGTCCGACTCCTCCCCTCCACGCGAACGTCTCGCCGGCCGACCCCGAGCCCCCATCGCTCGGCAACCTCACCCTCGACGACCCCTCGCCGTCGGATCGCCTGCGGTGCTGCACGACGTGGGCGACGTACCGCGACAGAGTTTCCGAAGCTCCACCGAGAAGAGCGCCGCCCAGGAACTTCTTCGATGGCCTCGTGCTCTACGACTGGAAGAGTTTCGAGCCGTGGTGGTCGCGGACTTCGGTGCTCAACTGGCTGTACCAGAGCTCGCTGGTGGACCCGATGCGGCGCTGGCTGGAAAAAGTCGACGGATTCGCTGCCGTCGGCCGCGGCCCGGCGCCGGACTCGTGTCGCGGCTGCGTCCGCCAGTGGCTCAATCTGAGCAAACTCAACGTCCTCGTCGCTTCCGTCTCCGATTACTAACAAACCGATCGACGGAGCAATCTGCCGAAGTTCCCCTGCAGTTTTCGACTCGAGATCGAAGCATCTTCTTGCAAATATTTAGTGTGAGTCGTATTAAAAAATGAGTGATCTTAAATGCTCCGTTATCCGTACCTAACGTTTTAAGTTTTGTCTTTTGTCATATTTTTAACTTAACGAGGATTCTCAAATTTGTTGTCCTTTCCTAAGAAGTAGATGTAGAAACAATGATCAAATAACAAAAATTCCGACTCTGCTAAATGTTCGTATTTAAAATAAATAAGGGAAAAGATCAGTTTTTTGAAGTTACATTCTACATAATATGCGCACATAAGATCTTTTTAAAACTGAAAATTTTCAGATTTATCTCTGGCAGAATTTTCGTTATTTGAAATATCTGTTTTGAGCGAATATCTGAAGAAAACTTGTTATAAGTCAGAGAGAAAAGTGGTGTGACTTAAATTTACCAGTTGATTTTTTTTATTAATTGATCCACTTAATATTTAGTTCTGTTTCTTTCGCAGAATTTTAGAAACGGAGCCAATCTATTTATTCCGTGATAATTATCAACTTAAATGAAAAGGTTTTTAAAAATAAATAGCATATTTAATATTTTTTTAAGAACTTATAAAGTGACCAAGTTGGCGCCATTACAATAAATAAGTGATGCCTGTGATCAATTTTCTAACTTTCAATAAAAATTCTTCAAACTATTTTTTAGTGTTTTATTTTTCTTAAAAATATATAAAAAATATAAATTTTAAATTCTTCTAATAAAAATTAGTCTTGTCCACACATGGCCACAAAATTGAGAAATATTATTATTATCAACATTATAAACTCATTTCTCGTAAAGTTTTTAGTTATCACAGTGGTCATGTCAGAACATGTATAGGAATTCTCAGAATAAGCCACCTTGATCATTATTTACAGACATGAATGAATGAATATGTATTGTATAATAAAATCACAGTAAGAATAATAAAACCTAGAACAATAAAACTTTAAATGAATTCTAAACACTGGTAATCCATTGCAGTGTTCCAAATGTCCTGGCTCGACTTAATGTAAAATGTAAATTAAAATTATCATAGTATAAGAAAATTCTCAAACAGTGTAAAAGGTGCCCAATCTTGAAAATTCCATATAAACATAATGAAGATACATATTCTATTCGTACATATCAATAAGGAATCATGTTATTTTACCTTATGTAGGACGTTACATGATTATGATATGATAATTATTATACTAAAATGAGTAAATCAGTGTTTCTTAAACTATTGACTGGCGACTCAAAATATAAATATATTTGAAGCCGGTGAAGTCTATGGTTCCTTCACAGCATTTTAAAAATCCTTGTGCCACATTCCACATCCTGAGAGCCTTTCTTACGCTGATGCAAATACACTTTTTCAGCAACTATATAAATACAATTCATTCGTTATTTCATTAGGTTCTTCAAAAAGCGGGTTGAGATACGACCTCTTGTAAAACAACATATTAATTGGTTTCTAGCAACGTTACTATATTAAAGAATCTTATAATACTTCTAGTATTATACTTTTTAACATCCTTTACACTTTCGAAGTAAAAAATAACGCCTATACTATGTTTCGTATAAACCAGGGTGTAAATAGAGGCGTTTGTTGAACCCCCAGTATTCAACCGCGGAGGTCTGCACGTGGAATTGTTTCCGGAGCCGTATGTCCACTAGTGTGAACAGCTCGTTCACGTTGTACTCGTGCGCGTGCTCGGCGAACACAGAACACAGCGTCTGGATGTACCACGACCCGTCGCGGATGTCGCGCCGGGACACGTACCCTATATACGAACAAAAGTTCATTTATATGGGGCCAGGAAACGGTGGCGCTAAACTGACTACACTTTACACGGGGTCAGTTATAAGCATTGATCCAGAGTAGGTAGAACTATATTATGTAGGTACTTGCTATATGTTAGAATAATATGGATATTCCCCGAATTTTATTTGAATATTCGGATACACTTAATTAAATATTGTTAGAACACAAAATATAATGCCTTTTTGTGATGCCATCGCATGTCCTAGAGAATTGTGATCGGCACCATATATTTTAATTTATTTTAAATGTAATTTTTACAAATTGATAATGATTGTACATTTTAAACGATTCGTTCGTATGCTTATTGGTTTAAATAAACCATTTTAATAATTATTGATAAAAAAATCAAGTTCGTTAAGATAAAAAGAATCAAAGGAATCCCATGGAATAACCATATTAAAATCAATGTTCTTGGTCAATGAACGTAAATAGTTCTCTCTACTCCAATCAGCAGTCATAAGTCAAGAAGCAGGGGAACATCCTCACATCTCCATTTACACTAGATCTGGAGCATATCAGCCTAGGTGGTGTCGATTGAGCAGTAAGATTAGTCTGAATTTATACGGAGTCAGTATTCTGTATAGATTCGGGCTCAAATTTAAAACTCGTGGGTTACACGCCACTATACATAATAAGCGTGATTAAGTCGTTCAAATCAAATCTACCGGAAACGTTACAGACTAATAAAGCATAGGTTAGATAGAGCGGCAACTGACCTGGGAGCGTGGAGTGCGCTATGAGCATATCGGAGTAGAGGCGCGCGGGGGGCTGCCGCAGGTGAGGGGGCTGCAGCGAGGCCGCGGGGGCGGGGGGCAGGTCGCCGCCCTCCGCCCCCGCGCGCGCCCCCGCCGTGCCGTCCCTGTGCGTGCCATCCCCCGCCCCGCCCGCCGGCAGTACGGGCAACTCCAACAATCCTCTACATACAGTATTAATAAACATTGTGAGGGCCAGTTGCAGATGTTATACTGATTTACATCATATTATTAATATTTTAAAAATTCTCGGAAATAGCGACGCCTCGGAACGGGCATGCGAGCCCATTTGAATTGAAGAATACAAATAATAAAATAAAACAATATTAATAAATGACTGTAATCGACATTTTAAGAATTGTTACCTGCGGCCTGCGATAGAAAGCACTGCCAGTTTTAAAAAAAATATTTGTTTAAGCGCTTCTAAAAATGCCGCCAAAAGTAACTACAACGCGGACGAAGTCACGGGCAAAAGCTAATATTTGCATATTTCTAAAAGGCGAATTGATTAAAGCTCGCCGCTAACCTCAGACGGGGCTCACTCTCAGTGATCTAACTGACCTAAAATACAGTATGCAACAGAATGACATTATTGAATCGATAATTTGAATAAAAAAATAATAATAAAAAGAATTAAGTTTCTAATGCCTGCCACCCACCTGCACAACTGGAATATGAAGACCTTCGGTATACCGATGAGTGCGGGCAGCCTCTCGTTGTTGAAGTACTCGAGGAACTCGTATATGCCCATCAGCTGCCCGTCGTGGCAGCGGAACTCGACATCGGAGGCGCCCCCGCGCTGGTACCCGTGCGAGGAGACCACGATGAACGCGCACTCCGCACCCGCCAACACTTGGTTCAATAACTTTAACGTGTCCTGCGTTTTCTGAACACACAAACTCAATATAACCAAACAATAGTGCATTAAACTGTAAGGAGACCTAATAATTTTAAAATAATATATTCCGTCTAGCTGTGGTGTTACAAGCACTTGTGAATGTCAAAAAACAGAATCATTTGTATGCAAATCTACACCTGGACACCTTGTATGTACATAATCTTGCAATAAATATTGTTACATAGAAAGTCATCGTTTTTTTCTTGAATGTAGGGGAGACCTAGGAGAGTTGTGACAATTTTTACATAAGGGGCTCTATCTCGCTTAAGAAACATTCCACAGTTATGACTCATGTGAATTAGTTTAGCGCCATTCCTTCTGTTTTTAAAACCATCACTAAAATTAATTAAAGTATAATAGTTTCTGAAAAAAATAACAAAATTCAAGTCCACTCCCCTTGTCACAACTCTCCTACCACCGAGGTAAGTTGTGACAGGTACCGAGGTAAGTTGTGACATCATTGTATTTAAGCTATAAGATATAAAAATACCATTACATACGACATAAATAAATCAAGCACGTTTTTTTTTTATAAATCAGTACTTTAATCAGTACTATAATAATAAATTTGACTTGGAAAACACACACTGAACATGTTTGCAAAAAGTTGTCCCAGTATTCTTGTGCACTGTACAAACTTAGTAGGATCGCGAATCAGTGCACGGTCCTTACAGCTTATCATGCGTACGTAGTTTCTACTGTTCGATACGGTTATATGTTATGATTATATTTTGGGGATATTCGACTGATTCTGTAACTGCCTTTAAAGCCCAGAAAAAATGTGTTAAGAGCATATTTTATTAAACTAAATATTATGACCCTGCCATCAATCTATATATTCGAAGTTGGTATTTTTGTCAAACAGGATCAACAACTATTTGAAAATAAGACGAGATTGCATCATCGAGACAAATTGTGTACGATACCCTCTAAGACAGCTCAGTTGAACAAAAGTATCTTTTGTATGGCTCCAAAAATTTTTGATAAAATTCCAAAAACAATACGAAATCTGGATAATTGTAATGTTTTTAAAAGAAAACTTTATAAATTATTAGTAGCTAAAACATATTATAGTGTAAACGAGTATCTAGCTGACAGTACTTTGTAAATGTAAAATACTTAATGAATTAGTTGAATTTTTGACATAATATGTTATTGATTAGATTAGTTGACAATTACTAACCTACAAATATTGTATGCTTTTAGGCAGATCACGGTGTAACTATTCAGTCCTTGCATCCAATATCTTTATATAACCTGCGATCAATAATAAAGATTGATTTGATTTGATTAATCATCTTTTAATACCTACCAACTAAAACAACATAGTATTAATATTAATACTACAATAATATATTGATCTCAAAGCGATACAATATTTAGTTAATGAAAATATTATAATTACTTGTTATGAGAATATTCTCATCAGTATAAAATCTCAATCTAATCAGATTCACATTTATGCCAAACGTAATGAAGTTCGTCCCCAGTACAATCTAACTGTGCCTAGCCTTTGCATTCCAGGCTTTGGACCCACTGATCATTCGATCTGCTGTCTGCATAGGCTTCAAGGCAAACCAAATAAAAGCAATTATTTTCTACATCTTCTTCATCACTTGTTCTATTCTTCTTATTAGTCTTCTTTGCTTTTTTAGGTTTCTTTTTTTTTCTTCGCTTAAGACACGCTTCTTAACATTCTTAGATTTTCAGTCTCTCGTGTATAGTTATTTGGTATTCTCAAAAAAATAAGTATGCGGTATGCCATTATACACCTTAAGTAGCGACTAACATACAAACAAACATCTAAAGTTAATAAAAAATAATGTAAAAATAGCCCAGCAGAAATTTGGAGTAAGTTAGGAGAGTTGTGACAGGCTGTCACAACTCTCCTAGGTGTTCAAAATGACGTCTTGGTCCGAATAATAATTCATATTTTCTAAACACGATGCGCATACAAAAAATCAGTGCCACGTATTGAGACTTAAATAACTACATAACTTAAGAAAAAATAACACATCAATGCACATATACTAAGATATGATATATATTCAAATAATGTTTTGAAGAAAAACTTACTTTTCGTAATTTTTTGTACACTGACGATATATTTACGCAACTGTGCCATATGCACCGTCGACAGGTACTGAGTCGTGTAGCGCGTGTCGAGAACGACAAACAAGCGTTAATGTCATCTCGCTTACTATAATACGTAGAGAGAAATCGTCCTTGTCACAACTCACCTCTGTCACAACTCACCTAGGTCTCCCCTACCATTCATTTCTATTTCAGTCTGTTAGTTTAATACATTAAAAACATACACAGCTTATTCAAAGTGGTCCTTTAATTGTTGAGGTTAGTTATCAATAGACGCATGCACCCTTTTCATATAAAAATTGTTAACTGCCAATTGTATGAATTGTTTTTGAGACACCAAATTATCATGGCAAGCAAGTCTTACTTTCTCAAACTGACCATAAACCATAATCTAGCTGATTAAAATCTGGACTAGATAACGGCCAGTCTAGAGCTCTGATGAAGTCCGGATTGTTTGTTTCTAACCAAGATTTGGAGGATCAAGCTTTATGACCGGCAGCCGAGTCTTGCTGAAAGATCCATTCTTGGTTATTGAACATAGTGTTGTTAAAGGTCTAACTACCTTCTCGAGAACGGTATCTTGATACACTTGTGCCTATGCTTTGATGTCTATTTCACAAAAATATGACATCATTAACCAAACTTAATAAGGAGGTAATAATTTATAATGGATCAATACGAAATTTAAAAGTCATATAAAATGACAGATTCGAAATTTAAAAGCAATATTTTTTTATTTTTAATTGTAACAGTATTTATGGCCAGACTAAATATACCTTACAACCATATTGCTATCGAATTAAAACCTAAATTCTCTTTTTGGCAGAGGAGAGCAAACTAATCAGAATAATTTCAAAAACCTTATTACATACAGATAAAGCACTATTTTGCATGGCTTGAAAAACAATCTTGTGTATTCCAGCATTATTCATCTTTTTTTTATCAGAAATTCAGAACAATAGAAAATACTTTAACATTTATTCAGACGTTAATGAATTCTATAAAATAACCAATGCATGCAAAAATACAGGTACAGTCTTTCAAAATAAACAATGAGCATCAATTTGTTTCCATAGATGATCAACATATCCAAACAGTATAATGATATGGGGCTGCTCTTACACAATTTATGTACCTATACAAAATAAAATACTAGAAAAACAAAGCACGATGTAGGGTTATATCAGCTCAATGAAGTTCTTAGAAATGATAGCGCACGTCTTTCCTATTTCATCTGCAGCTGACAAATTAGTGACACCGGCGCCAGAGGTGACTAATTTCTCGTGTTTAAAATGACGTTGACATTTATTCAGTTGCAATAAAGTTGATCTTTTTAATGATTTTTAAGATCAAATCAAACTATATAACTAAAAATTTTATCTTTATCCATCTCTGTTGATTTTCTTTGCATTGTGTATTGTGATAAATAATTAGCCAATTAGTCTAATTAAACTAGTCACTTACCTCTTTGGTGAGGTTGAGATAAGAAAACACTTTGAAGCCAAGCTCGCTAAATAGGTACTTGAGCTTCTTGGCGTCTACGTCGGCGCCAGAACGGTGCTCGTCTACACCCTGCTGGAACTTTATGTAGCTAAACGCCAGCAACACGCCGCGCTTATTACGCGGTCCACGGGTTTTGTACAACTTGAATTCTGCATTCACAGAGTTATTCATTGATACACAATATATCTTTAAAGAAATATCACACTTCATACAAATATGCCATGCATGTGTGGGAAAATGTAGGGAATATTGTGAGCCCAGCTTGATTGACTTAGTAACTGATAACTGTGGCAAGCGGTTAGTGGTTTGTTTAGAATTTTTACTTAGTATTATTTTGTTACTATTTAATGATAAGGGATTTATGATAGTTGAATGTTTATCAATATTCTCAAACTACCTAATGGAATCATTATCCAAACAAGATTCAACTCTTTTTTTTTTGTTATTGCACAAGCCTTGTGCAGTGTATAACCAGTGCTGAATTAAGCTAGAGCGGGGTTTGTAGCAAATTCATTCTCGAAGAAAGTTGTCTTTTGCTTTCTGAATAACACAACACAATTAATCTGTGACTTAAGCTTTATTTGTCAGATTATGTTTATACTTAAAATATGAGTTTAGTCAGAATTAAATATTTATTTTATTTTATTATTATTTTATTGGCATTTTTTAACACTGACTTGAAAACTTAATTTATTGGCTCTGAACAATAGCAAGGCTCCAATTGCATGAGGCCCACAGCATTTGCTACTTTTGCTATGTGGCTAATCCGGCCCTGAGTATAACTCTATTCCTCAAATAAAATATATTAGTTTTACAGTTGATGGTGCCACTTCTTCCACCACTCTTCAATTAATTTGATAATTTGAACTCTAACATTTGTATTTTATATCTGTATTACAATACACTTCTGTGTATTATAATACAGTATAAATAAATTTATCTATTTTACTTTTCTTCTATACAGAATTTGAAAAGCATTAACATTTGACAGGATCAAAACTAAATTAAGTGCCAACAGAAGTCACTGAAGAAGCTAGATTAATGTAAAACACACCTGTTCCCTCATCTTCAATAAATTTTGTTGATTTTATTACATTAAAATGTGGTACATTGTCATCTGGTTCGCATTCCTGACTATCAGCTCCTTCTTGACTGTTGCTTATCAACAGGGGTCCGTTTTCATCGATAGCATCTGCAAGAGAAGATTTTACAATTATTTTTTAAGTAATCAACAAAATTGTATTCTGTCAAACTATAATTGAATTACTTACTTTTTTGTGTTTCTATATCAGCTTTTTTGTCTTTCATCCTGATACTTATGAAACTATTTTCTCCATTAGAAAGAGGTTGAGGTTGAGGTCCTGTAAAAATTATGTATTTTGTTCCTTAATAGTGATGTGAGTCTAACATCATGCACAATACATTTTCCATACATTGGGGATAGAGCTACTTAACTAATACTTAGTACTATAATTAATTAATTAATTAATTTTAATCATTCTCATCACTAATACAAATACCTGGTTACATGTTATCAACTGAACAATTCAAAAACAAGACCGCAAGTTCGCTATCACTGACCTGAATGTTATAAAAGTCCTTATAATTGAAGTAAGACCTATTTATTATTTGAACCAGCAGGATAATATACCAATTGCATGTTGTAATATACAAAGTAATGTAAATCATATTCTTAATGAAAAATCCAACAGACCCTGACCAGGTGCTCTGAGATGGGACCTGGAGCTGATGCATTGTTAAAGCATTTTTCAGTAAAAATATTTTCCCACACCGTGAATGTAAAATTGATCAAATATAATAACGTTAAACAGACAATATAAATCTCATTGTTACAGTGAAACGCTCATAATTTTATTGCTCCCATTGTTATCAGTTGAAAGTTGTACTGCATGGTGGTTGCTAAAATTTTTTGACAATCCTAAAGAGCATTCAATAAACTTAGTTGAAAAAGCAATTTTTTTCTTTTAATTTTAATCATATATTGCATTCATGCTATTGATGATGATGAATTTGCATGATAAAATTATGAATTCATAATATATATTGTTAGAAATAATTGCAACCATGTTAAGCTCATACTTTTATGTCATTTATAAATTAACATGTTTTCTCATCAAAAAAACACCATCTATCTATTTATGCAATACACCAGTATAACCTGCGGTTGCCTAGACTATAAGAAATTACTTTTTAGCTATAAGACCACCAATGTTCCATTAAACTGTAGTTGTCTTGTTATTTAATTTCTCCTCTTCTTTTTGCAGTATACATTAATTCTATTTCATGTCAATTAGTTTCTTCCTACCATCTCTATGCAGACGATTTGCAGATTTATTCTCAGGCTACTGTTGAAAATATTAATTTAGCCATCGATAATCTGAATAAGGACATATGTCAAATTTCTAAATGGAGCCGTAGTCATGGATTGCTGATAAATCCTAACAAAACCCAACTTATTATAATAGGCAGCTCTCGGGTTAGAGCAAAACTTAAGTATGATCAACTTCTACAAATTGTTTTCGCTGGAGTTAATTTACAGCTCAGTGATCAGGTTAGAAATTTGGGCATACAATTTGACAAAAACTTAAATTGGGATGTACAGCTCAAAGAATTGAGTCGCAAACTTTTTGCCACTGTTGGGTCTTTAAGAAGACTCTGCAATATTTTACCCACTGCTACTAAAATTGCGCTCACACATTCTCTTATGATGCCCATACTTGATTATGCAGATATCAGCTATCTTGATCTCACAGAGATGCAACTAAACAAGCTTGAGCGACTTCAAAATGTTTGCATAAGATTTATATTTGGATTATGCAAATATGATCACATTTCTGAATTTCGTGGAAAACTCAAGTGGTTGCCTATTCGACTTCGCCGGAATGCACATACTCTAATGATGTTATTTAGCATACTTTTCAATCCCGTTACCCCTTCTTATTTAAAGGATCGCTTCAAATTTACCAAAGATTCTCATTCTCGCTTCTTGAGATCATCAGAATATTTGCAATTGGATATGCCGATGCATTGTACAATCTTCTACGATAAGTCTTTTACAGTCCAAGCCGTGCGCTTGTGGAATGCATTACCTGTATCGATTAGGAAAGCTAAGTCCATTAATATCTTTAAGGAACTCGTTAAACAACATTATTTGTCCATGTAAGCATGCAGTTCATATGTATTTATATGAGTACGTATAGTATGTATGTATGTATATTTGTATATAGTATGTATATGTGTGAAGTATTTATGCTTATATTGTTTTTCTTCCTACACAGTATATATGTATATACACCGTCCACTACCCCGTTATTATTAGCTCATTTATGATTTAACTTCATCCCAAGGTTGCCTGGAAGAGATCGCTTTTAGCAATAAGGCTGCCATTTGTATGTCTCCTTTTTAAAATTGAAATTGTAAGTGTTATGTGTGTGTACAATAAAGTATATTCTATTCTATTCTATTCTATGGTGTACACTGAGGCATTCATTGATTTAATTTGTCATTAGCAAATTTATAATCTTACCAGTGTTGTCAACTGTTGTGTGTATGTTACACAAAAATTGTCAGGATTATAATCTATGAAAAAACATCTACTAGGCAATATAACTAGAAATATACTTGCTTGGATTGAAATGATGACCCCTGAAATGAAGAGAACTGTCAGGGTCTAGATCTCTGGCCAAGTTCCAATACCCAGCTTCTTGCAAGGAGTCTGTAAGATGTCTGAATGCATCAGGTCCCCTTAACATTACAGCCATATACATCTGACGTTTGCGATCTCTTACACTTAGTCTCGTATCCTGAAAATGTAAAAAAAAATTGTAATTTCGGCCTAAAAACAATTGCTTGATTTGAATTCTGTTATAACACTCTTGATTCTAAATAGTCTTTCACAGGATTGAAACTAAATTTAGTTTGTGCAAATAAATTTAATTTTTGTTAAATTCAGCTTATTATTCATATAATATTATGCACCTTATATTTCTCAATCATCTCTCCAGAAAATACTCCTTTCTCATAGAGCGCAGTCACCATGAGATCTAGGTCGGTCTGTTCTACGAGTGATACAAAGTTGCTTTGTATAGCTCTACGGTGAATATCTTCCATTTTAATTTCAAACACAATAAGCAAATGTTTCGTTCGTAAGGTTCAACAATAAATTGTTTTAGTATTTGTATACAAGTTGCGACTTGACCGTATTTTATATTTTTAGTAGGTCGTGAGAATATTGATTATACAAGTATTATTTTCTCACTAAATTGTAAGATAGCACGGATCAGGCAGAAAAGTCGGATGAGTCACTTTACTATTTTTTTTTAATGTATTTCACTTGTAAAACTTTGAACGTGAATTCGTGATAGAACGAGGATCGAGACCAAAAACAAATTCTAGCTGTCACTGTCATGTCCACAGATTATGTCATGTCAATGTTGTTTTTAAAGGTTTTCCAGTATAGTATTGCAATCATTGGGTTTACTCATTCACGATCACACCCATAGATTTTTTTTTTGATTCATTTTTCCCATTCCTACAGGGGAGAGGAAGGCAAAGGGTACTTAGGCCATACAGCCTTGTCATTTGTGACACCCATAGATAATACGTAAGACATCATACCATTCGGCGCATATTCTTCTTTTATTCTTCTTCTTCTTCTTTTATTCTTCTTCTTCTTTTATTCTTCTTCTTCTTTTATTCTTCTTCTTCTTTTATTAATAGTTTATCTGCGCATTTCACAATTCTGCCAATGTCAAGTGAATAAATAAATTTCTACATGTAAAATGAAAATGAAATGAATGAAAGATGGCGATGATGTCTCTTATCCACCTCATAAGAATTCTCTTATCGTGACACAAAAAAATGACTTGAGTCAAATGGACGCGAAACAAGTCACATTCACTTTATGCGTTTTGAAAGGAAACCAGAGTAAAAGTCACATTCACTATCAGTAAATTTTCTGTCATTTACTTGTTTCGTCGAAAGAAGTTGACATGAGTTCTAGAATTCAGTATTTTATTTTTACATCTAATTTAATAGGGAATGCTATTGAATGCAATTATATTTTTCAATTTATTATAGATTCTGAAATAACTTTTATTAATGCTTTTATCGCCGTGACATTAAATCATCATTATTTCAGCCGAGAGATGCCCACTGCTGGGTATAGGCCTCCCCCAAAGATCTCCAAAGCGATCGATCCTGCGTCTCCCGCATCCAACGTGACAATAAATACTAAATCATATTAGTATTTAGATAACAATTTTAATATCTCTTCCATGACATTTATCCGCAAGTGTACACCTTCTATAAACAATCTATTTCATTAAATGTATTAAATAATTTGATACGAATAGAATTCCAAAGATTTATGACAAGCCATAAGGTTTTCACATTCACAATCAAAATTTGGACTGGTGCCATGCCATTTGGCGTGATGGTATCATCGTGAATGCTTTCTTTACAGTCATGGATGTATAATACTATACAACAGGACCAAGCACTCCCAGCTGAAATGCGAGCCGAGCGAAATATATATTCTATAAGGATGACAATAATAACATGAGCATTCCTTATTATAAATATAGTTTACATAAATTTATTAAATACTAATTATCAATAAAGATTATATACTCTTAGGATGAATGAGATCTCCAAATAATATAAAAAATATCAAACGAGAAATATCAAATGTTTAAAATAAAAATTGTCAATCGGTCGCTTCGTTTTGTAGATACAAACAAACGAATAAAAGGGCAATAGACATACTTTCGCATTTTAATAGTTATTAATACTCCTAGATATGTAAATTTCGTAGATATTAGACCGCGGGCAATCATGTTTTAACAAGTTTTTGTTAAATAACCCGAATGAGGATAAGTAAATACGTACTGTTTTCACTAGCTGTCCTCGCGTTTGGACTGCGCCTCCGCTTACCATCAGGTGGAGTGCAGTCATTTGCCCTCCATTTTATAAAAAAAAATGAGTAAGTATTTTGAAAAAAAGAAAGCACTAAAAAAGCACCTTCACTAGATGGCGACTCTAGCAAAAGTTGATTTTTGCAGGAAACGAATGGACCAAAGAGTCATTTCCGTGCCTTTTAACTAACATATTAAAAAAGTGAAATTTGAAAAGTTTGAAACTTAGACAAATAGAATATGTATTGTTTATTGAGTTTTGATAACTTATTTACTTTTATACATGAAAGAAAACCGGTAGGGTTGTTATGACGAAATCAAGAAAGTACCGTAGCGACACCTAGTTTCATTCCCGGAACAACTTTTTTTTTAATTTAAATACTTCCTCGTTGTGCAGCTCGGTATAAACAACGTAACATTTATTTTATTTTTATTTGCGGTTTCGCGCTTAAGAATTAAAGCAGTATATACCAACTGACATAAGTTCATCACTTACTTACGTATTTCACAAAAAAAATGTTGGAATATTTTAAATTCATATTCATTGAAATTCCCACAAACCCATCGTAGCCTTTGTGTCTTCTATGTGGAAAACATTTTCGAATGAAGCAATGAAGCCTTCAAGACGGCAAGATCATTTTAATAAAGTGCATCCAGATAAATGTGTAGCATATTTTCAAGATCTAGAAAAAAAGCATAATTCTTGGCCAAGTCTAGCAAAACTATTTTCGGCGGCTACTAAACACGATGATGACGAATATTGTTAAATAAGCATAATCAATAAATATCTTTTAAATCTTCGATTAAGTTTGAAATATATGTAGTCATCCGTAGTAGTCATCTGTCTGTACTTTTTAGGATCGATTATAGGGATGGGCAAATGGGAAAAAGTATCGATATATATCATATCGATATTTTCAAATGAATCGATAAATAATAATAAAAATATCGATATATCGATATTATTGCGGAAAAATATCGCTGATTTTGAAATATCGATAGTTTTTGCCCAATCCTAGTCGAAGACATGTGTCAAAACGGATATCATATTATTTTGTAAAGTTTAAACCTAAATCAAAGCAATTCGAGAAAATATATTATTTATACTTTGCTTCCTGAGAATAATTCTTATAAATTAAAAGCAATGAAGTCTGGTTTGTTATTAGTTTTGTGTTTTTTCATAACTATTTCAGCTTATGAACTTTCTGACATAGTGTCTGCTAGGATTGAAGTAAGAGATTCCTCTACGTTTTTGGCTGTACCTAATTTTTCGAATTGATTCGGACATTGTTACTTTTCCTTTCCAGAGTTGCAGGGGATGTTCATTAAATCGGCTTCCTGAAGTTAAAAAGTTTATATTGGACGACGCCCCGTTCTACGATCGTGTAGAAGTTAAATTTATTACCGGTGCTCCGCCAGAACTGATACTGCTCGGTGAAGGCGACCATGAACTGGAGCGCCTCCCACTGTCGCAGCTCGGACGACAAGAATGCAATGAACTCTTACAGACTAAAGGCTTTGCCAAAAAAGACAAGAAGTCTGAATTCTAATATATATAAATAGTTCATTTAAGATGAAATAGGCTATCATTCCATTAGTTTTGTAAGATCAGCTAGATTCATAGTAAATCAATAAGCAATTTGTTTTAAGAAACCTGTATGCAGTTATAGTGATCAAAATATGAACAAATAGTATACATTGAAAAGTTCTTTTATTTCCCATGTCATGGTTATCATATCTGGACCTGAAAAGCATTAGGTCGGATGTGCAGAACCAGCTAAAATCACTTATCGCCATAACGTTGCTACACTCTTTTTTCTCTTTCCGGCAAATTAACTCTTGTATGTTTGTGCCTTTTTACTCATGAGCAACAGTCATGCATAAAGTCAGATCAGACGACTTTTTCAAATATTTTGATTGCATTTAGCTATTTCTGTTTTTATACATCCGACCTAATGCTTTTCAGGTCCAGATATACAATAATACAACATTTTATCTGAATCACATGAAACATGATCACTTCAATATTATCTTATCAGAAACTTCAGATAAGTAATGACACTGAATCACTCATACATGCTCAAATGTTATGTTGTTTTGACTATTTTAATAGCAAATAATCCAAAATAGCTTATTTTGGCTTAATAATATCACTGTTTCCCAAACTGGTTATGTTACAATATGGGTTCAGGTATTTTTTAGTTTGGGAAGCTATTGTACTTGATGATAATGTCTTTAATATTATAATACAACAACAAAGGGCATGAAGAAATCAAAAATATTGATCACTTTATCAGTATGAGATAAACATACTTTCGTAGCTTTACATGTCAACTGTTGCATCCTCATAGAATAATGCAAAAAAAAAAGACCATGTTCATTGATATTTTATTATTTTTACTAAAATAAAAAAGAGTAAGCACAGTACTTACACATGAAGTGATATCATTTTGCTTTTTTCATTGTCAGTGTGTAATTTCTGCATTGTTTAAGTGTGACTAACTGAAACTCAGGCCTTGCTTTTTTGGGCTCAAGTACTTGATCGTGACTACTAGACTACATTGGCAGAAAAAGCAACCTTATTTAAACTGTAGAATATGTGACATGGTGTGCTCATCGCTATGGCACACCACACCATACTCTTGTGTAAGAAATTATACTTTTGTAACAGGAATTTTTATTTAACTTAAGAATACATGGAATCTAAACATTATCATTGTAAGAATAGTGAATAATGAAATATAATAAAAATTTATTGACATTGAATTTAAAATCTAATGAATATAATAATATTTATCGACAATAAAATTGACATGAATATGGAACCATCAAAAAATATAATGATAAAATGTGATATAGATTTTTTATTATTGAAATTTGCATGCCTGCAATAATAAGGTGCAATAATATTTCGTTTGAAACTTTGTTGAACATACCAATGCAGATACATATAATTGCGCAAATAAAATACTTTGATTCTGACTTTGAAAGAGGAATAATAGGAATGAAATAAAACTTCACTAGTGATTTGTTAAGAATTAAATATATTAAGATGTATTACGACAGATAGTGAGCATGCTCAAGTGAGTAGCGTGTAGTCGAGGTCTTCCTCTCGCGCGTGCTCGGTGTGAGAGCGACGCAGCACGCGCGCCACCACGTCCGACAGCGCCTCGCGCGCGCCCTCGTCCAGCAATTCCATGCACTCCTGGTCATATTATTCAGTTTCATATAAGATCATAAAACGTTGTAAATATCTAGTATTTCATTAGTTTAAATTGAATATGAAGTAGCTCGGTGGCATAGTGGATAAGCGCCGCGGCCCGCGATCGTAGTCGTTAAGCAACTTCCGCAAAGGTCGGTCACGGGATGGGTGACCAAAAAATTTATATCGCGAGCTACTCCGTGCTTCAGAAGGCACGTTAAGCCGTTGGTCCCGGCTGCATTTGCAGTCGTTAATACCCTCCAATCCGCATTGGGCCAGCGTGGAGGGTTATGGCCCATCCTCCTTACTTACAAATTATTGACTGTCTTTATCATGCCAATGTGTAGATGGATATATTTGATATAAAACGATGTCTGAAGACGTTGAATTAATGTAATGGAAGTGAATAATCGCTACCAGAGGTAAACCTACTAATAAATAAAAGATTTAAAATTAGCTAAATATGTCGTCCAATAATCCAACGATAGCAAGTGGCTCAAAAACGATCCTACATCGTAGACGCGGCACGAATAACGATCAAACAATACGGTAAAGGTACCCGGTGACATAGAACTGACCTGCGAGAAGGTGTCGTCGTGCGGCAGACGCAGCAGCGCCCGCAGCGCCAGCTCCGAGTTGGCGCGCACGTAGGTGTTCTTCTCCTTGGTGCCGTTGACGAGCGCCGGCAGCAGCGCGCGCAGCAGCTCGCCGCCCGCGCCCCCCGCGCCCGCGCCGCCCGCGCCCACCGCGCTCGCGCTCGCCATCAGCTGCTTCACCTCGTTGCTCGAGTGGTTCATGCTCTGTGCGACACATTTACATAACCTCATTTCGGACACTACGCATTTTGAAAGGCTAACTAACACCTGAGTACACACATGTCCATTAAAATTATCATTAGTTAGAATATTTAGAACATTCGTCAGAGCTTAAGCCGTCATTAAACCCAATACAATACAGCTATCTAAAATTATGCATACTTATTCGAGGTTAAGTCAGTGGGTAATGCCCCATCTTGGATTTTCTAATGAATCTATAGTTGATTCCAAAAAATTGACCAGATGGCGGCAGAGTCGCGTCCCAAATGTCCACAGACCGATCTGCATTTCCGGTCTGTTTGATCCTAAATGGAGTCCGATCGATCAAAATCTCATCTGATCGGCGGTTTGTGATGCTAGCTATAAAATTATGTGGACTATACCCTGACGAATTGCGAGAGTAGATTGGGCGGCGTGGGGCGGTCCTCCTTCAGCAGATACCGCATGAGGTACGCGATGCCTCGTATGCCGCTGCACACCACCGGCACGTGCTCGCTGCTCAAATACGACAGCAGCGTGCGCTCCACTCGCTCCTGTGCGTACGACAATTATCATACTTAAATACTTTCAACACTTTTACCGTACAAAATGTCATTCGTATGGGAGAATTTATTTTAATATCCGTCCGTCTCGACTTCGCATGGGAACAACGTTTTAGTATATTTTTTATATAAGCTGATAAATAAACAGGCACTGCACAGCGCATTTTTTTTTTTCAGTCGATGTTTACAAAATCTATTAGGAGACATAAACGTCAACGTACGAAAACCCTGGAGAGCGGATTCTGTAAAAAACCCGAATTCAAATTCACTCATGTATCTGCAGGGATGTTAGACGGCGACTTAGAAATCCTTGTGCCGAGCTGGCTGAAAGCTGGTATTCGAGGGGGGAAACTAGTACGCCTGTGCTCCGCTCTGGCGCTGCCAATTCTGGGAGACAAACTGTGTGGGAAATCGCATCTCAGTAAAAGAAATGCACATTTCAATTTCGTATACCGTTAATAGAGGGCAGTAATTATAGAACACACGGAAGAAATATCACTTTTAACATTTTTTTTGATATTATATTGCATTTCGGATATAATATGTAAAATATATTGAAAAAAATAAATGAAAATAAATGTAACGAAGATTTACAATGATTTGAAGTATAGGGCGCAAAAAAAAAAAAATCCCGTGCAGGAATCGAACCCGGGGCCCCGTGAACGTGAGCACAACGCGTTACCATTACGCTATCTAACATATTGAGAAAATAACGGCGGAAAATGGTAACTGCTCATCGAGACAACTGCTTGATATAATAAAGTTTTATGACATTAAGGAAATCTGATTGGAATGTTTTTTTACATGCATCTCTGAAATTTATCGATTATTCTATGTTGTCAGTGTATTTTTGTCGGTCAACGGCCAATCTTGGTATTTTTGCATACAATGACTGAGTAGTCTTGGTACATGGTACGTGACACTAAAAACTAGTAAGTATACCAAGAAGTTGGACGTCTGACATCATTGTGTGTCTGAATTCACATTATTAACACCCGTTTTCACTAACCGAGAACAAGGCATAGCATAAAAAGGAAACGCCTTATCTTACGAATCGTCGCAAATCAGTTTAGTTGAATTGGAAATCATATTTTTTTTCTTTTATCTCTTGACACAGTTGTGATCTGTCACATTCCGAAAATGCCTAGCGCACGCAAGGTACTCGCATAACGCATATCATAAGGACTTACGTCCTTAAGTGGTTCTTAGTCATCGGTGAAATGAATTTTCATCTTAAGCGACTCCTAAATATATAAAGAACATATTTGGGCGATACCTAAGTTTAGCGAAAACGGGCATCAGTGTAGAAATTTCTACATTTTTGTATAAAAATACAAAACAATTGATTCATACTTGTAGCAGATATTGTATTTCGAAACTCATTTTATTAACAAATGCGAAAGATTGTGAGGTATAATTCTTTCACACACAAAAAAAAGCCTCAAATAACCAGAACACGGACTAGTATTTTATTCGCCACTAAACAGTTCCCCGTGAGAAAGGCAGCAGCGTGTACCTGGAAGGGATCCGTGTAGACGTGTTGCGGCGCCTCCTTGAGCGCGACGAAGAGCGCGCAGGAGCGGCCGTGCAGCAGCGCGGCGCTGTCGGGCTGCGGGGGGGCGAGCACGTGGTGCTGCAGCGCGGCGGCGCGGTGCGGCGGCGGCAGCGCGGGCAGCAGCGCGCCCAGGCAGCCGCCCACGCCCGCGCGCGTGGCCTCCTCCGCGTGCCCCAGCAGCGCGCCGCTCAGCGTCGTCAGCACGCTCAGCGCCAGCTGCTCGGACATCTTGTCCCCGCCCACTGATATCACGCCGCGCAGCGCTTGCACCATCGTCTCCCTTATATCATGAAACGAGAGCTCCAATTTTAATATTGCATTTTGGCTCCCCACAATAACAGACATACCGATGTGTACCGGTTATACCAAATGGTGAACTGATAGATTTATTTTCGTTTAGGTTTAGTTTGTACTAGAGCTGTATTGATCGATCATTTATCATAACCCGGGTGGATCATGACCCACTCGTAAGACAATCGAGTCGATCGCTTCAATCATCTTTGGTCTTTATCTATACTGATGTTATAAAAAGGTAAAGTGTACTTTGTTTGTTTGTAGAGAGTAATATACGAAAATACTGATCCGATGATGAAAATTCTATACATTATACCCAAATAATATAGGCTTTTATATACACGGGCTCAGTCTCGAGAAAATATTTAAATAAATTAAACGTAAAGAATTTACTGATTCATTGGCACATGGTAAATACAGAATAGATGTAACATTATAAATTTACAGTTGAAATTATCTGTGTTATATAGGTATATAGGGTCGGCGAGAAAGGGACAGTCACTAGTGAAGGAAGGGACAGTCACTAGTGAAGAAAGGGACGGATAGTTATTAAAAATGTTTTTGATAATTCTGTAAATACACCGGTAGGGCCGAGAGTAGGATATTTCTAGATGTGGTATAATACGCGATGGTTTATCCGTACCAGTATTTTTGAGTGAATATGCGATCTGAAAGCAAGAGCGATTGGAAGCGAAACTGGAAACGATAACTAAAGCGGTGTAAAATCTAATAGTGTTGTGAACTGTTATCAGTGACGTGAAATAGTGAAGTTGAAGTGTGAATTTTGTACAACCCCTCCAATTTTCTTTCATGTGTAAAAGTAAATTAATTTTCAAGACACAAATTCTATTTGTACTTTTTTTTGTATTTGTACTGATATCTAAGTTTCGAACTTTGCTTTTTTTTAAATATGTCATTTAAAAGAAACAAACGACTATCTTTGGTCCATTCCTTTCCTGCAAAATCAACTTTTGCTAGAGTCGCTATCTAATGAGGTAGATTTACTAGTGCTTTCTTTTTTTTTCTTTAAATTCTTCCTCATTTACGTTAATTTCTATCCCGAACCCAAAGTCGTAACAGTGTTAAAGTGGTACCGTATAGCAGGCTCGTCAGCATTCTTGATCCCGTTGTGCATCTCAACGAAGAGCGGATCAGCGCGCGTGTGTATCAGCACGAGCTGCGAGAGGGCGAGGCCCGCCTTTATGCGGACCGCGCGGTTCGGGTCGTTCAACGCTTTCAAGAACGTCGTCTGCAGCTGGGGCAGGAACTGTTTCAGCATCGCCCCCACCTGTCGGGTTCACGTTGTAGTTAAAGATTTTATATATCACATACTTCTTGAGGAAGGCGTTAATAGATGTTTTGAAGTCAGAGATATGACGGGTAAAGATTTAAGGATTTAACTGTTATAACGTAAAACGAAAGTCATGCCCGCGTTACGCGAGGCTAAAAATACAAGCTAGTACAGATATTAGTGTTACAGTCAGTTCCAATTAATATGGCATAGTGAATTTAAAGTTTATCAAGGGTTTGTACTCTGTTTAAGCCACAAAACAAATTATTTGGATAAATACATACGTTTTCTTGCCTTAAAAATCTGATTAAAATTACATCAAAGTTAAAACTTTTTTTCGTATCCGCGAAAACGCTATCCGTCATATTTATAACGTCATTCTGATATGTACACAAAACAGATGCATAGAGTAGAAGATAAAAAGATGTCAATAAAACAAGAACAATGCCATCTAACGATCGATTACGAAATAAAAAGATATGAATAAACTAAGAACAGAGCGAATATAATTATTAGTCATAATTCTTTACGACTAATATGACGGCTGTCGCCACAGTGACGTAACACAATGGCGGGTTGTATTTCAAGTCACGTGACACACAAACAAAACATCACTACTTTAAATTTTACACGATATTAAGATAATCGAGTGATTTTTAGACTAAAAATTAAAATCTTGTGTTCATTACGATGTAAATTTTAGTTTTTTTTTTTTGCAATTTCGTGACTTATATTTCACTACCGAACTACCCTATTGCGGCGATGACTGAATGTAAGATAAAAATTGATAGTGAGTCTTGTTTCAAAAAACATAATAAGTAAAAAACAAAGCATTAAGTGACCGTTTTATTCAGACCAGGTGCGTGGATATTGGTGGGTCCAAAAACAATTTCGTTGTCAACATTTATTATTGCAATTTTTTTTGTTATGTACTTACCTTGGATAGTAGCGAAGCGAGTGTTTCCAGCACGGCCGCCTTTACGCTGCAAGTGAACCTGTCGCCGAGGATACGTATAAGGGGCCCGGTGATGTGGACTACAGAGGGTTGTATGGCGGCCGGGGAGGTCAGCTTGATGACCTCGCCCAGCATCAACGCCGCATTCTCCTTGTCCTCGGGCAGACCGTTCAGGATCGACTCGCGGAACAACGGCAGGATCGGCGCGATGCCCTGTACGTGCACATACAAATATTTCTTATTACTCTCTATTTGATATACAAGTATCAAGATGAGCTTTCAATCTACCAATGTCCCCACTAAAGATACAAAGACCTTCGCTATGGATGGACCGGAATAGGGAAAACGGGTCATAACGTATTAATCACACTCATACAAAATTAATTATCAATCTCTATATCATAAATAAAATCTCTTAAAAATGTCCAGCTACCAAATTGCACTTCCGATAATGGGGTATGATTATCACGCGGATCCAGTGGGGATTGCAGGGTTTGCGAATGCAGATGCAGCCGAGACTGATAATTCATCTCGCCTTTTAAAAGATTTTTTTTATATATGATAATTTTCTAATCACTTATGCTGTGGTTTTTGTGCTATTGCGGTTTATATTCGTTGAAAAAAAAAGGGGAACCATGAGAGGAGAATAAACTTCGGGGCCGTCCATAAATAACGTCATACGAAAATCATGATTTTTTTAAGCTCCGCCTCCCCCGTCACAGTTTGTCTGTATATATTCTACTAAATATTGTTTTGATATAACGCAATGTAATGTAATATATAGTGGACGGATGCTCTCTTCGGATAGTGAACGTAAGTTAGCGGAAGTGTACCTTGGGCAGACAGAACCCTGGCAGCAGCGGTTCGGGCCGGTCGGCCACCTCGGCGGCCGCGTAGCGCACGGCCTGCCGCACGTCGGCCACGTGGTGCACCATCTGTTCGGGGTCGAGCGAGCGCGTGACGGCGGCGAGCGCCTCCCACGCCATCTGCAGCACGTCGCGCTCCTCGCCCGCCAGCAGCAGGATCAGCCCGCGCAGCAGCGCCGGCACGTGCGGCGTCAGCTCCGCGCGCGTGTGCGTCACGAACGAGCACAGCAGCGCCGCGCCCGCGCGACGCTTGTCCGCCTCCGCCGTGCGGATCCACTCCAGGAGAGTGTCGATTATACTGTACGAGACGATCGATCGACATCTTGTTTAAAATCATATCAGTAAAGAGTGCCAGGTGCTGCCTTAGTTTCATTATGGTTTATTAGCATTATTTAAACTGACGAAATTACGTTTTCAAAGGAAAGATTAGGCCTTCAGTGTAAGCATAAGCAATGATTCGTAATGGGGTCGAGGCTCCTCCCTCTTTATATGATTTGGCGATATAACAACTGAATATAGACTTGATAACATAAAATTAATTAATCGTTAACTAAAGTGAAAAATACTTTAGCACCGCAAGTGTCGCAAGTGTGGACCGGGCCAGGCCGTGTATACTGACCACCTGACCCCCGCGGCGTCGGCGACGGGCAGCAGCGCGTCGCGGCAATGGTCGAGCTCGCGCGCCTCGTGCGGCTGGTGGCGCGCGTGCACGAGCGCGGCCAGCAGCGCGGGCAGCACGCGCGGCAGGTGGCGGCCCAGCGTGCCGCCCGCCGCCGCCGCCAGCGCGGACAGCGCGCGCGTGTCCACCGCGCCCTCGCCGCCGCCACCAGTTAACACCGGCACCAGGTACGGCAGCACCGCGCGGGACTTTATCGCCATCACCTGCGCCACCAAGGGTACGGTAACTTCATACGAACAGATTAATAATATTACAATTCGGTAATGGACCTGTCTGGTCACCTGTAAAATAAGGTTTGATTTTGTACGAGTATCAGCGACGATACGTCAGCGATCGTTAAGTAGCAACGGCAAAGTTAGCTATCAAATTCGATCGCTAGAAAACTAACGAATAATCTGTAGCGACTTGCTATTATCCTTAAAGTACGATCGCTATGAGTTCTGGCTCAGTGGACTAATTATCAATTTTAAAATTCCCATTCTAAGGAATAACGATTTAGAGAAATAAGTTATTTTTAAAGTCGCAATAGCTATTGGAACGAATGATGATTGATCCCCGTCCATCAAAAAATTGCAGTTAGTATTTTAACTCTTTCGGTTAATATTTCTCAACAGCTTTACAAACATCTATCGCTTTACTTAGACAATTTTAATTAACGACATCGTTCATCAGATTGTTAAAAAAAATTGTCACGCTCGCTATCTCAGATGTCCAAATATAAAAAATTGTACAATCAGGCCGCACGTATGTCGGTACCTGCTTGAGACCGTCCAGCGTGGCGTCGGCCACCGCCGGGTCGGGGTGATGCAGGTTGCGCAGCATGTGCGGCAGGATGTCGTCGAGCGCCTTGTTGCCGATGGTGGCGTGCAGGCTGTCGAACGTGCGCGCCGCCGCCAGGCGCACCTCCGGCAGCGGGTCGCACAGCGCCGTGCGCACGGTCGGCACCTACGCGTACACGTACACATCACATCCGACACTTCACTGTTTTATAAAACGTATCTTAACAATTTCATAAATTTATTTGTCTGAAAGTGTTATTGAATAAAGGCTGTACGAGCCTTTGCTAGCCCAGTACATTAAATTGAACCGGCTCGAAGGACCACCAATGTACGAACCCTTGCTAGCTCAATACAATAAATTGATTTTCTTGATATGAAAAACACACACTATTTGATGCTGACGCAGTACTAACTTGCACGTGATCATAATAATTAATTAAAAAATATACTTTACACAAAATATACCATTTTCAACATATCATATATGGCTTTAACTGTCAAGTATCCACTTGCAATAAATATCTAAACATGTTCATAAACAAATACGCACCAGTCCGTCGGCGAAGCTGAGAACCGAGTCCCTGGAGGTGGAGGCTAGGATCTCTCCGAGACCGATACAGACGCCCTGGCGCTGGTCTGCGCGTTCAGATCGCAGACCCCGCTCCAGAATAGGCACGATCTCAGGAAGAACGCGTTCCCCGAGCTGACAAAGTCATTTTTATTAATGGTGAAAAGAAAATATATATGGACAGTGTAATTTTACTAGCCCGGGATTTATCAAACAAACTATCAGATCAAGTCTCTGGATCAAACCATCTCATATATATTAGTACTGATTTTTAACTATACTATTTCAATTTCTTCAACGATTAAATTAAGACTAAATATTATGTATACGTAAGGTACGTATTGTTTGAACGTACCTTCCTGACGAGATCGCCGAGGGTGCGTGCGGCGACTTGCCTCTTGTCGTAGCTGGTGGAAGCGAGGCAGCCCAGCAGGAGACCGAATAATGTCGGTAGAATCTCGCGCAAGGTCTTAGGTGTATTCGTAACGACGACCTGTATTAAAAATTTGTAATCTATCTATCATGGAAGAACAAAACTTGCTAAGGTAGTTATTGTAGTATCAAAGTATTCCTATTATAGACTTTTGTGAATTCAATTAACTACAGACATATATTACATGTACATAATTAGATAATGTACCTTAATACTACAGAACGATGCACTCAATTTTGTACTTAATATATATGACGTTAAAATGTCAATTTGTTTTATATGTTAATTATTTTCAATTAATTTCAAATTGTATGTATTAAATTTTATTTGAATTGTGATAAAATTGCAAATGCTGTTCAAGCTTATTATTGGTGCAAATATTAGATGTGATTCTTGGTGATTATGTTATGATTGTTGATTTTTTGTACTGTTAGTGTGTCTTATGATAATAAAAATAAATAAAATGTGTCATTGGCATGAGTGCTATCATCTATATACAGGATTAGTTCACAAATACCAACAACCTAGCAGGACTAGACAACTAACGTTATAACAAAGTTTGATCGACGAGTTAAATCATAACTCAATATTTTAAACTAAAATGGTTATGAAGTTTTAATAGGGATGATGACTGGGTAAAAAAAATGCAATTCTATTTAGTCCGTCAATCAGATAATAGAAAAATATTAGATACGTATTTTTTTTTTACTTCAATTTAACAAGAAATAGCTTAGATAGCGGGCATTAAAGTTGAGGAGTGGGGGCTCGCTAAGTCACAGTTGAGTAGAAAACGTACCATAACGTGACGTCATGCGAAATTTCAACTCCATGTAACGCCGTAATTTTAATTTTTTTTACCCTCTACCTGACAGACAAACAAACAAAAAATAGTCATCATCCCTATTGTACTCAGATAGGTTTTATTAATAACAAAAGAACGACATGTAATAGGATACTGGATATGCGTAGAGTTAATAATATTGAAATATGAAAGCAAAATGTAACGAATTAACAAGTCGTAGAACAGGTATTATTATTTATAATGTTTACAATCTAATTACTCTGTATATTACTATGCACTAACCTTCCATACGTGTAACGCCGCTTGTCGTACCATGAGCGCGACATCGCTGCGACCCATGTACAGGCCAGCGAGCACTCGGTTACGGCGTTCGGCGCCGAGTGCGCTCATGATAGCCTTGTGCGAGTGTTCAGTACCAAAGTTATCGTCCTCCGACGCCGTCTCCGTGCTCATCTTGCCGGAGACACCGGATATACGATACAACAAGTCCCCTAGAAGTTGCACGGATGAATATCGGATACGCCAGTTGTCATCGAACAAGCCTCTTTCCAACTCTGGTAACAAGAGTGTTATAGCGGACTCCGCGTACAGCGTCACTATACGCTGTCCCGCTTTCAGTGCAGTCTCTCGCACGTATTCGTTCTCGTCGGCGAGTGCTTTGAGTATAGGGTTGATGATCTGGCCGATGTAAGGGGTGAACTCATCAGTGAACGCGCCCGGCATGTATATGAACATCATTATGTAGCCGTCCTTTACGTGCGGCGCTATGTCGGTGCGTTCCGCCGTCGCGATTATGTCTGTTCGGAGAATGGTATCATTACTCTTAAGCACTGGTTTATATAAATCGTTAGTATCCGAGAGGAGTTTTTTTTTTTCAAATACAGTGGGAGGGTTAGTAAGAAAAATACAGCGGGCTCTAATTTAAACGGATATACTTCACAAGTTGTTTATGAAGAATATCTTTTTTTTATAGGAGCATAGCATATGAATGCAAAATTAAAAGTATATTATTATATATTATATACTAGCTAGCGGCTTCACCTCCGTGGTCCCTAAGGAACTGATTAGTGGGATAAAAAGAAGCCCATATGTTAATCCAGGCTTAGAATTATTTAATTTAATAATTTATTTGGATAATAATATAATTACAATGACATAGTGAATAGTAAACAATAACTTCCACTCCCATTTTCATCCTTAGAGTTTCGGGATAAAACGTAGCCTATGTCCACCGCATACGATGTAACCTTCCGTAGATGAAAGAACTTGTAAAATCGGTCCAGTAGTTCCGAAGCATATTCGGAGCAAACAAACAATCAAATAATTCCTCTATATAGTATTAGTATAGATAGGTATGTGTAGTGGGCCGCACTGACCGGGCATGATCTTGTGCAACTTGTGCACGCCGAGGCCGGCCACCACCTCGGAGAGTCCCTGCGCGGCGCCGGAGCGGTCCACGGAGCTGGACTCGGAGGTGAGCGTGTGCATCAACCACGGCAGCAGCTCCTCGAAGCTGCTCTCGCCCATGCCCTTCACCATCGCGCCCAGCGCCCGCGCGGACACAGAGCGCACCTGGACACAACGCCTACTTGTTATCTCTTTACACAGAAATATATTTAAAATAGAGCATTAAAGTTGAGGAGTAGGGGCTCGCTACGTCACGACTAAGTAGAAAATGTACATAAACAAAAATTAGTTATCATCCCTATTTAAATAGCATGGTAATTTAGTTTGGTGAAATTTTACAACACTTAAAGACGACAAAACATCACAAATGCACAAGGGTGGAATGTAGACCCCACTTATTATAAAAACAACAAGAGTCAAAATTGTATAGTGACATATTTTCGGACAAGATTATAATAATAATAATAATTGACACCTTATTGCTCACACATAATTATTAAGAAAACAATATTGGTACTAATGCTAGGATTACAAGATAACAGAAACAATAAAAATAGAATAATGACTCATTCTATGCTATGCGTTTAAGACTAACCTCCGGCACGGGATCGAGTAGCGAACTCTTCAGTCCTGGGATGATATTGGGCAGGTACGGCATCAAATCCTTCTGATCGGTGAGGGAGTACATGTTGCCGATGATCTGCGCGGCCATCTTGCGCGTCTCCGTGCTGCGGTCGAGGAACGCGCGTTGCACGACGGGCATTATGAGCGCGAGCGACGGCGCGTCTATGAAGTGTACGAACTTCGTGTCCAACAGGGTTTGAAGGCACGCCGATGTCTTGTTCGACGGGTCTTGGAGCGCGTGGAGTAGAACCGGCACGATGGCTGCGAAGATACGACAAATTATTTAGGCCAGGAAGGTTGTCATATTAACAATTTTATAATATACCGAAGCACTCGGAAGCCGATAGCCAAGTCACAAAAAATATTATGTCGAAGAAAACAGCAGTAAGAAAGAAGTGAGCAATAAAATTAAAAGTGAGCTCATATCTATTTTGTCAAAATGCTATTCTAATGGAAAATCCGGGCGACAATGAAACTTTGTTTTTTTTTTTGTTTTTTTTTTAATAACGAGGGATTTAAACAAGATAATTTATTAAGTCTAATCCTTCAGTGATCACTACTTGCTCAGTCAATGTTACCTTGAATCTCCGGATTCCTGATAACGGAGCCGATGACCTTCAACGCTTCAGCGCCCGCCTCCTGCACGCGCATATGCGAGTCGCTCAGTACTTCAATAAGCTTCGGTACGATCGAAGGCAAGCAAGATGACAGCTGCTTCGGCGCGCAATACGCCATTGCACCTAACAACTCGATCGAACCTGTGCGCGATTAGATTATTAAATCACGTACACACAACAGCATATTTTCCGCACTTGATTATATAAATGCGTGATATATCGTTTCTGTATATATATCTACATACCGGCCTTGGTGCGCCAGTTATCATCTTGTAACGCCTGCAAGAGTGAGGGCAGCACGAGCTTGACGCCGTGAGCGCTGAGCTTGCTCATGATGAGCTTGGCGGTGTCGTCAGCAGCGGCCCGCACGTACTGGGAGCTGTCGCCGAAGCAGAGCAGCAGATGGGGGAGCACGTGGACGATATACGGCTCGAACAGACGCCCCAGCTTGTAGCAGAGCATCTCGAAACCGAATAGAGCTCCTGTAAATTTAGTGAAAATATTCTTTATGCTGAAGAAATACCATTTATTTTCTTCCAATAGCTTCGATCGTTACTCTCTTTTAGATAAATATTTAATAAGTATTTACCTTCTCGGTACTTGTAGTTTTTCTTCTCTTGAATGGCTTCAGTCAGTTTGCCCATAACGTCCAATTGTTTTAATGATAGTATGCCCAGTCCTTTGATTATACCGGCTATACCGTACGCGGCACCCTAATTAAAACAAAATTCATAATTTTAGTAAGAGTATTAATATTATTCTAATAGGTTATATAGTTAAGCTGATCTTCAACTATCCTTTTTAAAGAATAAATCTGTGTTCAATATTGATATATACGTTGCTTTTTACAGAAACGATTTTTTTTCGTGCACAATGAAATCAATGGTGTCTTCAAACGATGCAATTCAATTAAAAAGGAGTAATTTTCAAGCAAGCACAATTGTTGCACTGAATCTTTATTTAGTGCTAAATAAAAGTAAAAGAGTTTTTATTCATTTTAATTTGATAATAAATTTAAAAATATATAAATTGCAAAATTTCTTATTTACCCTTAAGGTTTAAGTTTCAATTTTTTATGAACATATGAGGCTAGAGTTAAAAGTGAGATGTATATTACGAAAATAAAGTTAAAGATACCTTCCTGTCCCCATACTTCTCAGCAGTGAGTAGCTGCTTCATAAGCTTGTTCATGATGGCAGGGATCTCGTCTTCGAGTGCGGGCGAACTCACCAAGTGCGGTAAACAGTTGCTAACCGCTTCTTGCACCTAAATACCAATAAATATAGCGTCAATCCCAATATTGTTACTCAAAGTATACGCTACTTTTCAGAGCAGTGATAAGAGGGATTCTACCAACTAGAACACTCTTTTTGCGGGATGTGGAGGCGTGGTAGTAACGTGATAATGTGCTTTGTACCTTAAATTAGGGCTTTACGTTCCCATAGGGCGAGACCTAAGGAGACAGAAAGAAGGAGGATCCAGAATCTGGATCCAACCCTACCAAATACGGGAGTCCTACTGATAGAACCCAGAGTATCCTAGCTTGTTCCTTCAGAAGGATTAGGGTACCGGCGCGGTGGGCAATAGACGAGGGGACGAGGTGTACCTGTTGGCTGGGTGTGGAGAGCGCGGCGACGAGGCGCAGGGTGATGGGCTTGATGCGGGCGTCGTCGGGCTCCAGGTGGCGGGCGAGTGAGCCCACCAGTAATACCACGCTCTGCCGGACCGCGTCGTACCCGCCCGACTTGGGCGCCTTGTCGAGGAAATTCTCGAACACAGGCAGCTGGCTGCTCAGCGTTTCCTTAAACAAATATGGTAATGTTTTGGTATTTCGCACACAGACTAGAATGTCGATAATGGTTTTGAAATATTTATTTATTCCTTAAAATTGTCAGTTGTTTGTAGTGACATAACCCATACAAGTTAGACATTCATTAACCTTAAAGGCATCGTTAAACTTTAATGACATTTTTGCAACTGACCGTAAGAGTCATAATTACTGTATGTAATAACCAGAGGTCGGTATTAGGTAGAGTTATTTATGTACTTGCATCGAAATGTTGATATTAATGTGGACCTTCCCGGGATTTAGATAGTTTGAATGCGGTAGAAAGAGACACAATCTAGTACATTACGTTAAGTGGGGAGTGCTCCGAATTTGCGCTATTGTATTCTTTTGTTCTCACAAGCTATGTTGTGCGAACTACAAATGTGGCAACATCGCGTGTATTGGTATTTTGCAACTTTGGACATCCGATGTCATTGATGTAAGTTTAGCAACGTCGTGCGTGCAGTATTTTAAATTGTGTAAAAGTAAATAACTTTTTATTTAAAAAATCACGGGATTTTTTCTGCTCTTTAAAATTAATCTCGGGATTTGAGGCATATCCACTTTATTCTTTCGCTGTATGAAATCAGTGTAAGTACATGAATAACTCTACCTAATTCCGACCACTGGTAATAACAGATACCTACAATATATTTTTAGGTACTGCACATACAGTTAATTATGTCACGACGTAAAAGAATAAAAATCAAATTGATATTCTTTAATCGATATCGATATTCAAATTGTTCGGAAGAACAATTAAGATGTGAACGCAAGCGTGCGTAGGCGTGACAATTTCAAAAAGCAACTAGGGCGTAACATGTACCTTCCCGTGTATATCGACGATGGCCATGGCGGCGTTGAGCATCTCGGCGCGCACGGCCTCGTGCCGGTCGGCGAGGCCGCGCTCCACGAAGAACGTGATGGCGTCGGGCACGTGCTCCGCGCGCAGGCACGGCGCCAGCGCGCACAGCCCCACGCCCGCGCCGCGCCGGCACGTCCACTCGTCCACCGCCGCCTCCACCACGTGCCCGAACTGGTCCAGCTTGGCGGGGATCAGCTGCCACACGAACACGCACACTCAGCACTAGATATCGAACTGGTATCCGTTATCCGCCCGAATACAGATTACTAAGATTTAACGTATTCTCATTTTTTTTTACACAAGTCACAAATTTTCTAACGTCCGCTTCGTATACTAGACTAGCTCCTGAAAAAAGATTTCACTGCAAACGCTTCTGCCAGGTGCTGAGAGATAAACTCTAAAAATTTATTGAAAACTGCTGATGCAAATTTAAATAATTTGTAGACAGGGAAAACAAAACGTAAATCAATATAATTGAGTGTCACAATCGGGCGGTCTCATCACTATATACTGATCTTTTCCAGACGAACTTTGGATGGAGAGGTGAATTTTATTTAAAATAAAATGGAGTTGCTACGAGTAGTTAATATAAAAATAAATATTTAAAAATACACGTAAAACATATACATAAAACTAAATACACATACATATTTAACTTAATAAATATCAATAAATACATACAGATATAAATAATTGAAGCCTGACAAAGAAAATAAATAATAAAAATCTTATCCTTTAGTAGCTACAAAACCAATGAATTAAAATAGATTTCTTTTACAGCCTTTTTTAATGAGTCAGTGTCTGTGAAAATCTTATGTTTACTGGACGAGAGTTCCATAGTCACACAGCTCGAACAGTTAAAGTAGTATCATAAAATTTGGTGCTGTTTGATGGTATTTCCAGTATAAGATTTTCTGATGATCGTCTGAACTCGTACTCATTACAGTACGAGCTAGCATTGCGAAGAAAACTGAAGCGTTCTTTAAGGTAGCAAGTTTATATGAGCATTCCGGCGAAGATGAATAGGTGGCCACTTGAGCCGAGTACGATAGGAAGACAGTCATATTTGTGAAGACCAAATATGAACCTAATATCAAGATAGCAGGCATCGGCATAGTCAAGGACTGGAAGCAACAGAGTTTGCGCAAGCATGACTTTAGTGACAGAGGGTATGAAGTTACGTAGTCTCGTTAAAAAAGCTACAGAAACATACAATTTACGACTTATAATCTGAAGTTGAGTATTATTCTTTACCACTTCATCGAAACAGTTCCAAAAAATGTCACGAGATTCACGTGTGAAGTTGAATCCAGTTAAATTTTCTTTGAACGAGCCAGAATATTTCCGATCGCTGATCACTTCATGTAGAGCCGAATATTCGGTATCCAGACATCCGGCGTTCAGGCCTCGGAGCTTGCTAGTAAGCACATGTGGTGAGGCGGTGGTGTATAATGTATGGGGGTGTAGAGGGGCGTGCACTGACCGGCAGCTTGTCGCAGTACATCTGGTGGAGGGTGGAGGCGGCGCGCGCGGGCGCGTCGGGGCGCGGGTCGCGGCGGGTGAGGTGCGCCAGCGCGAGGGCGGCGGCGCGCTGCAGCGGCTCCGCGGGGTGCTGCACGTCGCGCACCACCAGCTCCCACACCTCCGGCTCGCGGCTCCACTGCTGCGCCAGCGGCAGCGTGTTCCACAACTCCTCCGCTAGTTTCCTGACATATAACAGAGCGAATAGATTCTCCACGTCTATCTATATCTTCGGATCTAAATTAACTCCCGTGTTTCAAGTGCTGTGCGTGTTGCCAGTGATCTGCGGAAGCGAAATGGGTCGCTCCCTTTGGGTCTCATAAGGCACGACGCAACCCAGCGGGCAATGGAGGCAGCGACGTTTGGTACTTCTCTATGTGATCGAATTGCTAGTGAAGAGATTCATAGCGACGGTAGTGACATCGCTTAGCTGAACGACAGCGAGCGGGATACATAGCTAGAACAACCGATGGCCGTTGACATAAGTCCTACAATGGCAACGACGTTCAGTGGATTGACGATCTAACAAAGATAGCGGGAAACTAATGGACGAGGTCTGCGCAGGACCTATCGTCTTGGAAATCTATAGGGGAGGCCTAAACTTAGTAGTGACCGTCATACGGATGGTGACGATGAATCGACCACGTATGTATTTGGCCAGATTGTTCTGGTAAACCTAAAAGTGACAGCGACTTAGGACGTCACGTATCATGAACGACTATTTCAGATCACGTGATTTTGACATAAGACTGCGATACAGAACATGGGATTCTGTTAGTGTTGTATGTGACGGTACCTGGGGAAAAAAACTGGACTGGCTAGGAGGGGTTTCCATTTCAGAACAGGAGACGGAGCATCGTAGCAACAGTCAGCCCGTGACCACGCCCAGTGTAACCCGGTCTAAACGTCGTGAAATATAGGTAGGTAAAAAACCTAACTCTCAATCTATGGCGTTAATACCCGATTCATATAATCTAATATAATGCAACATGAAAGTTTAAAGTTTATTTCGATTATGTATTCTAAGATCATTAACTACCTTTAATCGAACAACCACATCACTAGGCTACTACAAGAAGTTTTGCACCTTCAACAGATAAGCAATATAAAGTGAGAAAATGAATATAAAATATGAATCTGAAAATGATAGAAATAATTCTATTATGACCAAATAGATTTCTCACTTGTTATCTTCTGATACATCAAAGGTGGCGACGAGTAGACGTTCGGTGACTTCTAGTGCGCACTCCGGGTCCTCCAACACACTCGGCAACCCGTCCACTATCCTGAGTAACGCTCGCAACGCCGCGTCCCGTACTACCTGTTATATGTTGATTTCAAGAATAATAATCATATTTATTACATTAATCTTTTATCTATAAATAATAAAAAGAGGAAGGATTTGATTGTTTGTTTGTTTGCTTGCAACGAATAAGCTCCGAAACTAATGGATCGATTTTAAAATACTTTCACCTACGGGAAACGACATCATATGCGGTGAACATAGGCTATATTTTATTCCGAAAAACAGCAAAATGAAAAATGGGAGTGGAAGTATGTATGGGGAATTAAAACGTTATCATAGTAACTTACTATTCAATTTGTCTTTGTAATGATATGAGTTACTGTGTGTCATGAAATGGATCGATATCCAAAAAAACAGTGCCCTAAGCACCACGCGGGCGAAACCGCTGACGGAAAGCTAGTTCAATATTAAAAGGATATTAGGCATCACAATACAATGTGCCTTCCGAACCATGAAGGAAATTTAAATAGTAAAATTTGCTTTACTTCATCATTGTCTAACTCATCATCATCATAAATGCCGTACCTCTAGCGGGTTCTGTAGTCCGGCTAACAGACAGGCGACATCATCTCTGGTGACTCCACCGCGTGACGCGCACGCTGCCGTCTCCAATAACGCCACAGTGCACGCAGTTTGTACGCGACCGCTTGTACTACCTGACATAATAACGGTCGTTACATTATTTGCCTCGAAAGCAATATATATCATCGCGACCTACTTTGGGCGCTTGCACATATTATTATAATTTTTAGTTCAATAAAGTAACTCCATGGTATTAGTTGAGAGTATCATTTTTATTGCATCCTTTTTGACACTTTTTGACATTATCTTATCAATACTACCTGACATCTGACATCATTTACTGGACGAGAGTAACAACTCGTACATCATGGGTGATATCCCAGGTATGATTCTCTTTTAACCTTATTTTTTTCTTATAACCATTGCTTTAAAGATACGTTCTTTAAAGTTATGGTTAATAATACTGCTACTAACAAATAATAACGGTTATAAGAGAAGCATGCTGAGTTTCTAATTGGATGTTCTCAGTACAACGTCTCCCGCCATAGATTTGCCACATTCTCAAATACGATTGTAACAGCCTTTAATAAATAAATGGTATTGATTTCGAATTTAAAGTTGATTAAAGGGGCGTGAATGTTTTCTCATCTTGACTCGTTTGAAATGTCAAACTATTTTGCTATTCAGAGGTGAGACAAATTCAAAAAATTACTTATAAATAGATCAATGGCCGTGATTTTACAACTGTTTTATATATAGAAGATGATGATATTTATGTTTATTGTGAACACACTCACTGATGAGATCGATGAGGAGCCGGAACATGTGGTCGATGGGCATGAGGGCGGGCTGCGGCACGACGGCCGCGTGATGAGCGATCACTTGCAGACCGCTCACCATCGTCACCTCGTCCGCGCGCGTCGACGAACGGGTCAATCCTGAATAATATATCCTATATAGTTTCAGAAATCGTTATAGAACAATTTAAGATCTGAATTTTTAATTTAATTTGTATACTTAATTCCAAAAATGTACTCCACACGCTATCTAAATCTAAAATACAATATTTATAATCCTTCTAAATGGCTGACCCATCTTGAGCAGGGGGAACACGTAGCAGAAGCCAGGTGGGGGGAAGTAGCTCTTCTCCGATGTTTCTTCTTCGTCGGTTCCCTTCAGCGCTACAGTGGCCGCGTGCGTCATGTTGATGCTTCGTATTGTCGCGCCGTCCAGGTCCTCCTCCTCCCAGCTGGGATCCATGTCGCATTGAGGATTGTGTAATCTGTGGAATTAAAGTATTTTTAACATAAGGAGACTAATTATTAAGTAGACAGGGCGGGTGAGGCCAGTAGCGCGGGAGTTAGTGTTATACCTGATAGTGACTCTGGCGACGGTGTCACCGAGCAGCGCGTGCGCGGGCAACAGCGCGGGCCGCAGCGCGAGTATGGCGGGCAGCAGCGCGGGGGCGGCGAGGGGGCTGCGTGTGGCGGCCAGCAGCGCGGGCACCAGCACTCGCGCTCGCGTGCCCAGCGCGCGCGGACTGGCCACCGCGATGGCTGATATCAGATCTGTACCCGCCACCACACGGGCGTTCAACTGCGAAACATACAAAGTTCTAAGGCGAACGTTGCAATTATAGATCTTTGTATCTCAATATTATCATCCATTGGAAAATGTTCATGCAATATTTACAGATTAATATAAGCCTTTTGATGTGGTTCGTCATGAGTTATGGATTTCAAAACTCACGTCATGCTAGTTTATGATTCTCTATTAAGATAGTTCGAGTCATATCTCAGAGATCGACCTCGAATTGGTAAGATTGTTTAATAAAAAAATGTTTAATAAAGCGTGCCCCAAGGTTCACATCTAGGACCCCTATTTTTTTCTTGTCTTTGTCAATGATCTATATACTGACAATTCAGCCCCACGACCTTCTAGCTGTCTGCATAACAGATTGACGTTCAATCACCCTGTCGCTCAATATATGGTCAATACTCACTATTTTATAGAATGCGCACTTTCCTACACATCAACCCCCTCAAAGAAACATTTTCTTATATTTATATGAAAATGGTGAGTATATTATAATGTATAAAATATTAGAGTAAATTAGAGTATAAAATTACCATTTTTGTTAAAAAAAATATGGATTGTTCTTTCTCGCCCTCTAGATATTTAAGACTTTGTACTATCTGATGAAACCAAACTATTATTCTGATAATAAAGATATAGATAAATCTTTATGATGATAGATATATATAGTTCACAAATTATTCAATATTAACAACAATAAAAAAAAAAAAAATAACGCAGCATCTGTACTTACTGCACTTAACCTTTCCCGTATAGCACTCTCTTTGGCCAATTGAGCTTTGATTGCTTCTTTCTGTTTAGATGTTAAAGGAACCTGTGATAGTAAAAACTTATTAGTCTCATTTTATATTATGAAAACTAATAAAATATCTCCATCCTTACGATCTCTAACAATAAAGATCAGAATTACCTCCTTAATTTTTCCTTCTTTCCTCTTCTTATCTTCAAGCTCGCGGCGCAATTGCAACTCTTCAAGTTGCTCTTTGTAACTGTACGCCTTACTTTCTCGTTTCAAGTTCATTTCTTTACTGTCCTCGTTCCTGTTTTCAAAATCAACAGTACAATTATGACACGTTACCGCTGTACTTTGGATCCAATAATGTTACATCTGATACTCATATAAAATCGGCCAAGAACAAGTTGGACTCGCGCACCTAAGGTTTCATACAAATATTAAATGGGGAATAAAACTAAAAATTCTATAGGCCTACGTTGGCCTATCAAGATTAGCGCCATCAGGCGCATAACACTCACTGAGTCACACTCAGTGAGATGGACACCTAGTGCGTTATATTTGAAACCTTATACTTATAGAAATAAGAGTCATCATAAATTTTAATAGTAGATTCAGTATAATCATTGATTCACCATGCATACATTTCAGGCCACAAACTTTCGAAGATGTGGGGAGTGAGCAGGTAGGGGGGGAGGAGAGAGTACTGACCCGGGCACAGCACTCTTGTCGTAGAGTTCCCCGGGGGGCGTGAGATAGGTGAAGTACTCGTCGCGCGTGACGCGCAGCAGCGCGGGCTCGAGCAGCGCGTCCAGCGCCACCTGCAGCGCCGCGCCCGCTATCGCCTCCGAGTTCCACTCTACTAGCGTCCGCACCACGTTCCACGACGTCTACACATACATTACGTTACGGTGAACTTATTTTTTGCAAACCTATCGAGAATGGGCCAGACTCGGATAATGGAAAGTATACATAGATTTAGATTTTCCTCAGGTTATCCTAATTTCTGAGAGCTATCGATAAATTTTAAGCCTTGTAATTTCGAAGATCAAAGAGGGAAATTATCTATTCCACATTTTCTGAAATAATTTCAAAACTATTTTCAAATTAATATCTGAAAAGAGGCCGCCATTTTTAATACATTTATAAGTTACACGATTGCAAATGTGTATCTACTAAACATTTCAAATGGTCAATTAGTTTCAGACCAAATTGGCTATGACAGACGCACAGACTGAGAACCGTGTGATCCTATGTAAGGATTTCGTTAGTAGTTTAATACTAGCGATGTCGCTTATAAGTGAAGTATTATAGTCACCTGGTTGGGTGTGTAGGGTATGATGTAAGTGTCCTTGAGTGTGGCAGCGTACAGTCCCACTAGTTTGTGTGGGTCCTGTCGTAGTCGCGAACATTGCCGTTGCCAGGCGCGACGCTGTATGGCCGCCACTAGTGGATGGTGGCAGCAAGGCAATGCCGCTAGTGCCAAGTTCTGAGCATCCAGTGTGGGATACTCTGCTCGATATTAAACATTGCTCGTTATGTCATTGTTATGCTTATGGAAAAATTATAAATTTACGTATCGCTCTTAGATTTATCATGTCGGGTAATGTTTTAAGTAGTATCCTCAGTTTAAGGAGCAAAAACTGATTAGTAAATAAGCATATATTAGATATATCCCTTTTAATCTAAAAGAGTTAAAGTACTATTTTTACTACAACTTTAATACTTTATTAATTAAAAGACATCATCATATACAACAAATATTGAGCTTTTTTAACATATATGATGAAAATTTTAATCTGCCCTTACCTTTAAATGAGCATAAAGCTTGAATACAATCTAGTATCATTTTCCCGGTGACATCTGACGTTTTCTCTTCTGGAGGAGTTTTTTCTTTGGATGTGAATATTTTTCCTTCTTCTAAGACTTCATTTAATTTAGTGACTAAACATTTTGCCAGTTCGGCTCTTTCTTCATTAGCTAATAATGATTTGACTTCTTCTAATGCCGCGTCGCGGACGGCTTTGATCGGCGACAGAAGGACTAGTATAAATGCCTTATATATAGGAGAATCCTGTTCGCTGGCAACACATGGGTAGTTTTCCAACAATGTTCTGCATAGCAACACCACCTGTATTAGGACTATAAAGGGGTAAATGTTATAGTGCAACTCGGCAGTTTACATCAAACAATAACTATTCATTCAACATCGAAATCTAAACAAAAAGACAATATTATTCATTCAACATCGAAACTAAGTGAACATAAGAGGATCTAAGAAAATATACCAAGTTTATATTCATTACCAAAATTATAAAATTGTGAGCAAGGAGCTATTAGAATAGGTTTCATTCGATTTATGATCATGATGGTGTCAATTCTGTTTAACTCTCATAACTTAAACTAATAAATCTAACTTTAATATGAGTTTGTTTTATAATCACATAAAAAAGTGTAATTATATTTATTTGATTTATTATAGTCATATAGTAATCAAAGAAATAAAATTACACTTTTTTTTTTACTTTGAAAACACAGGACGAAATCTAAATAAATCTGAGTTTGAGTAACCGAATTGCTACCATTATGAACTCAAACAAAACATATACAGATTTATGTATTACACATTCATAATTAAAACAAGCAATCTTAGCATAATTTAGGCTTAATTCAACTAACATGGTCCTTAAAGTATCCTTGATTTTTGTTTCAAAAAACGACAATGAAATCATCAATTACAATCTTACATAATACTTATTGTAGATCTCGATGACGCTATGGTTAGAACATATGACCTGTAATTATGCTATGGTTAAAATTGTATGAACGTATGACCTGACCTGCAGAGGTTAAGAAAAATTCGCAAAAAATATCTCGCACAGGCTGTGCTTTGCACGACTACATATTGGTTTTAATAAGTAGTAAAAGGTAGAGATCAGTACTAATGCGATGCCAAGAATTGTCACTGTATACACACACGCATGATACGATATACGCCAATAATACGATGTTACTCGGTCGAGGTAACTTAGCATCTTGAGTCCACGACTGTATGTGGCCGCATGTGAAGAGTTATTTTGTCCTAGATAATAACTAGAGAAACAAGCTCATACAAAAAATTCGAAGTTTTTTCTAAATCAGAACGTAGCAAGTAAATTTTTCTTATGATTTTGTATGTTTGTCTTCCTTATATCTTCGTGAATACGTCAAATTAAGCAAAGATACAATATATGCGAATGACCAATTGAACGAAAAAATGGGTATTTGATACTGTATTGCCAGCTATATAAAATCAATTAGTAAAATACTGTAACTTTGAATATTTATTTGATATACCTACGTATGCGAACGAAATCGAGAAAATAATAGTTTGTTGTCTTTTCGCCGATTTTATTATTCATATATATTACTTAGAAATGAAACCACTTAAAAATAAGGGTGCATAAAATTAGTTGCCAATACAAATTTCACAATAAGGGATGATGAAAAATTAAATGTATGTGGTCAAAAAGTTTAAAGATTATTCGCTGAATATTTTTTCCCAAAACCAATTATTAATATTTTTAAATCAATAAACAAAAAATAATTTTTCCCCTATTTGTAGTATGTGTCTCACGTCAAATGTAACACCAATCAAAGCGCGAATAGAGACGATGACTAAGAATATTAAACTCGTTTTTTTAGTATTTGCTTAATTAATTAATTATAGCGATATATTCTAATATATTTATAGCGGTAAGTGTTTTAATTTTATCGCAATGCATGTAAATGCATCAAAAGTTTGAAACTAATATTAATTACCAACTAACTTAATTTTTTACTTATAAAATATTGAAGCAGTTATCCTCCATTGATTAAGGTGAATCTATGCACAATTTAGATGATGGATGTGGTGCATAAATAGCTAATCTCATATATAGAGACCTCAAAATGTGACCTGATATTATATCAATCACAAGAATATACAAACAAATATCAATTTATTATTCAATTTCATGATGTGAACATCAAATGGTTTGCTACGTTTAAAAAATTAAAATACTTAATTCTAAATCCAATACGGCAGACCACCAATGATGGTGGACTATTACTCTCCCATATAGTGGATTATCATATGAAAATTGAAATTGAGTGAAAAAAATCAGAGAGAAAACTTTCTTTTCATTATAATAATGCCGGCTTGTGAACAAAGATGTAAAAAAATTACATAACATGCTAATTTTGTTAGAACATTTACCTCTTAAAGAAAATTTATAAGTATTATATTGATTATTATTTTATTATAAATATTAATATAACATTGTGAATGCAAACATAATATTCGATAGGATATGTATTTTTTTATATTCTCTATTAATAAAACTCAACAAGTTACCTTTGAAATTCAACTTCATTAAATTCATAGTTATAATCTAAACTATTCCTCTGTAGCCGAGGGGTTCGCATTCCGTTGTCTCAGAATATACTAACTACATCATACATAATTATAATTCTTCTTAGAATCCGAACTTGTCTAATAATTACAGTATAATTTATATAAATGAGAAATTTTACTTAGAAATGCTTTTAGAATTTTTATTCCATGCAAATGTTATTATCTGTATTTAATTGTTTCACTTATTGGCCTGTTTATTTCGACTTATTTAAAAATAAAAAACTTATAAAGTCGGGAAAATTGAAAGCAGTGGCAACACTGAAGACAAATTATCAAAATTTTGTTTGTGTTATTTAAATATTTTTATTAAAAGTAATAAATAATAATTTATTGTGTCAGAGTGTCGTGACTTTATAGCAACGCCATGACAGAAATGGCATTTTCGTGGATAATGGAAAAATATTTTTTTTCGATTTTAACTTATTACATGAATTATATATTTTTTAAATATATTTTTTTAGATATATTTCATGTACATCTATAAAATAAAGATATAAAAAAGTTGTCTACACCGCTATTGTTAGTTAGTAAGTAGATAAAATTGAATAAAATATATTTTGATCACTGCATGGTTAGATCAAATGCAACTTTGGATGCCTATATAATAATAATAATTACACTTCTGCGCTACACAAAGATGGCTTCCTCGGCTAGTTAAGGCGGGATGGGTGATAAGTACAGTTGTAACTCACCGTCGTCTGGCGCGGCCGCGAGCGTGCGTTCGTGTAGTATGGAGGGGCGGGTGGGGTGAGTGAGCGCTGCCCACGCCCCCGTGGTGGGCAGCGCGCGCTCAGTGTCCAGCGCTACTAGGCCCAGCATTGCACTGATGCCCTCGCTCACGACCAACGGCTATCACAATCAATTATTCAATATTATTCAATTTGGTCGATCTTAATGTCTGCATTTTGCCAGTTTATATAACTCGAATTTTCTATTGGATGTTACAGTATTATATAGTACAACAGTACTTAGATATAAATATACAATAACACACGATGTTGCATACAATGGCTGCATGAGATGAATCCTTTGGTATTTGATAAAAAAAATAAGATTGAATTTAGAAAAATAATATTTATAAAATTTTTATTTAGACTAAAGTTTATATGTATATTTACAGCGTGACAGGATGAGTATTAGCATGGGGTAATATAGCGACTCACTTGCAGCGGTTGCTGCACCGCCTTGTCGACGGCTTTAGCGAGTAGCGGGCGCAGGGCCGCGGCGTGCTCGGGGGCCGCGCCGCCCGCGTGCAGCCCCAACGCCACCAGCGACGTGTATGCGATCCGGACCAATTGCGTCGTACTTTTCGCCGACAGATTTTTCTAAAGGAAACGATGAAATATTTTAGTTAACAACTAAAAAGGCGCGGCCGGGCCAGTGCCGCAGTGTTTCGTGCGCGGCGCAGCGTCCGCGCACAGTGTGTATATGTGTCCCGCTCGCTCACCTGGTACACGTGCAGGAGGGCGGCGGGGAGCGGGGCTCGGGGCGCAGCGGCCCACTGGCGCAGTGTGTCGAGCGCGGCGCACAGTGTCCGCTCGTGCGACTCTGTGTCGAGCACGCGCGTTATCTGCTTCACCGCCTCCTCCAACAGCTGCGGTCGCTCCGCGGCGGACACGGCCGACTCACTAAGCGCACTCACACCCTGAGAACGAAAATTTCGTTTTCGTAGGAAAATACACAAACGATCTAGACCCTCGTCCCTATACTGTTTCAGTCGTAAGTTTCAACGTTTACGGCTTTTCTTATAAAATTGAACTTTCTGAAGCATTTAGTTATATATATTTTTAGAAAATGCTACTCAAGATTTATGAGACATACTTCAAAATAGGCATCACTTGATTTTATGAATTTTCAGCATTGTTTCTGGTGTCAATGTCAATTAATAATAGTATCATGATATAATGTTCCCATTTATTTGAGTCATACACCATAGATATCATAACAGTGATTTTATTGGGCCGCAATAGAAAAAAAAAACTCACGTTCAAAACGGCGATCTTGTCCTCACTGGATGTTAGTTTCCCACTGGCGCCGTTGTACTCCGCGAAGGCGTGCGTGAGCAGCGCGCGCGCAATCTTTAAGTCATTACATCGACGAGCCAATCGTCGGAGAGCTATCAACGCCTCACCGCGGACCCACTCGTCCTTGGAATGTAAGTTCACTGAAAACCACATCACCTTAGAACATTACATGTACCAACATTTCATATCACAGATTCGAAAAGATGGAATTTCTGCTAGTGATATCGTCTTTCTCCTGCATATAACTGTTAAAATATTAACATTATTAATGTTATAACATTATTTTAATATTTAACAGCATCCATGTCACATCAGTATCAATTTGTGGTATGTTATATAAAAATAATATAGTATTAGCGAATATTTCCATAATAAAACTCTATGTTTGTATTACTTTGTTACAAAATACGTATATGTTAAGCTTAAAGATCGAAATCGCTCATTGAGCTAAATAATCGTTCACAGCGCATTCTGGTCACAGTAATATATCCACATAGCGAAATTCGTGTCACGGTTCTTATATTCAGGACAGGTTGTGGCATTCACAGAATATCAACACAGCGAAATCCGTGTCGTGGCTGTCGTGCTATTCGACCACAACGTGTTGAGACAATGAAGCGTATTAAAAGCACATTACCACACCATGAAGAATTTTATTTTTTGTTTCAAAAGTGCTTGAAACAAGCTTACTTGAATAGACAATTTAATTTCATTTTAGCGGCTTTTCTTCATTGCCACAATGGGTTGAGGTCGAATAGCTTATCAGCCAGGACACGGATTTGGCTATGGGGTTATTCTGCATTTGTCATAACGCGTTATGAACTATTTTATTTAATATATAAGTGCTCCATGCAATTATATAAAGGATATGATTGGTGAGAGATGATTCTGCCGTTACTCATTTATATAAAATAAATTATACATAGACAAGTAATATAGGTATTTTTAACAACATTTGGCAACGTGGTCAGCCTGTTGCCTACCCCTGCATAGGAGGATGATGTGATGACGATAATTCTAGAATATTCACCGATAAGCCCCTTTCCAATCTCTAATGCTGGAGCGGCGAGGGGCAGGCGCAGGGCTGCCAGCACCTCGCCAACGGCCTGCGCGGCAGTTTCAGGGCTACGTAGCATTGCTTTTTGTAGTGCCGGCAACAGTGTTTCACACACCTTTAAAAATCATGAAGTTTTAAACTTCCTATAAAGCAGCATGTATTCAAAGTAGTGACTCTTTAAACTTAACTAGATTTAAAAATAATCATTTAATTTATATGTATATGTGATCTACCTTTACATATAAAATCAATTGCTGTGCGATTGTCTTGCTAAAGCTCAAGGACGAGGCTCATTTAGATGATTTTGGGTTTGAAATGTTTGTTGTCCAGGGAAGGTTAAAACAATGAAATTAAGTATCAGTAAACTCTAACAATATAATAAATACCTCTTTTTCATCAAGCATATGTAGCAGTTCAGCGCATCCACGGATGTAGTTTGCATTCGGACGAGTTTTGACATTGATCAAGCTCTTCGTGAAACTTTCCAACATTTTTTGCTGCAAAAGAGAAACATTAATGAAACTGTTTGTAATATCAGTGACAGGACTGTTAACATTTCCAACAATTTTATTTCAGACTAGCTACTTCATGTGTATGATCCCTAATACCTTGTTGTTGCACATTAGACAGCTTTCCTCTATTGTACCTTGTGTGAAGTAAGTATGTTCTGCACGTCTTGCTGGGTACAGTGGCGGCACAGTGCGGAGAGCGCCACGCATACGTTCACGCTCGTATCTGCTGGCTGCGATACGAGTACATCCACCCACTTCTGGAGACCTTCCACCCCAATTGTACTCCATGATGTGTGAAGCTTAAAAAAGTTTATTTTGTTTAAAACAGATAATTCCAATAACTTAACTGCTTCAAGTAATGGGCATGTTTTAGTTCAATTACTGAGCAACCGGAACTGTCTGCCACTATTTGCCAAGAATTAAGATTGGCTTATCTTAAAAATGTAACCATGCATGTAATTTGCAAAATAATCAGATTCCAGATAATTTACAAAAATATTTAAGTGGTTTATTCATCAACAATTTTCACATTAATTATTATTATTAAAGACAGGCAACAGTTGCAACAATTGTATTCAGATATCTTTTGTTTCATATATTTATATTTTTTATTATATGTTCCTCACCACTGTATAAGCTTTCTCATTCTTCTTTTGGTCACCATAGGCAATAACAGTTGCTAGCAAGTTAGCCTGAGTAAGTACTAGAAGATTGTAGTCAACTCCATCTTCCATGATGTTCTTAACTGCACTTTCAGCCACCACAGTTGACCATCGGAGCACATACAACCCACTCTGGCATATGCTTTTTCTGTGAGAAATGGAGTTAATGTGTTGTGTGTTGAATTTATAAAGTTCCTTTATAAGCAGATAAATCAATGAGACTTTACTATGGGTACCATTTTATCTTTTATAATAAGTTTTTGTTACTTACGATGTAGCTGTATTCCTTAACTGCTCAGAGATGTCAAATAATACAGGTACTATATTTTTTAGAGTCCATTCACAGTGGTGGTAAGCCAGATATGCCAGTAGGCCTTTTATATAGGACTGCGATGTTGCATCATTGTATCGGTGGACTGTTGATACCACTACACGACACACATAGCGCACTACAGCTTCTGTGATACCTGATGATGAGTATTAATTACAATTATAAGACTAATCAGTTTGGTTTATGTGTGAAAATCATATAAATTATAGGCAAAAATTATAAAAAAACAATCTATGTTAGTTAAAATCCTTTAAAATTGTAAATTAAGTAAGAAATATATACATCTTATCCATATTTTGTATATTTCATATTTTACTATAATTTACTAAAAAAGACTAGGCTTTTTATGACTGTTAAGTTACAAATATTGCACAATTAACAGATATTAATTTTAATTACAATGTATAGAGAAAACACAAAAGCATTGACAGCATGCTATATGCACATCTCTGTTTAGCATTCGGACGATCGTTACAGGTAGTGCTCCTATCAAAACAAATCTGGGATGGATCAATAAAGCTAGACCAACACACCCTTTGCCTAGGGTTATAGTATATCACCTTTGATGCAATAGGTTAAATTTTAAGCACAACTTGGTGACATATAAAATTATGCTTGATTTATCTACCTTCTTTTGATAAAACATCCTGAATTTCTTCAATAACTGCACGTCTTTCTTTTAAACTTGCGGTCTGTATTTTGAATGGTATATCTTTCAATTTCTTAAGAACCTGAAAAGAAATTGAGAACAATTGTACTGACCGGCAAAAGACGATTCTAATTGGTGTAATTATTTATGAAAAATACCTCGGAATCTGCCATTTTTCAGTCATTCAGGATATTTTTCCCGAAAGCACACGTCTCTTAGAAAAGAGAAAACAGACTAAAAAGGAACTATGACAGTTAGGTGACGATAAACTGTCAAACCAAGAAGTTCTTGCGCACAGACCACGGCGCAGACCAAGAAGGAGGACCATGTTCTTGTGTCATCTTATGTCACACTCTTCCTTAGGTTTCTCCCTTAGGTTAAAAAAATATATAAAAAATATCGATATAAAATAGTATTGGTTTACCTTAATTTTATTTATATAAATTAGTGCCAGTCATCTGTAGTAGCTATTGAATTTGGATACCACAGCTTCGAAAGCTTACTTCCGAGAAACCTCTTCATACTTCGTGTGACGGTGACTCCTGTTTTGAGAAAGGGCGTTTAGAAGACAGATTAATGTCAATAATGGGAATATATTTCCTTGCCACTTTTAAAAGATCCTTACATTGGGATATCCGGACAGTATTCTCATTCACAAATGCCATTAATAGCTTAAGTGAGTATCAGCGCTTGGATATTAAAGTCAACTATACTTACATTTTCACATTGGATTTCATTTAATATTAGGATTCGATATGTTCGTTAGTATTTTTAGATATCGGTATCGTGATTGTTGGATATCGATATATATCGGTATTTGCGATATACCGCATCCCTACCTTATATGCTCTTTGATCGATTACATTATTTGCTCTGGGACAGTTAGTTGTTGTCAGTTGTCGTTGATGGAAGTGTTGTGTTTGGTTTCTCTGACTTTTTTTATCGTGTAATAGCTTTTCACGTGAAATTGGCAAAATTGTGCGAAACGCGCAGATAAGCCATTAATTAAAGAAGAAGAAGTTACGTTTTGCCATGGAGTCTAGAGAAAAGGAGTTGAAAAATGTTCAAACATTTATAGGAAAAATTGATACAGAAGTGACTATGATTCTTCAACAGTTGCAATGGGATAGGTCGTCTTTGTTAGAGGTTATTTGATATTTATGAACAAAAAATAAATGTGTTTGACTAATATGTATCAATTTAAGAGATTGCATTTGCAGTAATACCATTAGAGCATAAGCTTCACCAGTTTACCAAATCTATCTTAGATAATAATAAACCTATCATTACAGAAACCTTCGATGGTGACTTGTAAATACAACTCCAATCACAGAATTCCTGCAGAGAAGAGGGATATACATGAAACTGAATGTTACTTTAGAACTAATGGTTACTCAAACGAAGATGTATTGCTACCCGATCCAGTAGACTCCAATGCTGGAATATTAATAAAATTAGGTATTTATAGTTTGAAGGCAGTAATACTGAATGTTAGTTTCATTATTTATCAAATTTGAATGAATTATATTTTTTTTTTCAGATAAAAATGATATCAAATCACTCATTGATCAGGCTGCCAAAGCTGACCCTACATTCAAAAGAGGTAATTCAAAACTGAATGAGAAAAGCTGTCCACAATTTGAAATGTTTCCATTTATTTGGCTTCATTTAATGAGACACATTCCTACATGGTATCCTTTACAATACCTCCTTAATTCACTGCTGAATTAATGTTTTGTGTTTTGATATATATGTATATAATTAATATTTAGCTGTTATAGCTTCCTATGAAGTTTAAACCAGGTTTAAACTATTAGCTAACCAAAATGAGTCACTTGTCCATCTGCATATCAGAATAGTTGTGCATTTTGGCTGCAATGCGATACTTAATGCGCCTATGTTTCTTCTTACATAGTTCTGCCAAAATTTCTAATCGGGACATCTTCTGGACATTCATCTTCATTTTCACTAAAACAATAAAAAATGTAAATAAAGAGATTTAATAACACTTAAAAACGGGATTAATTAAAAAATAATAATAATTCTCTTCTATCACTGTCTGCTTTGGGTGGCCAATGGTTTAAACTATGTACTATCTGTAATTCTTGTTATAAATTGAGACAATTTGTTTATAAAATTATCAGAAGTGCATAATAATTTAATCTTGAGTTACAATATTTTACAATTGAACAAGACAGACTAGTCTATTACAACATTTTTGTTGTCGTACATTTAAAATATATTTTATTTGCTATGTTTGGGTCATATAATTAACTTACAATGAGTTTATTATGCTGTCAACCCCCATAAACTGTCATTTCATCTGCAGTAAGAAACAAAAGGTAATCGAGATATTAAATTAGAGTAGTTATATACTGTATTATTACATATGTATAGTTAGATTTTATATGTCAAATTTCCTTAACAAAGGTACAGGAAGTGACAATGCAGAGCCTATGTCGCTGGAGCGCCTGCAAGCCACTTACACTGCAGATGAGCGACGTGTCATACATGATGCTGTGGTCAAAGCGGCGCCATCTTGTCATGATCTCACAGACTTAGCATTGCTATGGTAAATTTAAAAATACTTTTTTTGGATATATCAGTACATCAAGGAAGAAAGGTAGATACCTAAAAGCAACCTTACAGGTGATGTACAAAAATTTATTGAAGATGGTTTGGATACAAACAATGTTTTAAAGACTTGTTTTTATGTAAATATAATTAATTGATAGAGCTTGAAATTTTTAAAATAAAACAGCATTATTAGGTTGTTTTTACTTATAATAAATAAAACATGTGACATGTGATGCTGTCCACTGAATGTCTATTCATAATAAATGTAAAAGGAATTAACTTTTGAATTTTTAAGTAATTTAATTTAATTAGTGAAATATCGGAACTTCAGGGAAGAAAGGTCATAAACACTATCATAATAATATTAATAATAAAATAAATCACATTTACAATAAAACAAGGCTTTTAAACATTGTATCCTGACCACTTTCAATAAATTTCTGTACATCACCTGTTAAGTTGCTCTTAGGTATTTACCTTTCTTCCTTAACGCACTGATATGTCCACTTTTAAACTAATCCTTGTTTGAGTATTATTAAGTTTCTGGGTATTATACTTTTATTGTTTCAGTGATAATGAAGATGAACAAAAGAATGCAAAACAGAAGTCCCGGTTAGAAATTTTGGCGGAACTGCGTGACATGAAGCGCAGGCGCACTAAGTATCGCGTCGCAGCCAAAACGCGTAACTATTCTGATTTGCTGAGGGACGTCATCAAAACACAGGTATGTCTAAAAAAGCACCACATTACCAATCTCAGTTTATGTCTCTCAACCCATATAGAGTTGTGTTACTTTCATTGTCTGAGATGTCAATACAAGTGCTATAGCTACATAATTTGATCAGATGAATGTATGTGAAGCTGTCTTGTAGTTTTAATAGATATTATAATTATTTTATATTAATAAATGAAAAAAAATTATTAACTCTCAACTTTACTGGATTTTTCTAAAATAAAATTAAACGATTCTATTGCAGATGGAAGTTTATTCTTCAACAAAAGAAGAACAAACAAAACAGAAGCAGCAGGAACAAGATAAAGATGACAAAAGACGATATGATAATGAGAAATTTCAAACTTATAACAATGCTGTTGATAGTGGTGACAATCATAATAGAGAAAAATATAAATTAAAAGATAGAATTAAAGATAATGTGAAACACGGGCATTATAGATATGACAGTGACAAAACCAGGAGGGATACATATGACAATAGTCACAAAGTCAACAGTAGTATAACTGAAGATGAAGGTAATAAGAGACGAAAAAGGAAGAGATCAAGAGATAGGTCTCATAAAGAAAGTAAGAATGAAAAAGATTGTAAGTATGAGTATGCTGCGAGTAATTATCAGAAAGAAAAGGACAGATATAAAAGAAATAGATATAGCGAGTCTCAAAGGAGGCCAAAAGAAGACTATAGAGGTGATAAATACACTAGTAATTATTATGATAAAGCTCACAGTAGCAGAAGCAATTATAATAAAGATACAAAAGATAAGATAGTTCAAACAAAATATAAATCTAAGGATGCAACATCCCCTGTTAATAATACTTATAAATATGAAGATTCACATCAAATATGTGTTAAACAGGAGCCTGATACAGATTCCGATAATAGCCAAAGAAATAGTTATAATTATGATGAAAGTAAATTTAGAGTTGAAAAGTCACATTTTAAAAATAAGTCAGATAAATATAATCGCGACCGTTATACCAGGCGTAAAACACCAAAGAGGGAAGATTGTCCTCGATACCGCCGATATTATGATTAATAGTGAGTAGATTTTCACATTTCAAGAAGAATTCTTACGATACCATATAATGTGTACCTAAATTAAATCCAATTGGCAACAAATGTATATATTGTATGTATGTTTTGTATTAATTATCTTTATGTAAAATAAAGAATATTTGAATTCAATAATTTGTTTCATATTTTCAACGACGTTGGCTGCTAATATAATAATAATAATAAGTCCCAACTTCTCTTCACGACCATCTGAAGAGGTTGGGACTCCGTGACGGACCAATGATTGCGAGGCTCCAGCGGGCGATCTTGCTCGATAACGCAAGGATCGTCCGCCGTTTTCTCTCTTTGTCGCCCTGACCCCCGGCCGTCTGGCTTCCTCTGCCGGGGGGAATCCTCCCACCCCTCGAATCGTCGAGGGGTCGGGAAGAGTAAATTATGGATACGGGAATAATAATAATATAAATTAACGACTTTTTTCTAAATCTTATAAATGAGCGAATTCACATATAATTTGTAACCAACACTAACATACATTTTGTTAATAATCTAGTTTAGAGTCATTGCAACCAACATAAGGTATCTGTAACTTGCTGTAAATTCGATTTCTACACCCATATGATTATGGATCGTTATATTATAATTATTCCTTCGTTAAAGTATATTAAGTTACAATTCGAGTAGCCCATTGCATATGCTTAGGGTTCTGTAGTCAACAAGGAGAAGTCATAGTTTAAATCGACATAGGGACATAGCCATTATGGGTTTTAAATTTTTACAGATATCAATTTAGGAAATATTTAAGCTTTAATTTGTTAATTGTCCTCTCCTTAGATTATAAAATACTTATAAGTTACAAGTACTTATCCTCGTCATCAGCCCTATTACGTCCCTACTACAGGGGATTAGGCCTTCCTTATGGTTGGTTAAGGAGGATGAACCGTGACCCCCACGCTGGCCTAATGCGGATTGGAGTGCTTTAACGACAGCATATGCAGTCGGGCCCAACTGCTTAATGTGCCTTCCGATGCACGGAGTGGCACGAGACAGTATTTTTTTGGTCTCCATCTCGTGATCGACCTATGCGATAGTTGCTTAACAGCATTATATGAGACTGAATTTTGTGTAGGTTGTTAAATATACAATTGACGATGCGGTAAAGATAAATATAAAGGCATCTAATCTTCTTGGACTATTGTTATATTTTTAAAGTTTTTGAAGCCGTTAGTATTTAAAAAATAATGTATCTAGATAAAACAAAATAATGCGATCTTTTGTTTTATTGGATGACCTAACATGTATTTAAATTATTTATGTATTATGGTAGTGTGACCAGATTGTATTGTCTTAATATTCTATTCCCTTTACGATTTAGAAGTCTATACTATGTGCACGTCCAACAATCTTATACTGATACGGACTTTGCCATATTTTCATAATTAAGTCATTATGCAAGAAAATTGGATTGTAATTAATTGTGATTTGCATAATAATGCAAAATGATCATAATTACCTAGTTCAACAATTGAAATAGGTACAACTGCAACATGATTGTTTTATTGTGTGCATATAATAGATATCAATCTTTTTTGGGTTCTTTAAATATTTGTCAAGAAAATACATAAGTCTATTTTCTACAACTTATTATTTTATTTGGAGTTCAGAGAATACCTATTTAAAGGCAATAAGTTCCTTTTAAATATTGTCCGTATAGAAGCCCCTTTATAATTACAGTAGGGGTACATTCACAAATTAACAATTAATGATAAGTATTGTTTTTGGGTAAATGAGGTAAAGATATATTTATACGTATGTATGTAAAAGTAATAACATGTAACGCTCTAATAAATATACAACCGCGTTACTTGAGTATCGAACAAAACCTGTTCTGAAGTTACAATTATTGTTCTATTGCACTCCTTACTCAAATGTTAAATCAGGGTTTGATGGAGTGTTAGTTTTTTTAAATCATTCATGATGTGAACAAACGTGAAAATTGTTTATAATTATGTGCGTGAACTGGTTTGATGCGCGCTCGTCGCTGCGATGCGCACGCGCAATGAGGCTGTGACGGATGAGGACCGCTGCGTTGTTGTGCCGCGCTTTCTTCGTAATATGTTTAAGTAAAGTGCTAAAACTAGATCTCGTTTTAATTATATATTAATTATAGTTTTAATTATAGTATACTAAATATGATATGTGGATAGGGAGGTTTCTAGGAAAATGTTTATATTAGAATAGAAGACAGTCTTAATTCTGATTTCGCTTAGACAAATAAAAGTAAAGGACTGGCCTTAGTTTTCCACCTAGCACGCACACGCATATTATGATATTAAATGGATTCTTGGTCTGGGCAGTTATACTCGATTCGATAGTAGGCTGCCGCTGTCCTCCATACGCCTAAAGGCTGTACTTCTTTATCTATGAGGCCTTCAACCCGAATTTACGATTTGAACAAAGGAATTTGCAGCCATTTGGAGGTCCCTTAAGACCAGAGACCCGGGGCGGACGGCTCCCTCACCTACCCTCCTTCTGTGGAGATCAGGGGCGCGACCGCCTAACTCATAGACGTAGCCATAGTCGTAAAATGTTTGATAAAATTAAAAGAATATAAACAGATTCATGAGAAATAACGATAAAGCGTAGTCTATAGCTACGACTACGGCTACGTCCATGAGTTAGGTGGTCGCGCCCCTGTAGTCTGCCTCGTAGTGGGCGTTGTACTTCTGAGATGATACAAAAGATTTAGTAGAAAAAGATGTTTGTAACACCAAAATAAGTCACTTAAAATTCTGAAAGTAAAGTTTCCATGGTGTTATTTTTAATGCAACCCAAGTTTTAATAGTATGTGATTATTTATGTAAATTAGGTATGTGCGAACACATTCGATAATGATCGGTTTTTCCGTCGGAATCGTAATGAAAGCGTCCGGCAGACTGTCTGTCTGTTTGATGGGTGGTTTCTAATGTAGTCGTTACATACAACTACACATAATGCCGGTTCGTTTATGCTTAAGTAATTCCTCATATTCAATCAACTTTACTTATTTTCAGTGCTTACGGATACGATAGAACAAATTGCTTCTTTATTTCGTCACTAGCCGAACTTTGTATTACCTCAACATTAGATGACTTCATCAACTTCATTATAGATAATTAATTTCTGGGTAGGGTGGGCGACATCATGTTTTAAATCTATTTATTTTCGGCGGTAAATTATATTTATCACGTATTATGAAGGATTTCGAATATATATTTTTTATGGTTTTGAGAATAAATAGTTAACATTGTTTATTGATAAAAAACAAAATTAAAGAAACGGCTGTTGATGTCGGGTCACTTTCATATATAATTAATAACCTACAGAAAATCTCCGCCGGACTTTAATAGCAGTTCTTTGAATAAGTCGCTTTTAAAATAAATATTCTTTCTCTTTTTTTTAAGTTTGAAGTCGGTTTTATTAAAAAAAAACATGCTTTTTAGTGATAGATATTGATATTTTTGACAGGTAACACTAAAAATATTAATTATCTATGTACGAGGGTCAAACTGAAAGTTCTTAGAACTGGCCACTTATAAACAATATAATAAAAAAATAATTCTAAAATTTGAAAATATAACTCTTTGCCAATATTACTGAGTATATATTTCATTAATTTGTCATTTGTTTTACGATTTGGCGGCAAATTGAAAATTGTCTGTGTCACGTCATCATGAATTTAACACGAGAAAATTTTCGTGCAATGATTTTTTATGACTTTCGATGTCATTTAAGTCAACAAGAAAGTTATGATAGACTACGATTGGCCTTTCACGATGAAGCCCTATCTCGTGCGACTGTTTACAACTGGTTTAATGAGTTTAAACGTGGTCGCACTAATCTCACTGATGATTTACGTGAGGGACGGCCTTCTACGGCGACGACTGAAGATAACATCTGTGTTGTGCGGCGTATGATAGAGACTGACAAAAGAGTGACCTATCAACAGATTCGGACAAGCTTAGGCATCGGTATGAGTCAAGTGCACAAAATCCTCCACGAACATTTAGCGGTCAGGAAGCTTTGCGCCCGGTGGATACCTCATAATTTGACTGAGGCTCAAAAACTCCATCGTGTGGATTGGTGTCGTAAAATGATTGAAAGATTTAACGGAGGTGACTCAAATGCTGTGTTCGACATACTAACAGGTGACGAAAGCTGGATTTACTGTTATGATCCTAAAACCAAAAGACAATCTGCTCAGTGGGTGTTTCCTTTCGAGGAGTTGCCAACTAAAGTGAAGAGAGATCGAAGTGCGGGAAAAAAAATGGTGGCCTCGTTCTTTGGAAGGATAGGTCATTTTGCAACAATTGTGTTAGAGGATCAAAAAACAGTTTCTGCAGAATGGTACACTACCAATTGTTTGCCACTTGTCTTGGAAAAAGTTCGAGAGAAACGACCTCGCAGTAGGATCCTCCTTCACCACGACAACGCCTCGTCGCACACCGCCAAGCGAACGATCGACTATTTGGCGACATCAAACGTTGAATTACTGGGTCACCCGCCGTATAGCCCCGACATCGCGCCTTGTGATTTTTATTTATTTCCAAAAATTAAAGAAAAACTTAAAGGAAAGCGGTTTATGAATGCTGAAGAAGCGGTGGCTGCGTATCGCGATGCCATTGAAGAGACCCCTAAGGACGAGTGGGCAAAGTGCTTTTCCCAGTGGTTCCATCGCATGCAGCGGTGTATTGACGTGAATGGACAATATTTTGAAAAGATATAATAAAACTAATAACTGGCTAATGTAATCAGTTTTTGATTTTCTAAGAACTTTCAGTTTGACCCTCGTATAACAAACATGTCAACATAATAAAAGTCTTACAGTCAATTGCACAAACGTTCATTAAGGTTGAATGGCGTCTTTAAGCTCTAACGGATGTCAAATTTGTATGGATAATGTCGCTTTATACTAATGACAATTTTAATAAACGTTTATGCAATTGGCTGTTAGGATAGGAGATTTTGTTTAATTGTTTGACATAATTTTTTCAATGCGTAAATATATACTCATTTTATAAAGAGGAAAGATTTGATTGCTTGTTTGTTTGCGTTGGATAGGCCACTATTAAACTGATTATAAAATTCTTTCATCTACGGGAAGCTACATAATACGCGGGGAACGTAGGTGAAGTCGCGGGGAAACTGCTAGTTTGATAAAATTGGTTTACATTTCAAGAAGAAATCGATGAACATACCTAATTACATCAAAAAATATACATACTCGTTGAATATAGAAAATCCTTCTTTCTGATTTTGAATGAATGTAAAATACGAAATCATTTGTTTTTTTCGCTGTTATATCAGCGAAAAAAACAAATGATTTCGTATTTTACAATATATCATATCATCAAAATATTTAGATCATTGGGTGATATTTTGAAGCATACTTTGTTATGTTATAAAAAGAAACTACTGATTCGATTTCGACAAAATTTAAATGGGTCACCTCGGCCTATTAAGTTGTTGAATAAAAAAGAGAATTTCGAAAATCTGTCAACAAGTGGAGGGATAATCGGTGAACGTACATAAAAAAACATCGCTGTCGAACATATAAATTCCTCCTTTTTTGGTTGTGAAATCGGTCAAAAATTATTTAATACAATTGACCATCTCCCCTTGCCTACATATTTAGGTACCCGTAGGTGCAGTGGTTTGTCATATCTATAGATACAAGAAAAACTTGAAGTCTATGGTTTTAAAAATTTAAATCTATCCAGCATTCTCTAGTCGTTTTTTAATTGTTGTACTCGCTTAGAACACGCTCATTTTTTTGAACTTTTAACTGCCAATTTCGCTGTTACGCCATTTGATAAAAGCGATGAATCAAATCTAAACAGCTTTATCATCACCGAGGTGGCGGGTTGTTGTCACGATGATTGATGATTCAAACAATTTCACGCCATCTGCACCGCGAAAAACTTTTTTACAATACTATCAAAAATAGGCATTTGTATTATGAATCATGCCGATAGATACCTACATATCTTTTCAATTAATGTATTCACAGAAACTGGAAGTGCTTAATGATATTTAACATAAATTTTCTACTCATAGCTTTTATTGAAAAACCTTTTGCATTTTTGCATTCATTCGTGTCGTGCTATCGTGACGTGAAGTGGTTACTTCGAAATAAAAACGACAAAACATTTTTGTTGTTGTTGTCGTGTAGAGAGCGAAAGGGATTGGAAAAATTAGAGGGGCGTGACGGGACTGGTGCGCGGAGCCGCGGGCGAACATAACAACCGCGCTCGGACAGACGCAGCCGGCCCGCCGCGGGTCTCTAGTTAGTCCAGGGGCCCTGATCTTATTTTAATCATATAGCTCCGATTTATTTCACACTCAGTTGCACAAACTATCATTAAAGTTTAATGATCACTTGAAGCTCTAATAAATGTTCTAGTCGTTAGTGTGCTCAGTTGAAAATTTGTAGCATCGAATAATGATTGAAAAATCCAAATTTCACGTTAAAATACTTATTGTAGTTTAGAAAGATCAAACTCAAAAAGTTAATTACATTTATCAAAAATTGAAATGGTAAAACCACGTAAAACCTAGTTATATAACATAAAGTTTAAAACTATAATAAGTGAAAACCTCTAACGTAATAAAAAATAAATTGTATATATAGAATATGAATTAGGCTTTTCCCTAGAATTATTATAGTATTAACATTGTGCAACTAGAGGTCCATGTATATTTCGACAAATTTTTCAGTCACAATTTTTTTTAAATTTTTTCTCACTGTTTAAATCCTATTAATATATTATAAATGTAAAAGTTTCTTTGTTTGGATGTTTGTCCGCCAATCACGTCGAAACTACTTAACGGATTTTGATGAAATTTGGTATACAGATAAGGTATTAGTTGACTTAGATAATAGGATACTTTTTATCCCACTAAACATTTCCCTAGGGTCCACACGAGCGAAGCCGCTGGCGGAAGCTAGTAAATTATAATACTACACTTTTTAAAATTATTCTTTTATTCAAACCATTCCATTTTATTTTATAAGTATCTAATACATTTGTCATTTTATTTCGGTACATATTAGATTTAGGAGAGTCACACACCCAAAGGTCAAAGGAAAAAGGTTCATATTAGGTCTTTAAGTAATAGTTTTTTATTTTCATAATAAACTTATAATATTAAAAAGAGGAAAAATTTACTTGTTTTTTGTTTGCGTCGAATAGTCGCCGAAAGTAAACTGGAATTAAATCCTATTACATCTAAATAAATCTTACATAACCAAATTATTTCACCTACGGGAAGTACGTTATACGCGGATGTCATAGGCTATAATTTACGAAGGCGAAGTCTACATTCTCAGTTACTCGAGATCAAGACAATGGAGTTAAATATCAAACAGAAGTAAATTAAGTACGTAAGTTACTTTATAATAAAAAAGAATATTACATTTTACAACACATTTTAAAAAGTAAAAATGATCTAGTATTCCTCTCTATCTCTAGAACTTTAACATTTGCTATTAAAAACCTTTTTTTAATATTCTTAAACTAAAGTTTGTTACGCTTGCACTGCTGCTTTCATAAAATTATATCGGCAAATACGGAGGGCAAATATGGCATCTCTCTCTTCAAATGCCGTTTAATTTTATACACAGTTAAATTGGATTTAAGAATATGAACCATGAATTCTCCTATTTGCGTCCTAAAAAGAAAAGAGCATTAGCTGAATATTCATCTTATTAATGGGATTTCAAATATCTTCTTAAAAAGTAAATGTAAGCTCGGCTTTTTAAGCTTGAGCGCGGTTCGCCAAGTTTGCGTTCTATGTATCGTGTCGTGGGGCCCCGTGCCCCAGACCGCATCTCTATCCGTTCAGTACATCCGCGGTGCTGGTAACGCGCGCTCGGGTTCTCTATAAACTTTTAGTGCGCGGTAACGCGATAAATATCGTTACTTTATACGAAACTTAGACAAACAAGATTTGACTGCAGTGAATTATTTATTTGTGAATAATGGTGCGTGCTATGTGACGATGTGGTTCAAAGTGCAATAATATTGAGGAGCAAAAGGATTTCTTTTTGTTTTCAAGATATTGTAAGTATACAAGTTTATTTGCTTTGGGTTAAAAGCGACGGCTAGGAAATTCGTTAAACGATGAGTTATCCCTTAATGGCTTTTTAATTTTTTTAAAATCAATCGGTTATTATAAACTGTGCAAAAAAATTGCTTATATCATTTTAGAAATTTCCGCTTTGTTGACGATATACCTAGATTTAATATATTTATAATACTTTAAAAAGAAATTCTGTCCACCAGAACCTCTTCCTTTAAATCTTAATTTTTAAATATTAAAAAAATAATTGTCCGTTCATTTATCTTATAAAAGATTCAGTAATCGAACTTTTATTTATGCGTTTTTGTTGTTAGACTATAGGCCAATTGCACAAACGTCCATTAAAATTGTCATCAGTTTAAAGTGACATTACCCATAAAAATTTGACATACATTAGAGCTTAAAAATATCATTAAACAATAATGGACGTTTGTGCAACCGACCGTATTCCAAATATTTTAATTACAAATTTGAAACTTTACACATGATATTTTATGACGAGTGTAACATAAAAATATCCACATATATTTTACATCGACGGTCAAGACATCTTTTTCTTAATAATAAGAATTTATTATATTTGATAAATTTTCTTAATATAAATTCTTAAAAAATAATTCGAATAAATTTACATACTTATCGAAAGTTTAAATAAAATATAAATGTAAAAATAACGTCTCTTACGGCTGTTTTAGTGTCTGAATATTGATGAAAATACGCTCTTTAGTAGCTAAAAAGTAACGAGCACTTGAAAGATTCATCAGTCTTGTTAGGTTAGGTTAGGTTAGGGTAGCTGGGTAGCTCAGTGGTTAGAGCAGGCGCCCGGATTGCGAAAGGTTATGGGTTCGAGTCCCATCTTAAAGTGTTTAGGTCGATCCATAATTACACTTGAATAGTAAAATATAGTTATGAAAGGTTATTGAGTATTCATCTTTGGTATAATTAAGTGGTTGAAGTAGAAATTATTATCAGTGAACTGAAATTATAAAAACTCACTTGTTGGAAAATCAATAGGTATATAATAACAGCAAAAAAGCAAATATTATTGTGATTGCATTATAATAATGGCGTCACATAGAATAATTTTTAATTTCGAAATCCAATTTAAGACTTTCTAAATAAGGTACTTTAGTTAAGTAAGGCCGCACGTAAGACCGACAGCTAATATAATTCTATGTTCACAAAATAAATTTGCATTAGATAGATTTACAACACTAACGTATACGATTACTGCATTAATCACGGATTTACGTCACTGTGGATTTATTAGTAGACTTTCAAATTATTATATTGCTTTCTTGTACGTACATTAGCCATGTAAACAGCGCATGCGTGAAGATACATCATATAGATATACGCTGATGGATGTTTTACTGCTGCTGCAATAACTCTGCAGTAGGCGGTGCGCCCGCGCAGCCTCTATATAATATGTACCTACCTCACACACACTAATTACTCAAAGTGTACGCTCACAAATATAAAAACAATTTACACTTATATTTTAATTATTAATAAATATATTTTCCAAAGGAATTAAAATAAAGTGTAGAAATTTATTTTCATATTAAAAGAAAGAGTCTCTAGCTTCTCTTTCAAAGGGCGAAGGGTATCGAGTCAAAAATCTATATAAGATAATCGAAATTAATTCTAAATAAGCAAGAAGGTGGTAAAAAATTCAAGACACTTCTATTGAAGTTGGGCGACTGACAAGGATTATCTCTTAGCTTTTTATTTCCTTTGCTGACTTATAAAGCAAAAAATTTATCAAATTTGGTCCACTATTGACGTAGATGTCGCGAAACTTACAACATAAAAAGTTCATTCTAAATAAAACGCTCATCCGTTTCTAAAGGCGGCTAAAATAATAAAAATGTTTGGGATAAACAAATATTGCATTCTGCTGGTGAAGTTTCTAGAATATGCTGATACTATAGTATTAATGACACAATCATTTAGTGGATTTTTTAAACATATTATGTTTAAAAAATTCACTTTGTCCCTGGCACTCTGAGACAGGACTCGAACCCATAACCTTTCGCAATCCGGACGACTGCTCTAACCGCTGAGCTACCCAGGACCTAACAGGACTGACGAATTTTTCAAGCACTTGTTACTTTTTCGCTACTACAGATCGTATTTTCGTCAATGTTTAGGATTTTTTTAAGCACCTTTAGGAATATTTTTCAGTATAACATTGTGAATGCAAAATTAATCAGATATAATAATGCTGATACTATATCACCATTGAAAACTTAAAAAGCTTGAGAATTGTTATTGGAGACTTTTTAAAGTTATCTACAAATTTTAAGTGTTCTTCTAATAGTGTAAATATTAATATAGCATTCTAAATACAAAACTGATTAAATATATATGTATAAATTAGTAAATTTATAAATTAGTAAATTTATAAATTAGTAAATTTATAAATTAGTTAATTTATACATATAATACAAATTAAACTTTATCCGTTCTTTTCTGCATCTTTAGCCCATGTTAACTAACGGCTAATTAAAATCACGATAAGATTAAGATAAAAAGCTTCCATGTGGATTCTCAATGTTTGCTAGTCTAAAAGTCAAGTTACTATCCCCTGTGACTCTTCCTGTGTGCTTGTAATTGAACAGATGCTGTTTGTTGATAGCATATAGTATTCAAATGGGAGGGAAAGTGGTGCTATGTATGTATACGCAAGCAATGAGAATGTTTTGAGAAAAGAAAATTAATTAAAAGGATACAATGTAAAAACTTTGTCTAAAAGAAGTTTTTACGAGTATACAGTTGCTGATTATAGTTGTATGCAAATGATCTTTGCAGGGTGACCAAGGCTTAGGGTGAGGTCTTTAGGAGATCTGTAAATGTAATTGACAACTTTTATAATAATCGTAATGGTTTGCGGGTAATAAATTCAACAAAGTTTTTTCAAAAATAGACAATCTCTGTCTCTATCAATCTGAGCAGGTGATTTCGTCTAGTTTATTCTTTCGGCTTTAGGTGCAGCCTTAATTCTGAACCAAAAAAAATACTTCAGGTCGGAAATAGGCGAGAGATCCTAGTAGTCTTATAGGCAGAGAGCTTCTCTCCGAGTAAAGTGTCTCGAACCTGTGAGATGTCGGGGTTTCGTAAACAATATTTCTGAAAGAGACAATGTGTTTCAATACGTTTAAAGCATTTATTATAATGTTCACATGTATGCGCAAGTGGAGCGTGAATAGGAGTTTATTAAATTAATTACTCTAGTATGGTCTCAGTTCGCGTGGTGCCACCGTCACGACATCGTTTAACGTGAGCCGGCCGCTACATTAACATAATAAGGCGCGCGCGCAGAAGAGCGTGGCGTCTATCCCACGAGAGCCTGCTTGCGAGCACACACGGTTATGTGAAAGCACTGAGCACGCGAGCGTTATATTTTTTTCCATGATAAGTCCTAGTTTTTAAGATACTCTCTATAAGTTGTAATTAGTTCTCGTACGCAGAGGAACCCCATTCATATATTATACGGAATATGTCATGATATAGTAAAACTTTTATCTACTAACTTTTTCAAGTACTAAGAAAAAAAGTAAACAATTACTAATCCAAAATTAAAATTTAATTATTATAAAATAAATATGGTATTAGTTCGGTTTTTATTGTTAGCACTTCTACAAAATCAGCAATTCTCCCAATGTAGATCCTAGTGTTATATTAATAAATATTTGTCCGTTAATACAGCCCGTTACTTCTAACGGCTAAAAGTGTTATTTTTGTAACCGAAGTATCATTGCGTGTCTGTCTACAACTAAAGAATCAGAATCAGTAATGTAGGTAATACTTTTATATATTTTCCTTATTCTAAATATTATTGCTTTATTTAATAGCAAGCGAATAAATAAAACTGCTTACAAACGGTTACATGACATTACTATAAAAACACGTACATTTTTAGACGTTCCGGACACTTAGATGTTTAATAATAATTATTATTAAAAGCCTAGCTACCTTCAAACAATAGTTATCGGACACATTCATGAATTGTTTGTATTAATTATTTTATTGTTACAAAATATTTGAATTATTTAATTTATTATTTGTTTATTAACCGTTGATACCATAAACTTCTACAGCTTATAAAGGGGGCTCCCTATGTGAGATCTGGCGAAACAAACGCAGACAAGAAATAGATAGCTACCGAAAACACGCCGTCAAAAATACACGCGATAATACCAAGAAAAAGTAATTTTATTTAATGAACAGTGCGCGTGAAATTATAACAAACATGTAATAAGGGATTTTTACAAAACTTTGATTGTGTTATTTAAGTTTTCTGTAATCAAAATTAATTAAAGGTACGTTTACAAAAACACCACCCCATTATTATACCAATCCAAATGATTCCTAATAAGAACGCAGAAGTTTTTGTATAATTTAAAAGCATGCGTAGGTATTGTTTCAAGCTCATTAGATTTCATGAGACAACGACTTCTAATTGTATTGAAATGGAACACCAACAATTAATGACGTGCCGCAGTTTGCGAAGCTTTCTTTTCGATTGTGCAAATTGTAATGAAAAGATTAAGACGTCTGATAGTTTTGCTGCTAATTGTAAACGCACTTTTTATGAAATACAATAGTTTGTTATTTACCTGTGAAAAATGAGTTATAACAAGATGTGAACGTAAGAAAGTTTCAAATAGAAATAGTTTTATAACAAAAAGATTTATAGTTGTACAAATAATGAATTTGTAACCCGAAAAAGGAAGGAAATTTCATTAAATTGACATGTTACAAGACGCTACAATTTTATATTACAAGTTGTTAGTTTTTATAGCAAGCTTAAACCCTAGGCGCTCGACACAAAATGTGGTCCTCTAATGAATTTAATGAAATGACTCGCGTGAGTAACAGATTTATATAAATTCCGCCTGAAATAATTAGCTAGTTGGTACTGTTTCCTATTTGCTGATGACTGTACACTACTGTTTCAAAATAAAAATATTGACCA